GACTTGAGTGAGAAAAAACATCACCTGCAGAAAAGTCAACTCCCTCTTACACTACGATAATAACACTATAACACCACCCACTGCACCCAACCCTTTAGTGAGGGTCGTATGAACAAATGCTTATTTTGTAATCATCATCATGATTGTCATCGTCAGCATTGGGTTATCCACTGCGAGATGAAGGCCTCCTCACATTGTCATCATCTCTCACCCGGTCATGCGATGGCACAATCCAGCCACAATGCACAAGAGTTATTTTCATCGCTCCCTCTCTTTAGTGGTTTTCTCGAGTGTGGCCCCCTTCCTTGGCTGCCTTTCTATCACCAGCCTCGTCCCTTGGCCAGCATTCTTTCTAACGGTAGTAATTATGCACCAAGGATGCAACCCAATATACTCATAGTTGTTAATCGTATAGCCACATACATAGACTGTGTGTCCTAGGCTGCCAAACATATGTTTCCAACTTGATTAATTACAATTCTCCTAACATCCCAATGCGGGACCCTCCTGAAAAATAATCTTGAGACTTTTTTGGGTGAAAAGGATAATTAATATATGATCAACAATAAGTATGAGATATCTTATTGGGTTATGTCTTTCTTAATAAGAAATATAATGACATTGTACAATGTGGTTTGGATTTATATAGTGTCTAAATGTGACCGCATCTCATTTTTACAACACCATGAAAACAGTTTAATGCATGCGACTGCGACACTTTGCAAACGGTTTACATTTCACCTCGTTGCTGGGTTTTTTCTTTGTTTGGTTTGGTTCCTCGCAGGGCATTTCAGGACACGAACAACTCAAAGCAGAGAATGTCGAGTGTGCTGGATCGGCTGGGTGGCTACAGCCAGCAAAGTTCCATTCACAACGTGCTGGGTAAGGCAGCAGCGACACGTGGAAGCGGTTACGGGGATAAATCCTAGTCTGCCTGGAGAAGCGTGCCTCAATCTAGACATGTGGAACAGGTTATTGGAATAACTTGGTCTGTCCGTCATGAGACGCCTTTTCCTTTGTAGCTGCGGTTCACACCGCAAACCATTGTAACAACACCACAAAGTTACAAAGGGTACCCCGATGCCTTTTGATGAAAGCAATATGCTACACATGCAAAAGTAAAGCAGACCACACAGACATTACCGAAAGCACACTTGCGGTAAAATACAAATGTAATCGTGTCACTCGTAATTAATTGCAATCACATAATCACAGAACAATGCATTCGTGATTATAATTGAGTCCTGGTCTCAAGTCTTATGTATTCATGTTTAAGTCTTGTTTTGTGTTGGTAATTTTGGGTATAGATGTTGGAAACGTTCCAGAAAAAAAATGTTTATAAAATAGTTTGAACAAGTAATTACGTATACAAGTTTGTATTGCGGTTTTTGCAGAAGCATTCCAGCGCGCACGACACAGGATGCAGGCCTCTCGCGATACGCTGCCCGCCAACCTCATCACGAATCTGCAAGCAATGACAACTGCAGGCAGCACCACCTAGTCTCATTGGAGATCCGTCAGCCATCGTTATCAGCGTGTAATGATGCATCAATTGATGATTCTTAATCTTATGATAAATACATCGAATTATGCGCATGCATGATAATCGATGTTTGTCTATATTTTTGTTGCCGTATGTAGTAGTTTTACGTTACTCCATCAGCCACTAAAAGCGCTATGATTCACCTGCAATACAAATAATAACAGATGTTTGCATTGTTTTTAGTCTCGATTGGTATTTTCATTATTTATGTCTAGTTTGTACAGTTTTGTTCTTCATTGGCCCCAATATAGTGTAGACATAATTGTAATACATTTGTATGATTAGAAAAGAATACATTCTAACAGACATTTTGATTGATTGGAAGTATATAAATCCACTCTTAATTACGTGCCGAACAATAACGCAGTCACCTTCAATACCTGCCACGGGCACATCTTCAACATATTTTCCACATTCGTGTTCTGGAAAATACAAGCCTCCCATTGAGCGGGAGGGATAAAACACCGCGGATGAATTGCACAAGTGCAAGATTCAACTGTCTTGTCGGTTTGGCGAGCTTCCAGTACGGAAATAAGGGAAAACCGCAATCTGTTCCGGATCTGTCTTCACTGGCATTGGATTGACGCTGAGCATGTGTAGGTGAAGTCTCATTTAGAAATGACTGCTAAGCTAAAGTATGCATTGTTAGTTATTCCAGATGCATTGCTTGCCTTTTAGTGTAACACACTAACTCGTAATTTTGCGTCCATTAACAGCTGCTTATATTAGAGCGGAGTGTGAAAGGTTTTAATTATCATTCCACTGAGCCTTGTCTTTAGTAATGTCCATTACACATGGAGTCGTTATCAGTTGACATGTAATTTACAGTGGTTTGTCAATGTAATGATGGATGTAGGGTTCCCCATACTGTGTTGATCTTGGGGGTTTTGTGACCATACTTCACCATGCTGGTCAACTTGTTTTAGTTTGCCATGTATTTTGTATTCTTGATATTTTATTTGTAAAGAATAAAGGAATTTCTTACAACATTTAGTCTTTTTTTTTATTACAATATCATTTAGTGAAAGTAGTTCATCATCCCAAGGGCTCCGATTGTGGCATGTGTAATTATTTGCCTGTACAAAACAATAATTTACAGCCCTTGGTCAATCCATTGTTGGATAAAGGCCTCCCCACGCCTGTATCAGACGTAAATTGGTTAAAAAAAATATCAGCTTAAAATTGCACCATCCCATCACTTGCCATGAACGTGATACTACATAAACATCTGATGCAATTAAATCGCAAGGAGTTTGCGAGGATGAATAAAAGACGCATCAAAAGGGTAATTCATCTCAATGGGATAATGGTAAAACAAAGAAGAATGTGAATAGGCTCGCGTAATTGATAAAGTTGGCATGCCGTAATCAATGTGAGTGGGGTGTCGTGGTTATTTTAAGTCAAATATCAATTGGTTTAGCATACTCTTATATAAGCGCACAACTTTATCTATCTGTGATGAACGCTGCACTTTCCGTCGTTTTCATGCAGGGGGCGCTGCAAACCTACGCGCCCCCTGCATGAACGACGGAGGCACAGGGACAGACGTTCGATTACGTTGGAATCGATCTGCAGACGGCGGTCTTCTCGCACGGCCAGCAGCTCTGTGTCGCCTTATATCGATCCCGCAATCCCAAACAGGTGATAGTCCGCATCGAACCAAACCCCCAGCAAGGACATCTACTGAACGACGAGAGAAAATTCACATGAAATGTCGTTTTCAATGAAGTCGTCCAGATGTAAAATGATATCAGCTTTTAATAAAGAAATACAATTATCTAATTCAAAACAATACAATTCAAATGTTTAATTTAAAACTTCTAAACGGAGCTTGCTTAAATGCGTCGTTCGTGTGCAATTTTTGTGTGACTTTCGTGGCCGAAGGCCTTAAATGTGTTTTTATAAAACACTTCATATGGACGAGAAGTAAACAAAGTATTAACTTTTATTTAATGATACGTAATCTTAATGAACCCGCAAAGGATCAATACCAATTAGCTCGCACGGCTAAAGGAGGCAGTACATCTCAATGGACCCAAATGATTTAATATTGTTAAAAGCAATAATACATCGTAGTAGGATCGCATGTTTAAGTAATAAAGTCAATAGCCTGACGTAAATAACCATACGGTTAAATAAAGGATACCAATGACTCGCGTAAGTGAAATAACATAACAATGGACCTACACGGTTGAGTGAGGATAATAAAACTAGGTAAATCTCACAAAGGTCTCGCGGGGTTGAATAATAAATAAGACGAAATAATCATCCACGATCTCGCGTGGTTGAATAAAGGAATGAATGGACTCACTCGCAAAGTTTAAATAACGATTACAGTACAGCACTTTATTCAGAAACTTCACACAAAGCACACCAAACAAAATAATTAACAATTGTATATTGACTTAAAGCTTTCGTGACTGCAGGAATTCAATATATATTTGGGTCTTTCGGTAAAGTCAAGTAGATAGGTTCAAATAAAATAACCAACTCCGTGATTTTACCGAAAGACCCAAAGACACTGAATGACTAATTATATTCAAGCACCTGCGATTAATCTCAACGGTCTGGCGTGGCATTCGCAATGAAAGATTTGAACAATAACGTGAATATCAATTATTATTATAATTATCAAGATGAGGTTCAATGTCAATGTTTGAATCAAGGAGGAGCGGTGGTGGTGGTGTTGCGAGGGGGGTGAGAAGGGGGGGTGTGAGAAGTGGGGGTGTGGGGGGTGTGAGAAGGGGTAGTGTGAGGGGGGGGTGTGAGGGGGGGGTGTGAGGGGGGGGTGTGAGGGGGGGTGTGAGGGGGGGTGTGAGGGGGGGGTGAGGGGGGGTGCGAGGGGTGGGCGAGAGGGGTGGGCGAGGGGGGGGCGGGGGGTGTGAGGGGGGGGGGCGGGAGGTGGGAGGGGGGGTGAGGAGGGGGGTTGAGGAGGGGGGGTGCGAGGGGGGGGTGCGAGGGGGGGTGCGAGGGGGGGTGCGAGGGGAGGGGGTGCGAGGGGGGGTGCGAGGGGGGGGTGCGAGGGGGGGTGCGAGGGGGGGGGTGCGAGGGGGGGTGCGAGGGGGGGGGTGCGAGGGGGGGTGCGAGGGGGGGGTGCGAGGGGGGGTGCGAGGGGGGGGTGCGAGGGGGGGGGGTGCGAGGGGTGGGGGGTGCGAGGGGTGGGGGGTGCGAGGGGTGGGGTGCGAGGGGTGGGCGAGGGTGGGTGTGAGGGGGGGGTGCGGGGGTTGAGGAGGGTGTAAGGGGAGGGGTGCGAGGGGGGATGTGAGGGGAGGGGTGCGGGGGGAGGGATGTAAGGGGAGGGGTGCGGGGGGGGATGTGAGGGGAGGGGTGCGGGGGGGGATGTGAGGGGAGGGGTGCGGGGGGGGGGAATGTGAGGGGAGGGGTGCGGGGGGAGGGATGTAAGGGGAGGGGTGCGGGGGGGAGTTCGCGACTTCTCGCGAGACTTGGCCGAGACGAGAGGAGTCCGGGCCCCGTTTGAAGATGGCGGCAAACGCGGACGAGTCCGAGTGAGTGAAGCCAACGCTGCTGCTGATGTTGCTGCTGCTGTTGTTGTTGTTGCAACAACGACGACGACGAGAAGAAGCTGTTGCGGATGATGGTGGAGAGGCCTTCTAGCCCCCCCCCCCCTTTTCGTCGGCGTAGTTTTAATTGCAATGAGCGAGTGCCGGGAGGCTGCGAGTCGGCGGGTTTGATTTGAATTGTGCGAACGAGAGGAGGGAGCGGTTTGATTGTTCATCATCATCGTTGTGGTGGTGGTGATGGTGGTGGTGTTCATCATCATTGTGATGGTGGTGGTGTTCATCATCATCATTGTGGTGGTGATGGTGGTGGTGGTGTTCATCATCATTGTGGTGGTGGTGAGGGTGATGTGGTGAAGGGATGATGAGATGATTGAGCAGATCGGAGGTGAGGGGATGATGATGAGAGGTTTGATGATCGTTATGATGAGGTTATTGGTGGCGATGGGATGGTTGGCTGGACGGTCGTTGAGGGGTTGGTGATGATGATGGGGTGGTGATGAGATGGGGGTGATGATGAGATGGGGTGATGAGATGGGGTGGTGATGAGATGGTGGTTATGATGAGATGGGGGTGGTGATGATGATGGGGTGGTGATGAGATGGTTGATCAGTCTGAGTGGTGTGATTTTTTTTGCACGGTATTGGTGTTGTGCGAGGAGTTTTGGATTGTGTGTCAAAGTTGTACCATGTCTGGGTTTAGTATATTTGGCTTGTATACAAATTTGGCGTGTGGTTATGTATGGAATGTGGTGTTTATGTTGAATGTGGGGTGTGCGTGGTATATGTTTTGCTGCTTTTAATGTGGGTAGTTTTGTAAGGCGTGTAGTTTTGTACGGTGTGCATGTTGTATGTGTGTTGTATGTGCTTTGTTGTTTGTGATTTGCTGCATTGTGGTGTTTTGGCTTCGTTTGCAGCTCTGTGCAGTGCGCCGAAGCGGATCTCATGCCGGTGGAAGTTGACAATTCCTGCATACAGGTGAAGTTTCCAAAGATAAAACGTTTATATTTACATTCTACAGTGTGTATGGTGTAATTGTACTTGATCTAATGCACGTATGTAGTTGCATTGCTTTGTATGTGCCACTTGATAGCCTGGGCACCGTTCCACACGCAATGTTCCATCTCCAGGGATTATCCAGTTAATATATTTATTTTTTATTATTACGTAGTATTAAATTACTGTAATCTGACCCAATAATCATTACCAACATTTAGTAATAACGGAGCGGTAGCCAAGGAATTAAATTTCTCCGAGACTGCGTCCACCGAGATGAGATGGAGCGACAAAATCGACTCTTGGATTATCTTTCAAGGTTTTGAGATAAAGCAGCTGCTTAGGGGAAGCCGTCATCCAGCAGTGGATTGACCATGGCTGAAGATGTTATATATACACGTGTGTGTTTATGTGCGCGAGAGAGCCCATTGAAACGAAAAAAGTGAAACCGGAGTTACAAAAAGGCTCCCAAATATAAAGCAAAGTACAACAATCTGTAACGGTTGCTCATAGTGCAACAAAATGCCCGATGCCACTGGAATGCATTCTAATGAACTCAGGGCAGGGCAGGGACTGAGAAGAAAGGCGGCCGGCCGTGTTTGCGTTCCGTCTGGTGTCTGGAAGTGCCCAGAGTCGCCATTCTTTGGATGCAGTCACCGTGATCTGCTGTGGTATTTGAGGCCAGTTTTCACCAGATGTAAACAAACTATACCAAGTGACTTCCTAATGTGGTGAATATCTCCTGTGGTCAGCTGTAACTAACGCCAAATACTGGGCAGTAATAACTCGTGAATGTCCTTTACCCAGGAACGTTTCACGAGTCTCAAAACTCTTATCAGGATAGTGTTGCCTACTATCTTGGGATGTTTAGCAATTTCCATACATTAGTATTTGGTATGTGTGGGGGAAACAAGAGAGTACAAGGAAACCCATGCATATGAGGGGGTAACACTCAAAGCTCCACACAGGTTAATTCAAAAATAATTTGCTGTACTGCCATCTCCTGTTCACCTGGTCACGTCGCAGCCAACGCCTGTCATCCTCATAACTGAGCGGATTATGTCCATGGATGCTTTCAATATTTTGCGATCTTCATGGCGGGTTCCATCCAATTACATGATGACGTCACCCTGATGCTGCTCTATTTTAGACCGGAAGCAACAGGAGAGCTTCATTCTTGCCCGATAAAGCTGATTGTAATTATCAGCGAAACGTCGTACTACTCAAATTTAAAAAATGCTGTCGATTCTCTCTACAGCACACCGGTGGGCTAAAGAAGTGAATTATTTTGTCCTTTGAAAAACGTGACACATTTTTACTGTTTGGCCGTGTCAGGTGGTGGAGGGTTACGACACATTTATAAATAACGCGATCTGACCCAAAAACCTATATGATGAATAATATTGGTCGCGAAAGCCTACGTGTTAAATTGGGTTCGATCCAATTCCTCACATTGTCCTACCAAACTAATCCTTCCTCTACTCTTCCAGGTACTTAACAGGCTCAATCGCTGTTTTCCAGGAGACGGTGGAGGAGGTGGGGGCCGCTTCGGAAGATGACCCCGTGAGGAACCTGGGCCAGGTGGAGCTGCAGTGCGGCATCTGCCTCAAGTGGTTCACAGCCGAGAGCTTCGACATCGACACGTCGTGAGTGGCACATGGGTTGCACACATTCTCGCGATTGGTGCGCGCTGCCTGTTTTGACACTCCATCGTGCGGTGGGCTGTATAATACGTAACCTGCATTGCTGTGCCCTTTTTATTCGCCGCATTTTGCTTCGTCGTTAATCTCAAGTTGGTGCTCCTGTTGCTTTGCTGCCCAAACATTCGCAGGAATTGCTTGCCGTTTATTACCAACTATGTCTTCCACTGCAACATCTGCCACCACAGTGGCAACACGTACTTCCTGAGGAAACAGGCCAGTGAGTGCACGCAGGGGGTGGGGGGGTGGGGGGTGAGCCGTGGGCAGAAGGGACCGGCACTGGTCTCGTGAGGCACATGAACTGAGTATTAAAAAAGGCCACACTTGTATTTAGACTAGAATCTTAATATGCACACCTACAGTACTGATGCTGTCAGTAACTCGACATTAATTAAACTATGACAGTTTTAACCCTGCAATCTAGCCCTGGGTCCAATAGATCCTACACGATGTCTCTTAGTTGAGCTTGTACAAGACATTTCACGTTGCAAAAAGGGATAAAAAAAGCCACCTTTTGTTTTTAACTAAAGAAAATAACCTATCGTGGAGGTCCTTTCCACCAACCGCGTTGTGAGAGAAATTTCAAGGTTGCACCTTTGCCCAATTATTTTTTTACGAGAAAATATACATAATTGCTTGCATATGGGTTGTAAGGCATTTTGGGGATTCGTCCTATGGTAAAAACTGAAGTGTCCTGACACTTCATATCAGTGGGAGGTGGATTTATCCTTTGGCTATTTTTAGTCCGTGATAGAAGTTCCACAATGATGTGTTGGGGGCGAGTCTGTCCATTAACAAACGCTTATCTTCAGCCCTCGCCAGGCAGTGCTTATTCTATTTATCCTGCAAGGATTAAGAGCAGCGCTGATCGTAGCTATAAGATTAAAAAATTACAGCAATAACAATGGCATGATACTGCGGCAAAATAATAATAATAATAACAGCTGCAGTTTTGGAAAATCTGGGCCGACATATAGGTCTGTGCGAATGGCTCAATATAAAGTAATGTAACACTGGCAAGTTGGTGATGCTCAGCACGGGGGTGTGTACGTGTGTGTGCGTACTTGTGCATCAGCTCTCAAGGAGATGTGCCTCACTTCCCTCGCCAACCTAACCTGGAAGTCGCGCACACAGGACGAGCACCCAAAAACCATGTTCTCCAAAGAGAAGGTGATCCCCAATGAGCTGACCATTCTGATGCTCTGAACGAGACCATATGATGAAATTTGCCCCGTCAGTGTTAATTTGTGTCTTCTGGCACGTGTTTGATGTGGTGGCGTTCCATTGGCTTCTCTTTACAACAGGACATCATTCCATTCATCGACAACTACTGGGAGTGTCTGACCATTCGGCCGCGGCCTAACAAGCTCACCTGGCCAAACAACATTGTCAAAGCAATGGTAAGGGCATGTGAGATGGGCAGAGCGTAATTTAAGCATTTTTGTCTGAGTTGATGACCCCGAAATTATTTCCGCACCCGACACAATTCATCGAGTGTACAACTCGTGAAGGCTATGGGTACTATTCACGTTCCTACTTTAGTATACCAAGGACCCATAAAGTATTTGGTGGAACATTAAACAATGGGCATAGGCTGTGTGGCAGGTTGGGAAGGTTGACTGGTAGCCACTAGTTATGTAACTACTGTATTCGCCCTCCCAGTAACTGTTTTGATTCAAGAATCTCTCATTTTTGCCATCTCCTTTGTAGATTTTATTTTTTCTGTTAATTTTATTCACTCCACTACACTGAATGTAGCATTGCCATATCATATGCATGTAATTGTTTTATAGATCGATAATTATAATGATTTATTTTCATGATGTACCATTCTATGAATCTCTTGTGAGTGTAAAATGGATATTAATCTGAATCTGGGCAATATTTTGCCTTTGAGACATGAGTAACTTATCGGTGGGAGCTTAAACCATACAGACTGTCAATAGCATACACGCAATGTGATACCAAACATTAAATGTCCAGCATCCCAACAGATAACCCTCCTGAAAAGAGATTCGGTAAGACTTTCCTGAGCAAATAATCACCATTATTACAATTATACAAATGAGCTAAACCCGAATTGCAATCGATATGCTGGTCGTGTCTTGTTTACCGTCCGGCCTGACAGAGCAAGGAGCGCGATGTATTTTTGGTGAAGGAGGGCCCAGACCCTGGCAGTCGGGAGCTTGAAGGAGACTACCCCAAGTTTGGCCTCCTGGATCAGGTATGTATGTACAGATGACCCCTGACTTACGACGGCTCGACTTGCAACTCCCTGCTTTTACGACCTTTCTTATAGTAAAACCGCAACAGTAACAACCAAAACTCGTTTATTCAACCGCCTAACGACTGCTATCGACGCAGAGCCGATTGGCGACGCATTTGCGCATGTCAGGCAATGAGTCAGCGCCATCAGGTGACGAGTCTGCGCATTTCATGCATTTCATGCATTTCATGCATTTCATGCATTTCATGCATTTCATGCGCAGACTCTTGCACCGTATGCGTATGTAGAGTATGCCCGACAGTCTGGAGCTGCGCCTAGAGTGAACGCGCCTCTTTTGCAACGCTCTTCACATTTTGTACATTTTCCTGAAATTTAGAATTTTTTTCCGCCTTTCACTATGTCAAAGAAGAGGAAATGTGATGCACGTGCAGAAAAGCACTTACGGATTTTCAAATGTAAGTCTTTGTGTTTACTTAATAAATGTTTGTAAAAGTTAAGTTACAATAAATGTTTGTTGGGGTTATTTTCATTTATTTTCTTGGCCAATTTTGTTATTTTTATTGTATGTAAATGGGTTTCCAGGAACGGAACCCCAATGTATAACATTACGCCCTATGGAAAATAAGGGTTCGACTTACGATGGTTCAACTTGCGACAATCGTCCAGGAACCAATTAGGTTGTAGGTTCGGAGGTCGCCTGTATGTGTGAACTTCTTTCACACTTGACGTAGCAAACCATGCTACAAGTGACCTGAAGACAGTCTTCGTGTAGTTGGTGACCCTTGCAGATCACTTCAAAGACACCTCCACACTCCAGATGACCGATGTTGTTGTTTTCTTTGTTACAGATATGTTGAGCCTCGAAAAAACTAATTACTGCTACTGGTTTATAGTTCATTGTGTTTCTCTTTCTGTCAATGTACTTCCAAGCATTCATTATACGATGTTTTTGCGCACTTTTAAAAACACAAGTAGCTTATAGACCCGATACGGACCGTAAGTATGCTCGGACAGGATGCATTGTTAGCAGGGATGATGGCTGGCAGTCAAGACTAGCAACGGAGTGGGAGCAAAAGAAGGTAACACGCCTGAGTGAACATCCACCACATGGATGGAGTGATGAAGTGAGCTCCTGCGGAAGTTTTCTGCGGATTGTTACATTTCAGGACTGCGAGAGATGACGACAGCTTGGGGGGAAGCCTTCGTTCAGCAGTGCGTTGATCATTATCGATGATTTATGATGAATTTATATTTCACTATGGATGTTTGACTTTTGTCTACCCAGGACCTCGGGAGCATTGGCCCAACGTATGACGCGCAGAAGCAGGTTGTGCCCGTGGCCAGTGGGGGTGTTAATGGTGAGTCGCACCTTGCTGGCAGCAGTTGATGTATTTTTGCGTTTTTCAGATAAACGTCTTAACTTGTATTGGTAATGCAGTACAAAATGGTTGAGCTGTGTATTTTGTGTAATTTCAGGCCGAACCCTAACCCCAACCCCAGGAAGCGTGCAGGTTGGTGTTGGGAAGGGGCGCGGAGCCAAGCGCAAGCAGGAAGGAGCGACCGGCAATACGTCCAAGCGCACAAGAAAGTCAGTGGCCATGCGCTTCAATCATCCTCCTCATTGTACTTTGCTCATCATAAATTAACCTTTATCTCTAGGGTCATCTATTTTATACTGTGTGTCCTTAGTTTAACTTTTGGGTTTTGGTCACATATTGCTTTGCCATTTGGGCTTTTTGTTTATGGTTTTTGGTTTGTTTGACATTCCATTATTGCTATTGGTTCTGTGTCATGATACTAAGAAAATGCCATTCATAACTTTTCCAAAGAGCAGTGTGTTTGTGTATTGCTCATCCTCGTGCTATGTTTGATTCTCAGAATTACAAATACACATCTTTGAATAAATAATTCGTATTAAGATATATTACTTAAGACCAAACCACCGGGACTGTATGCAATCCCATCATATCTGGGAAGCTAAGTGTGATTGCGCTGTCCGGAAACAGATTGCCTTTGGCAGCTGCGGTGCCACATTGTGGGCAGCAGAGGGCATTGCAACACAATCCGCTGTGCATGGTGCTATACTCCCTCTTCGATGCCCCTCCTTCACCATCTTGCAATGTCCAGCGAACTGAACTACAGTCAGATAACCCACAAGATACCTGCACAGTGTGGGGATGCCCTCATCCGGCAATGGTTTAACCTGTACACGTAGTATGACACACAACCGGGTGAGGTTGAGCTGGCTGTAATGATGTACAGTAAAACCTTGGATTGCGAGTAACTTGGTCTGCGAGTGTTTTGGAAGACGGGCAAAATTTTAAAATAAATATTACTTTGATAAACGAGCGAGGTCTTGCAATACGAGTAGTACGTGTATACGCTTTGCCGAGCGTCACGTGATCACAACTGATATACGGGTGCTTTGATACACGAGTGCTTTGGATTACAAACACGTTTCCGGAACGAATTATGCTCGCTATCCAAGGTTTTAATATACTCTTGTCTTCGTTAACGCTCCTCGCAGCGACCCGCTGTTCCAGTCGCAGCGTCTGCCCCCCCATGGCTACCCGCTGGAGCACCCATTCAACAAGGACGGCTATCGTTACATCCTGGCGGAGCCCGACCCCCACGCGCCCGACCCCGAGAGGATTGAGCTGGATTCCTGGGCCGGGAAGCCGATCCCCGGGGATCTGTACCGCGCATGCCTCTACGAGCGCGTGCTGCTCGCGCTGCACGACCGCGGTGAGACCGCTGGTGGCCTGCACACAAACCTGAGTCCAGCGCTCCACAGGAGCTGCGTGCTGGGTGTTTTAATTATTGAATGAGTTAGAAAAATAATGCTTGCAGGTGGATTGTGTAACTATTTCCAATGTGCATTTGTTTGAGTCTTAAGGAGTTCTGAAGGGTGGTGCCCAGGACCAGTTCAGATACCACGTCATGTTAGCTATGGCCAGAAATCGACCTCAAGTCACCGGGTTCACAGTTTAATTTGCTAACCACTGTTCCACCACTCCATCCTGTGGAGTTTTAAAGAATGTTAAATAAAGTAAGATATCTTGGCGGAACAATACAATGTTGTGGAGTCGGAGAAGGTTCTCACGTGGCTATATACATTTCACCAGCCAAATATTTAATTGGCTCTTTGGAAAGTAATAAATTCCTTTTATTTATTGACTCCTTCATCTCATCCTCCGCTTGTGCCGCAGCTCCCCAGCTGAAGATATCCGACGACCGTCTGACGGTGACGGGCGAGAAGGGCTACGCGACGGTGCGTGCATCGCATGGCGTGCGCCGTGGAGCCTGGTTCTTCGAGGTGCGCGTCGACACGCTGCCGGCCGACACAGCTGCCCGGCTGGGCTGGAGCCAGAGCCTCGGTACCTATCCACATTTCCCCCTCCTCCGCCACACCTCTCGAGCTGGGCTATCCGATTATTTATGCAATGCAATGCAGACTATCTGTCCGATTAAGCGACCAATCAGATATCACGAAAGTAGCTGTGGAAAAAAAATATCTGTATGCAGGAGCTAAATACTCTGTGGCAGTGCAGGACCGTGAGTGATGGTGGCATGTGGTGGCCTTCATCCAGCAGTGGATAGAACGTGGCTTATGATGATGATGGTGTAGAGAGGTCATATATTTGACAAATGGATTTTATTGAATTTTTTTGGAATGGCAAAATAAGATGTTTTTATAGGCTCAAATTGCCATTAGTTTGTATCCAAGTGGGCGCGTGTGTGCGAAATGTATCCGATGCCGGGTTTGTCTTTTCCCCTTCCAGGTAACCTGCAGGCTCCACTTGGCTTCGACAAGTTCAGCTACTCGTGGCGCAGCAAGAAGGGGACCAAGTTCCACCAGTCGCGTGGGAAGCACTACTCCGAGGGCTACGAGCAGGGAGATACACTGGGCTTCTACATCGACCTGCCCGATGACACGGTCACCGCCAATGCCCTGCCCGACACCTACAAGGACAAGGTGTTGTGGCCACGTGCACCACCTGCTCTCCATCCCTATATGCCCTATGTCTGTGTGTGGGGAGTTACACTGGGGTGTAGAGGTGGTGTCGTGGTTAGCACAATGCAGCATGTACTGGGCGAACCGAGTTTGATTTCCGAGCATGGCCTATATCAGTGGATTTGAAACGGTCTTGGGACTCCCCAAATCTTTACTCGGCCTTAAATGAGTGCCTTGTATGTATGTTGAACTTTTTTTGTACCATACGTAGCCAACTGTGCTACGTACGTTGTAGAAAAAGCATTGGGGACGTGAAGGCAGCCGCACATGGTGCACCGTTCCGGCCCTAATAGGTGCTCATTAACAGCACTTTCCCTCGCAGCCTATGTAGACTACACATGAGATCTTAAGGAGTCGCACTACCTTGGTGATGAATGGCAACCCTCATTTGCTGTGTTGTGATGCAGAAAGCCAAATTGTTATGGCAACTCAGTATGTGTATATATGGGTTGATGATGATATTGTGGCAAGTAGTTTGACACGAACTGAATTTGTATCACAACTGCTTTGTGCACAGGCCTTGATCAAATTCAAAAGCTACCTCTACTTTGAGGAGAAAGATTTGGTGGAAAAAGCAGAAAAGGACTTGCGGCAGACTCCCGGCAGTAAGGTATGTGGTGGTGACAGGCATTGGGCAGATCTTGCACATTTAGTGTCTTTGTTTAAGCCTTTGTCCACACTTGGTGGTTATTTAACCATGTGTTTTATCATTCTCAAATACAGAGGTACAAGTCTGATTGATTTTTTTTGGTGAAGTTTTGGACTGCAGTTATGAGAAATTTTTCAGCAAAGATGACTTCTGCATTTTTGTTATTCTATAGACTTAGGTCACATGTTTTCATATTTGATATCACCTGAGGTGGCATATTATTTTTTTACAGAACTAAATTATAGCTGAATTGTCATTTCTGCTCCAGCCCATGCACTAATTGTGATGTTGTGTTTGTGTGTGGTAGATCACTTTCTTTAAGAACGGAAAGAGCCAGGGAGTTGCGTGGGAGGATGTGTTTGAAGGCGTCTACTTTCCAGCCATATCCCTCTATCGCAACTGCACAGTACGTCTCACGAATGTCAGCCTACTTTTACGTTATCAATTAGCTTCTGCAGTGAACTTATACCCGAATAAAGAGCATAACTCAAAGTAACAACAAAGCATCTTCAGATGGCTGCATATAGATGCTAAACAAATGGTAAATCTAACAGGTTTTTATAAATGTCACCGATAGAAAGAATTATATTTTGGTCGAAATGTCATAATCTTGTATTACTCTCGGTGATGGTGTATAAAAACTAGTTGCCGTTTTCCATTTACCAATTATTTTATGCTAAATTAAGAAACCATGAATTTATATTTCATGCTCAACTGTATCGACTACAATAACTAAAATGTAGATTTATTAACAACAACATGCAACATCACCTCGAAATGTTGTACATTGTTGGGGACACTCGGGAAAGGGGTGAAGATCAGAATTTTTAGGGCAGAGGTGGAGACACGGAGGGGGAGGGGTATTACTGGTGAGGTAATTCGGTAACAGCACAGGGAAAAAAAATAAAGATCTTAATTTTGGTCTTTATAAAATGAGAATGTAATTGGCCATACTAACATATGTTTAGGCAGATGGAATTCCAGACAGTAGGGGCAGCAGAGGAGAAGGAACAATCATGTGTGACATTGTTATTGGAGAATGGAGGAGGGTCTTAAGTCTGGACAGTACAAATATCGAGGGTGAAGGAATGCCATACAGTCGGGGGAGCAGAGGAGAAGGCACGGCTGTTGGAGAGCTAACTAATCAGAAACAGAGTCAAACAGTGGTGTGGGAAGGTTTTTGGTGCAGTAACCTGGTCCAACGGTAGTGCATTCACCACTTGTTGCAAAAGGGGTTCAAGGGGGAATCTGGCGGGCTATTCTGATTAATATTGTAGGTGTGTTAACCTTAGAATATGCACCACCTGCTTCACCGTGGACATTAAAGATTCCGACACGTCCTTATAAAAGTTAGGCCATTGTGTGCCGACGTCATAGTCAAAATAATTAAATATAACAACATGAAAATCACTTGCTTGGCATTACACTTAGCAACATCGCCCCCTCCAGTGAAACTTCTGCAGAATACGTAAAACGTAGCACCTTCCTTCATGATATAGCCTTGAAGTGTAAGAATGGAGCGAACGCTAAATGTACTTAATCATACGTCTTGTTCCTGGAATTAATAAGCGAGAGGGAATCGGCAGTGCAAACGAAGCGGAAAGGAATTGCAGACTAGGGGGTAGCATAAGATTAGAAGCAACCGCATGCAGTTTTCTCTCATAGACAAGTGTTCGCCATACGCTGGGCTCATGATTCTTTTCCTTGGCGGCGGTGAGGGTGTTCTGCACAGTGGCAGCTGCTGTGTGGAGGGAATACTGGAGTGCAGGTTTAGCAGTGACGTTTAACCCCACATGTCTTTCTTGCAAATGCCAACGATTCCATGGAGATTGTCTCTGCCCCTCCAGGTGTCCATTAACTTCGGACCGCACTTCAAGTACCCACCAAAGGGGCTTGATTTTCAGCCGGTGAGTTGCGCGTTTCTGAACGAAAAATTTATGGGGATAATTTGTCTCTTGGCAAATTACGTTTTTAACAAGTGGTGTTTTATAACAGTGATGTGCCCCCCCTCCTTCCCCACCCATCGATGCCCTGGGACTCATGGGTGCTGCTCTGACTGACCCAGCTTTCCCTGAGGCTCATTGTTGTTTGGTGCTGGCACTCAATTGATTTGCTTAAGGTTGTGCTGCAGCGTTGCTCTCTCTCTTTTTTCCGACGTTTCCCTGGCCTGGCTCCCACAACACGTCTTCTACACTATTGTGTTGTATGTCATTTTTGTATAGGCTCTTCCATTTAGATGATGTATAAATTAAAATTATCCATGCGTGTGTGTGTTTGCATGCACCTGCACGCTTATGCCTGGCAGGTGAGTGATATGGGCCGTCGTGCCGTGGTGGAGCACAGTCTGGCCGACCTTCTCTTCCACACGGAGACTGAGGTGGACGGGAGGCGCAGCCCCGCATGGGAGCAGTAGCTGACGGCTCACGACGGCTCACGATGGCTCACGACGGCTCACGACGCCTATCGCCACCGTAGCCGCCCGGGAATCTCGCAGAGCACTTGGAAGAGAAGCGGTCGTAAGAGCGTGGGTGCGGTGGGGGGGGAGGAAGTGTTGCCCCACCCAGCACCTTTATTGGGAGTTGTGACCTCATAAGCTTCGGTTCAAGCGTTTGGGGGTTCAGGGGAAGCGAGGCACAAAGCAGAAAGGGGAATGACTGTGGAAGGGCTGGATTACTTTAGGAAGTAGGTGGTGAAGGGAAACGGGCGAGAGAATCCCACTTGGGAGGAGTAGGTCATAGGGCAAGGTGGGACCGGATGCTGAACCTGTGGTGCATTTTTGTATTTTGAGACTTTGTGCGGCGTTGGCACTTACAGTGGACTAAGGTAGGCAGACGCGGGAGAGAGCGGTGCTCGATATGGGCTTAGCTTAGAGGGATTGGTGTCTAGATGGGAGAGATGGGGATTAGAAGTTAAAGTCAGGTACATTGATTCAGATCCTCTTCCAAATAAGTGGCAGGTCTGGCTGGCTGAACGCAGGTGCAGGTGCTCCTGGGAATGTAGTTGAATTGTTTAAACCTCATTTATCGGTCACCTTCCAATTTCTGATTTTTTTTGTGGCTCTTCTGAAATGACTGTGTTGCCCTAATTAGTAAAACGTGAAACATAGGCCAACCTTTCCAACAGATGACTTGAAGAAACAAATGTCTTGTGAAATACACAGGAGTTTTAATGTAGTCCGTGCAACCGTGCACTATTAATGTGTGCCTACTGGCGGTTTGGCTATTAGCTTAGCGTAACTTATTCACTCACGGAGGGGGGTGGGGGCAGTCATTTCAGAGTGAAGTTTTAATCTCACTACGTAGGGTGTTGCTGTGCTCCCTCTGACACAGGTTTGCGCTCTAGCTGCCTTGAACAAGGGAGGGTTTCATTGACAGATACCTCATTTCAGTTTAACATTACGTTTCCTGCTACTACAATGGCTGTACTGTTACTGAAAATCTATGTATTTATTGATCCATGTAGACTACAGTGCTCGGTTATGAGATACCTGTAGCAGCACACGCATCGCCAGGCAACATTTTTACTTGTAGGCGTTTGCCGAAGTTGTGCAACGTCCTCCGTCTTCTGTTTAAAAAAGGCTGCAGTCTTGAATGTCTTATGCGCTCCAGCAGTAACAATGAAACATTAAAGTGTGAGCTGTATTGAGAGTAGCCAAAGATAAGCCTTTGCTAGTATTTGTACATTGGTGTTGAGCTGTTTGGGGAAGCCCTCTCGGATGACAACTCGCTTCTATTTCCCGTATCCTCAGACCCTTGTATATACAGTAGTAACATTATGTTTCGAACACCACCAACACGGTTTCGTACAGGATCCACAAAGTTGTCTGGTAGTCGGGTCCCCCTAGTTTAATTAAATAATGGGACTGGCGTTTCAAGTAGCAGTGTTAAGCCAATTTAAACAAAACCTGGTATTGTAAAAAGTATTTACATTTCATTAAGTGTCACTGGTAATAAGTCTGACTATGGGGAGATATGTGAAGGTCTTTTGTTTTTAAGATGGAACCACCATTGTATTGTCTCAAATATGTGTTACAGTGCCACGACAGCCTCTATATACATGTTTTTAAAAACACTATTAATAGGGTAGGTGAATTTCAGGTTATGTCCCAATTGACGCTGCAGGCATAGCACGTGGAGCGCGTTTGCCCATGTCTGATTTTAAACTGTTGGGGCGCAAGACCGAACATGCGATCTGAGCGTTGAAAATGTTCTGGCATGCCTTGTTGCTTGAAGCGACACTTGGGATTTAACCCAAACATGTCGCATGCCCAACCGGCAAATGTGCGACCATCGGTGCTTCTGTTTTCCATTTGCCTGAGTTTTATAACGAGCAAGGGAAACCTCGGAGGTCCGAGAGGGCGTGTGTCTTGGCTGCCACCACCGCCAACATGTAATGTTCTGCCAGCAGTAGAAGCAGGGCTGCAGTGCACGGTGCTGCCTTGCCGACGCGCATTCCAGCGTCATAGTGTTACGCAGTCTGCGACTTAGCAGTGTCTAACTCTTCCATGTATTATATTGGTGGTGTATTTGAAGGTCACCAGTTCACAATGAAGTAAGGCAGTGTGTTTTTTTTTAAAATGCGTTCGCGTACACGTTACTACTGTTGTACACTATTCAGGTGTCGATTATGGCTGTCTCGTGTGCATTTTTGCTGGGCGTAAAAATGTCGATGTTGAAATGAAACAGTTGCCTCGACATAAGTGGTCCAATAATGTACTTTTGCTTAAAAACGCACAAAGTGAAATAAACGTGAGCAGATGGGGAACACAAGATAATGCCTGGTGTGCTTGCTGGTGGTGTTTCAAAACAGTGGTTCTCTATTCCAGCTCTCACGACAGTGGTATGGTAAAGCAACCCATGCAAGATGAAAGGAAATCACCGTAATGCCATTTATGTATCCAGGTAAGTATCATTTGAGTCTCAAGACTTTTCCAGGATGGTCCTGTATTAGGATGTTTATTATTTTGCTTTTGAAGGTGAGCCAGAGGTATCTGAAAACACTGCATTTGAGGCGATAACTTGCAAACTTCTTCTTCCTAGCGTTGTTCCCGCTGTGGCGCAGGGTCCGCTTTTCGGCATTGTCTTCTCCATTTGGCTCGGTCCAGGGCATCTTCAGGGGATGCGTTGACCGTCTTCATGTCTTCCTTTATTCGGTCCATCCATCGCTTCTTCGGACGTCCGCGTGGACGGCGGCCCTCTGGCTCAATACGCACGGCAGTCTTGGCCACTGATGACTCTTCATTTCGCATCACATGGCCGTACCACCGAAGCCTTGCCTCAAGCATCTTGTCCGCAATGGGGGACACACCAAGTCGCTTCCGAACGTCTTCGTTCCTGACACAATCCCATCGAGTGAGCCCGAGGCTCCATCTGAGCATCCTCATCTCCATGGTGTGGAGAGCTTGTTCGTGTACAGTTGTGGCTGGCCAGCACTCGGATCCATAGAGTGCCACCGGTCGGACGATGGTCTTGTATATTTTTCCCTTCAGCCTATCCGGCATTTTCCGATCACAGAGGACTCCAGTGACTTGCCTCCATTTCATCCACGCCGCATTGACTCGTGACCTCACATCAGTCGTGATGCTACCATCTGAGCTGATGGTGGAGCCCAGGTACTTAAAGTCCGTCACTTTCTTCAGATCTTCTCCGTCAATACTGATGGTGCCGTCGGTTTGGGGGCCACACTCCATATACTCCGTCTTTTTGATGTTGAACCTCATCCCGTTTTCGTCCAAACGTTCCTTCCACAGGCGCGTTTGTCTTTCCACTTTTCCTCTCTCTTCATCTGAGAGGAGGACGTCATCCGCGTAGAGAATTGACCATGGGAGGGGCGTGTGCAGGTCGGCAGCGATCTGCATATACTGTACGTTATAAACCTACTTGCTGCTTTGCTATGAAGTAGCGCTACTTCCTTTAATCTGCAGATTGGGATACTTTGCACATGCTGCTCTATGCATAATCCACCAACCCTACAACCTCTAGAGCATCTGATTCCAGCTGTGCGCCTCCATGCCCGACCCAAAGGGGTTCTCCAGCACGACTACTGCTGGTATTACTGTTGGTGGTGGTGGTATTCTTGTTGGTGATGTTATTCCTGCTGATGCTGCTGCTTCTTCTTGGTTCTTTCGGTAAAGTCACGTAGAAGGAAAATAATAAAAATAAAATAATTCTCACGACGTTTCGGCCACAACGCAAGCAGCCGTCTTCAGGTGGAGAACAGGTCTGTCGAGAAGGCAGAGTCTGAATGTTCTTCTCGACAGACCTGTTCTCCACCTGAAGACGGCTGCTTGCGTTGTGGCCGAAACGTCGTGAGAATTATTTTATGATGTTTTATTTTTATTATTTTATTATTTTCCTTCTATGTGACTTTACCGAAAGAACCAAGAAGATGAATCCCTGCAGTCACGAAAGCTTTAAATCGAAAAGAGATGCTGCTACTGTTATCACTGTTCGTGGTGCTGTTTGTGCTGCTACTGGTGTTGTTACTGTTGCTGCTGTTGCTACACCAATACACGTGGTCCGACCATGGCCAGGGGCAAACCTGGGGAGTCACCAGAGCCTCTCCCTCCGTTGCCACACCCTGCACAGCTGTTCAGCCTAAGTGGATTAAAGGTAAACACTCCACAAAAACAGCTCTTACAGTGTAGATTCCTGTCCAACGCCGTGTGTCCAGGGTTGTCAAAGACAATTGTGAGGCTTTGTTATCGAAAATATTCAAATCATGGCCGAGGCACTCTAGTCAGCAATCTGTTGACACGATCGACATTGGATTCAACGTTACGTTTGTGAGTGTCTTCCTCTTAAAATCAGGTGAAAGTGTTGTCCAGCAATTGATTCTGCCACTGCTGGCCAGACGTCTGGAAACAAGTGAGAAGTACCCATCAAACGCAACTTAGCCATGCCATGGTCTAACTCTGGTTCTTAACTTGGGGTGCACGCACCCCCTGGGGATGCGAGGACATGGCAACATTTCTTCGAAGGTAAATAATCGAAACAAATGGAGCACGGGCACATAAGCACAACTACTTTGGTTCATCAAACATAGGTATTAACATGCTTGTTTTAAAGATTGAGAACCAAGGTCGTGCAACGCTGCAGTAAAGGTTAACAACTACTGCTCTAACTTTGTGCATTCCGTTTATCCTGCTGGGTGGACAGGCGGGGGGTGGAGGGGCGGTAGATTAATAACCTTGCACCATTGTTTAGACTGCCGTGCCGGGAGATCGAATTGAACTTGACGACCTGTGGATTGCAAGTACTGTACTGTGGCGCTCTGGCAGCAACCAGGTTAAGAATGTAGTTTAGTTGAAATGTAATTTGCACGGTAAACTTCATGTACCTCCTTGGTGGAAAGGCAATTTCCATCAATACCTGGCGAGAGAAAAAAAAAACCCAGACATTGTCATCGTAATTATTTATGCCAAGTTGATTTTTTTTTTACTCCAAATGCCCGGAAAAGTGACTTCCACCTCCGCATGAATGAGGGGGCCCTGTGAACAACCACGCACAAACACCCCCCATACATTCCCTGCAGGTGAATCGCTTTAATTGGACCAAGTAACGTGGGGTGCGTGTGAGTGAGTGAAGGAGTGCGTGCTGGGAATGACATTCATTGGCAGTCCAACTTAATCGGAGCAGACCTGTCCACCCACCTACAATTTTGAACCGTGGTTGGTGAATCGCACAGAGATGGCCCGAAACTGTGAGCCTCCCATCAGGTGGCCAGATAATAGCAGTACAGCAAGTAGGTATCATTTATAGCACAGTACGTATAAGTGGAATTGAGTTATCCCACGGTGTGCGTGAAGTTTTCTCCCGGGACTCGGCTTCTTCCCACGTGCAATCGAGTCATGATTTAAACAGGGACTTTTGCCAAACTTCCCACTGTAGGGCTCTTAAAAAAAAGCGACGAGAGACTCAATCCCATTGCAGATTATTTTACCTTTTAAAGTCCGTCTCCCTGCTCAAACGAGCAACGGGATGCAGCTTGTTTCTGCTGGTGGCCCTGAGCCAGTGGTGGAAATTCCACATTCCTATGGCAGGGAATAGATTTGTGACACGCATTGCAGTTGTCCTGGTTTACATGAAGGACGATGAAAAAAGTCCTGGCAAGGGCTGCTGTCCCTGCAGGGAGACGTGAGCGAGGGAGAGCAGGAGTAAGGCGAAGATGGAGACTGTCGGGCATAAAGACAGGAGGCAGGGGGAGAGCCACGCTTGTATTGTAAAAGTAAAACGCGGCTGAACTTTCTCTAGATGGCTCCACCCTAGCCGAGCTCATACCTCCCCAAACGGACCAACTCCGATCAAAACACGGAAGGGCAGGGGAAGAGGAGGCGCAGGACGGGGGAGGGGGGAGGAGGAAATTAATTGAACGACGTTGGGTGGAGGCGAGGCGTGGATTCGGGGACTGTGGGGGGGTTGAGACTGCCTCTTCCTCCTCCTCCCTCGACTCCGCCAAGACGGGAGGAGCACGCAGCTCCATCTGGGGCTGAGCCAGGCGACGTCGTCCTATAGAAGAGAGTTACTGCACTCCGATCGCGTGAGTCAGTAGGGGAGAAAGAGGCACGGAGGAAGCAGAAAGTTGCAGCTGTGCAGAGCACGCACGGCGCAGCAATCGTAAGCGCAGGGGATTCCTGCGAAAGGCGACGCAAGAGGAGGGGCGGAGTGGCGGAGGCGATGGATAACTCTTACGTTAAAGAGGCGAAGGAGGTCCTGGCCTATTTCGGGGTGGACGAAAGCAAGGGGCTGTCGCAAGACGAGGTGGTGATTCTGCGAAAAAAGCACGGTCCCAACGGTGGGTGAGGTGTCCGTGCGTGCGTGGGTGGGTGTGTGCGTGGGTTTCTTGCACGGGTGTGCGCGCATACGATTGGTGGTGTGTCACTTTCTACACGGTGTGTGCAAGTGTGTGTGTGTGTGTTACTCTTCGTCATGACTGCGCGTGTCCTGCACGGGTGTGTGCGCGTGTGCTTTGCGTTTACGCGAGAGAAAATCCCGGCAGGGAATGTCAAAGCGCTTGACGGGCTCCCGTCATGTGAATGTGGAATTACCGCCGTCGAGTTCGCGTCGAGGCCGGAAAGCTCCGTCTGAGTCTGGGGGGGGGGGCTCTCTTCGTCTCTCTCTCTCTCGAGTTGTTTACGAGTCCAAGTGCGAGCGCGTGCGGTGGCGCTCTGCGTGCCCATGAGACGCGTGTGGGGAGCGGTGGCGCGGCGGTTAGCGCACTGCGCTCGACGAACCCGTCGACCTGAGGTCAATTCCAGGCCACGGGCCAGCATCGGTGGCGAGTGATGTCTGAACCCGAACTGGGCCTCTCCTCGGTCTACTCGGCCTTAAAACGAGTGCCTGGCGCGGCGTGTGAACATCAGCATTGGGGAGACAAAGGCGGCCGGGCATGGGGCTGGCCACCCACCCCCGCGTGTGTCTTCCCGGCCTTCATAGGTGCTCGCTAACAGCACTTGCCCCAACAGTCTGATGAAGCTATACGGGGAGTCTTTGTGTATGTACGTGTGGCTGTGTGTGTGTGTGTGTGCTGCGTTTGTTGTAGCTGCGTATATCTTTGTCCGTGTGTGTGTGTCTTGTATGTGCGTGTGTGTGTGTACGTGTGTGTATCGCTGCGTGTGTGTGTGTGTGTCGCTGCGTGTGTGTGTGTACACGTGTGTGTGTCGCTGCGTGTGTGTGTGTACGTGTGTGTGTGTACACGTGTGTGTGTACGTGTGTGTGTGTACACGTGTGTGTGTGTACGTGTTGCTGCGTTGCTGGCCACCCACCCACCTCCTCTTACGCCTTGGCAGCCTCAGCACTTGCCCCAAACGGCGTGTTAAGGCAATACGGGGGCAGGGGGAGGTGGTGGGAGGCTCTGTCTTTGTGCTTGGCGAGGTGTGTGTACGTGTGTGTGTGTGTGTCGCTGCGTGTGTGTCGCTGCGTGTGTGTGTGTTTGGCTCTGCCATGTCAACCTGGGCGGGGGAGTCGAACCTGAACTCCGTGGGGCTTCGCGTCACTCCGCCTCAGGGCGGGGGGGGGCAGTGCGGCCACACCTGGGCACATTCCTGCCCCCCCCCCCCAGCCACCAGCACCACGCCCTGCGTCTGAAGAGCAGGGGGGGACACGCGGGGGGCTCCCGGTGGCGCAGGCTTCGCTCGGGCGTGCCTGGAATGTTTGGCGTGTACGTGTGGATGTGTGTGAATGTGTGTGGATGTGTGTACACGCGGCGTGCGTGTTGTCTGTGTGGGAAGGGGGGGGGTTAAGCGCTGCGCTACGAACCCGGCGGCCCGAGTTCGATTCCCGCTCCACGAGCACCACAAGTGACGATTATATGAAGCGGAACTGGGCCTCCCGTAGGTCGACTCAGCCTCGAATGAGTCGTGGGGTGTAAACATCGCCACTGGAGAGATAAAGGCGGCCGGGCGTAGTGCTGGCCAACCATCTCGTGTGCCGTTCCGGCCTTAATAGGTGCTCACTAACATCACTTGCCCCAACAGTCTGCTCGGGGTATGAAGGGGGATCTTTTGTCTTTGTGTGTGGAGCGGTGGCGCAGTGGTTGCGCTGTGAACCCGGCGACCCGAATGGCTCATGGCGAACATCTGTGACGAATTTCTGCACCGGTCAAAAAAAAATAACACGAGTACCTTGGTGCGATGTGTCAGTCACTAGAGAGACAAAGGCGGCCGTGGGATGGACTATAGTCCCGCCCTCGTGTGCCGTGTTGCTCTCCATGTGTGCTCGCTAACAGCAACTTGCCACCACCAACAACAACAACAGCAGCAGCAGCCTGTGTTGGGGGGATCTTCTTCGTCTCTGTATTTGGGTCCACACACACAATCCCCAAACAGAGTCGAGAGAAAGTGTGTAAGTGGGAGGGTGCGCGTGAGTGTGAACGTGAGAGAGCCTTTGAATTTGACTTCACTTCAGGATGGCATTTAGAAGCGCACCTAGCCTGGCACAATCGCAGTGGCGCGGGTGGATGTACACAATGAGAACGTGTCGATATTCTATTTTACTTTTATTAATTTTTTTTACCTACGTGACTTTACCGAAAAAACCTAAGAATATGAATCCTTGCAGTCACGAAAGCTTCAAATCTAGAAGAACGTGTCGACACCGCGTATACACCCACACTCTCCACGTATACGCACATCACGATGTGTACGTTGTGGCTCGTGTGCGTGTGAACGCGCGTGTACATGTGTGTGTGTATGTGATTGTGCCAGCGCGTCTGTGCGTGAGTACTGTGTGTGGTCGCGTGCCTGTGTGTTTTGCGTGGGAGTGGTGGTGCAGCGGTTAGCGCGCCGCCCTACGAACCCGGTCACCCGAGTTTGATTACCGCTTACGCCGACCAACACCAATGAGACGATGATATGCTATTTGGTTCTTTCGGTAAAGTCGCGTATAAAGAGAAAATAATAAATTAAATACTAGCATACGACGTTTCGATTGCAACACAAGCAATCATCTTTAGGTATAAATGAAATAGAAACACAAATCTAGTATACTTAGAAATGTAATGTAATACAACAGAGAGTCGGATAACATAACAGTCATCACCTTACCTGGTTGATTACGTTCTTCCTGAGAATGCTAAATTTGAGAGAGAGATAAAACACAGAACCAGAGACATATAGACAGACATATAAGTAGCGACAGATATCACAGAGATACATAGAGAGAGAGAGACGTACATAGGCACACAGATGATATGAGCCGGTCTTGGGCCTCCCCGAGGTCGACTTTCGTGCAGCGTGTAAAGATCGCCACTGGGGAGACAAAGGCGGCCTGGCGCGGTGCTGGCCACCCACCACCCCCTCGTGTGCAGTGCCGGCCTTCATAGGTGTTACTCGCTAACAGCACTTGCCCCAACAGTCTGTTAAGGCTACACGGGGAGCTTTGTCTTTGGGGAAAAGTTCAATTTCTGCTTCCGGCCAATATTGGTGACATTTCTCTGAACCGGCCTCCTCTAAGTCAACTCGGCCTTAAACGAATACCTGGTGGAAACAAAGGCGGTCACCTACCCCCTTGACCTTCGAGGTGGTTGCTAAGAGTCTGTTAAAGGCTTTATGGAGGATATGTGTGTCTTTGTGGTGCGTGTACACACGTGCCACCTCTCGATCCTGCAACCCAGCACCTGCATGGGAGCCGATTTCATCGCTCCGTCTCCTCGGGTCACGTTCCATTCCGTCCTTCGACCAGCAATCACCCTTCTAGCCCGTACCTCCGATTGGCACGGTTGGCTACGTACGGTGCGAAATAAGTTAAACGTACATGCATAGCCGTGACGTGGCCTGCCCAAGCCCATGATAATCACATCACGGTACCCATCCCACAGTGATCCATCAACCCCGTGTCTCAGTGCTGGCCCCGGGGGGGGAGGGGGGGCTCAAGGCTTGCTGCCACTCCCTATTTATGTGGCGCAATTCCACAAACGAGTTTTTGTGTTTGTGTTTTTTTCTCCTCTGAGAAAAAAAAATCCGCGCGTTACATAATCATAATCACGCATCCTCATCATCGGCAGCATTTCATAACCTGCCCTCTCAACACTTGTGATGTCACTGATGGGCAAATGTAATGTGTATATTCGTGGAGTTACACGTAGTGTGTAAACGTGATGTGCGCACGTGCTGTCGCGTGTACGCGTGGCGGTGTGTACAGATGCTGTGGTGTGTAGACGTTGCGTGGTGTATACACGTGGCGTGTTGTGGGCACGTGGTGTGTACACGCAGCTCGCCAGAATCTCAGTCCCACATTTCCTGGCTTTTGAAAGAACGACCCAACAATTGACACCACCCCGGCCGTCTCCCCCCCACGTGCGCTTGAATGGCAGACCGCCTGCCGGTACCGGATGTGGTACCGGGTGTCACAGGTTTGGCCTGCGACGTGGCAGTTCGTACACGAGATGATGGCGAGTGGCTGCACTGGATTCTTGACTTTATCTGTGCGGAGTGTTGCGTTGCGACACTCCCTTCGTACGCGTGGTGGGTTTTCTCAGGGCAACTCTGGCCTCCTTCCACGCGAAAGTCAAACGCGTACCTTTCTAAAGCTGGCCAAACATAGCAGGACCCTTCCTAAAAAAACAAGTCTTCACACTCAGGATTTCATGGGCAGCGAAAGGGCGTTATCATTGATTTGGAGAGAATACTGCCTGGCTGACACGGAGTGAAGGTTGTCAGCGTAAGGTACTACTACTCCTGCCACGACAGTGCATGCCTTTCCATAATAGTCCTATATTCTCCAGTACAGTACTGTCCTTGAGAACATCTGGTAACCCTAAAGCATTATTCGCGCATGCGTGATGCACTCCACCGCGTGTACGCAGCTATCACGAGGACGAAGGAGGGCGAGATGGATACGGCAGGAATGCCAAAATAATTTCTGAGCTGTTCCGGCTGAAATTAAGGGCTGGAAATAAGCACGACGCCCCGCGGCCAACGCGGCGTTGGGGAGGCCCTCGACCAGCAGTGGATTGGCAAATAGGCTGCACGTGGACTTGGATGCAGTGACAGATTAAGCTCATGCGGGGCCTGTAGCATATGTTATAAAGGGGCCCTAAATAAAAATAATAAAACAAATGTTTAACTTGCATAGTAAAGTATTTGATTTTCTCATTTCCTACATAGCCAGATAATACCTTAAACACCCAGACGTTCAAAAGTTGAAGGCAGTATAGTACTATAGTAATAGAGCAAGTGCATAATCACTGAACCGGAATTAATAGCTTGAAAGCGTTTAGCGTGGGGCCCTTGAAAGTGCCAGGCACAGTAGCATATGTAGCTACTTGTGCTACTGGGATAATCCGGTACTGCCTGGATGGTTGGTTGGTAGGGGAGAGAACCAGGAACCCACCTCGTATGAAGACGCGACCCCCAACTCACGTCAAATTATCGTGCGGTGGCTATTTTAGGAACTCGAAGGTCCGGGACCCGCCCTGATCGGCACGCGGACTTTTGGGCGTGGTGCCAAATGAGAGCTCTCAGTTGAATACTCTGCGAATCAGAAAACCCACATCGTAACTGAATAATACAATCCTAGTAATAATAATAATCATGCACGTGGGAACACCATCACTTTACAACAACACACAAACGTCTACACAAAAAAAGCACCGAGTCTTTGTGAAAGTATGCAAATATAAACCCATCGGCAGCAGTTCTGATGAAGTGCATTATGGGTCTCTTATATGAGGTGACCATCAACAAAACATCTGAGCTAATGTGACCGACCGACGGTCGTGACGAGTCCATGGACCAATACCACACGCGCATGTATTTATTGGCGCCATCAGGGTCGGCAAAACGTTGCATCGTATCAGCATTTTTACATCGCCAATAAAAATGTTTTTTTATTACAATCGGCAATAACCTTTTTGATAAGGAACTTATCGCACAATCCACTTTGATTTGCTAAATACGGAAACCGCTCCGTTATCGCTAAATGTTTGCCGCTACCCGCGCGGTGCTAAATTCTGGCGTGGCTCGTTGATTGGAAGCTTTCTCTGAACTCCCATCACCACCAGCATCAGCAGTAGCAGCCTGCCTGCGTGCTGTATTCTGTGAGCGTTCGAGTTGATTTTTTTTGGTGAACCAGCTGAGAACTCCGGAGACTGGGATAGAGAGTCACCCGAGATCACCAACATTACAAAAAAAAAACGCAAATTTAAAAATAATGAAGCACAGCATTGGAGTTGAAGAGAAATCCGCACAGAAACAAACTTGCAACACGCACGAGGAATCGAAACCCGTATTGGACAAACATGAAATCGGTGTTAAATGAAAGTTAATTATCAAACTCCCTGCAGCGCACGACGGCTCGGGCAGATTATTTTTAGAACTGACCACGGTGCAATATACTAAATTAAGTTGAATGAACTTCAATTATTAAACTGATATATGTGACGACAGTATTACTATGTAAACAAAGAATACATGTCAGAGGCGCGTGTTGACTGCATAGAGTGTGTTCACACTCACCTGCAGGCCCGCCCATACCGCACATCTATGAAAAAAAGCTTCATAGCATATCGGATTCCTTCTCCAGTCTAAATAAATCTTCTGATTCCGTGTATGACTGATGCTGTGTGTGTGTGGTCTGGCTGTGTGTGCTCTGTTTAAATAGACCGTATGTGAATGTGTGTGCAGTGGCCGTGTGTTTTACTGTGGGTTTTCGCTGAACGTGAGTAGGGGTGTGTGTGTGTAAACATCGCCAGTGGGGAGACAAAGGCGGCCGGGCGTAGTCCTGGCCACCCCCACCCCCTTGTGTGCCATTCCGGCCTTCGTAGGCGAAACTCGCTAACTGCACTTGCCCCAAAAGTATGTTGAAGGCTACAAGGGGGATCTTTGTCTTGTGTTGACCCACGGGCACACGATGTTGTGGCTTGTGGGTGTCTCTCAGATCGAAAACAGTTTGAGAGCATTCATCCAAATTGTCGCTGTCCCTGGAGTTTCTCGTTGCCATTACGATTAAATGCGTGCGTCTCGTAGCCAAATGTGGGTGTCTCTTACCCTTGTTCAACACTATATATACACACACACACAACATCTAAATTGTCTCTTCGTCCTGAGCCTATGGAGCAACAGCACACCTCACCCAAATGGGATGCTCGTGAAACGATTGGCACATATTTAATTGGAATGAGTAATACATGAACAGCGTAGATTACAATGAAGGCGGTATTTTTTATTTAAACGAAAGCCACTTTCTGCTCGGACAAGTGTGGGGATGGCGCTTGACATGGAGGGTGCCAGTCTGGGCAAATAAACGAACGCTAACGACTGCATTGGGGCCGTCCATAAATGACGTCACGCACCTGGGGGGGGGGGGGTCAGACATTTGTGACGATGTGTGACGAGGGGGGGGGGGTTTGAGAAATGTGACATCACATCGAAATGCGCAACTTTAAATAAATATAGACAACACGTTCTACTTAATTAAATAGACTTTGTAATAAATGTTTTCTCCTACAACATCAGAGTGCATCGCCACATTAAATACGCACTACAATGACAATAGTTTAAAGCGATTTGAGGGGCGGGGGACAGAGCTTTGTGACGTCATATTTTAAGGGGGGGGGTCTGACTTTTTGTGACGCCGTGTGACGAGGGGGGGGGGGGAGTCAAAAATCGTCCAAAATCGCGTGACGTCATTTATGGACGGCCCCATTGGCAAACTTGACACAGAATGGTACGAATATGCATGGACCCTGAGTCGAGCATTACGAGTTACTACAGCTCCGCTTTGCACGAAAACTCGTGTGTAGGTGTGTGTCTACTGTATGGGGAGCGGTGGCGCAGTGGTTAGGACACTGCGTTCCGAATCCGGTGACCCGAGTTCGATTTCCGCTCACGTCTAACACAGGTGACGGACGTCTGAACCGGCCCGGGGCTTCACCTAGGTCGACTCAGCCTTAAATTAGCACCCGGTGTGGTGTGTAAACATTTGTACTGGGAAGACAAAGGCGGTCTGCGCGTTGTGCTTGTCACCCACCCGCTCGCATTCCGCGCTGGTTCTCAATAGGCGCTCGCTAACTGCACTTTTCTCAATGCGGTGTTTTTTTTGCCGGCTATCTGGGGGATCTTTGTCTTTGTGTCTTATAAAGCGTGGTGAATGTAATTGCTGTCGCCAGCCGGGGGGGGGGGTGAGGGGGGTCCCGCGCCCCCCCCCCCCCCACGTTGCTATTTGTGAAACAAGGCGATGCTGTTTGCACTGCGCCGCTAATTCGCGCGCGTTTGCCCCATTACGCCTAATGAGGCGTGAGCTCACTGGTGGCACGCACTCGGTCAGTCACTCACCCGGTGTCTCTCCCCTCTTCCTCCTCCCCCTCCTCCTGCTGCTGCCTGACCCGCACCACGCGCGCCTTGCCGGGAACAGAGCTCCCAGCGGAAGAAGGTGAGCGAGCTGCAGTGTACATACGCACGTGCACGTACACACGCACGCGCACGTACACACGCACGTACACACTCGCACGCATGTACACTAACACGCGCACGCATGCACACACGCACGTACACACTCACACGCGTGCACATGCACGTACACTAACACGCTTACGTACACACTCACAAGCACGTACACACGCGCACGTACATACACCAACACGCGCACGTACGAACACGCATGCACACACGCACGTACACACTCACACGCGTGCACATGCACGTACACTAACACGCTTACGTACACACTCACAAGCACGTACACACGCGCACGTACATACACCAACACGCGCACGTACGAACACGCATGCACACACGCACGTACACACACGCACGTACACACTCACACGTGTACGCATGCACACACGAAAGTACGCACTAACGCACACATGCACTAACGCACTTACGCATTCACGCACTTGCACACGAACACACGACACGACAACTATGCCCGTCGGCACACGTGCTGACACATGCAGAGTGCACGAGGGGGTGGACTTGGCCGGATATCACGCTCGAGCCTCTGCTGCCTCCCCAGCGGTGATATTCGCACAACCTCGAGGGTGGCAAGGCTCACCTGCAACTGATCTGTTGTTCTTCTTCTCGGTTCTTTCGGTAAAGTCACGTAGAATGGAAATAATAAAATAATACAAATAAAACATAATAGTTTTATTATTTATTATTTCCATTCTACGTGACTTTACCGAAAGAACCAAGAAGATGAATCCCTCCAGTCACGAAAGCTTCAAATCGAAATTTTGATCTGTTGTTGTTCACCTTTGGGAATTCTTCCTGGGAGGCTGGAATAGTGCGGTGCAGGGATCACTGAGCGTGCGCTCGGGGCAATTGTGGTTATGCCGTTTCCCTGGGGACACGAGTCAAGTTCAGCCAAGGGATAAACCCGGATCAGTATCCCGAGGATTCAAATGCACCGCTGGCCCGTGATCCCTTTTTAATGCTTTGTGCATTCACCAGATTCCGAGGCTGTGTGCGTGCATGATGCGCGTGCCCCATTGCGTGTACCTCTATCCTCTGTGTGTGCGCGCGCGTGTCTATGGGCGTGTGGTGGGAGCGGTAGTGTAGCGGGTAGCGGTTAGCGTGCTGCGCTACGAACCCGGCGACCAGAGTTCGATTCCCGTTCACGGCCAACACCGGTAACGTTTATCTGAACCGGTCCTGGGCCTCCCCTAGATCGACTGGGCCTCAAATGAGTACCTGGTGCGGTGTGTAAAACATCACCACTAGGGAGACAAAGGCGGCCGGTTGTGGTGCTGGCCACCAATCCCCTCGTCTGCCGTGCCGGCCTTTAAAGGTGCTCGCTAACAGCACTTGCCCCAACAGAATGTTAAGGCTATACGGGGGATCTTTGTGTCTTGTTGTGCGCGTGTGTGCACAGGCAAGACGCTATGGGAGCTGGTGGCCGAGCAGTTCCAGAACCTCCTGGTGCGAATTCTTCTCCTCGCTGCCACGGTCTCCTTCGTAAGTCCCCGTTGATTTTTTCATCTCGCTGTGCACAGCGACGCATTCTCCGAGGCGGTCACCTGACGTGGGAGTGGTCCGACTGCGTGCGTTCTCGTGGATGTGCGCTGTACAGCTCTCCGACACGTTTTCGGGTCCCGTGCCCGACGTTTCGCACCACGTTGCTAGAAGCTTCTACAGACATGGGTGTCATTGGAGAGTGTTGGGAGCAGTCCGATTTGAAGCTGCGGTCAGAAACGCTCGCAGGGTCTCCCTGCTCCAACGAGCGTCGTGGTGGCGGTGGTACTCGTCTCTTCTGGCGGTGGTGGAAATTCCACATTATTATGGCAGTGGCTGTCATTTTTCGAGTGGGATCACTGCGTTTGCACTTCTCACATGAGAGTCAAATACAAACCACAAACCATCAGCCCACTCTACTTGAGTAACAGACGGCTGAAACCCGGATTCGAACTCGGGTTTATCGGCAGTGCTGGCTCAGTGTCCGTGACCCCTGAACCACTCGGCTATCCTGAACCCGACAGGAAGTTGAACTCACGACTTCCGATTGTGAGTCGTGCTACTCTGCCCGCGCCCCGGCCCACCGCATGAATCATCGCTCTCGCACCGGCTGTGGTTTACCAGGAAGGCGCCACCTCCTCCTCCACTCTCCATGCAGACCCGCAGCATGTTCCGTGAGAGGTGAAGCAAGCCCTGGTCAGGTCTGTGCATCACAGGGTGACCCCCGTGAGCCTTGCCCCAGTCGCGCCGAGTACATATTTGAAAACTAATTTCTTTTGAAAATTAATTTCTTTAAAGCAGTTTTTCGTGTTTAGTTTGTTGGTCCTTCCCGCACGCGTCCAATTAGCACGATTGGCCATGTACGGCGCGAAAGAAGTTGAGCAGACGTACATTTTAAACGTCGTGCTCACGGACTCGGGACAACAATCCCGGTGCCTCTCCTGCTGCGAGGGCGACCCCGCCAAGTGGGGACGGCCGCGTGGGACGCCGCTAAACGAATGATTGCCAACCCCTTCCACTCCAGTGCGCTCGGCGTGAGCGCCGAGCCGTGAAGCGCCGAGGAAATGAAACGGACGTCGCATGGCTTCAGCGTTGCACCGCGCGGTGCAAAGGTTGGCAGCGGTGCCACTGGACCCGTGAGCCGGAGGTCACTGGTTCGATTCCATCTTCCGGCGTGACAGTTGAAATTACGGGGGGCAAGTTTCCTAACTCCCCCCCCCCCCGTGCCCCCTCCTACACCGCCACCTCTCCACCCAGCGGTGTGGATAGACACACCGCAGTCAGGTCAATCGGTAGGCCGCGTGTGGTGGGGTGACGTGCGGGCGTGCCCACATCTTGGCAGGCGTCTGTCCAGCGCGGAAGAGTAGGCCGAGCATACCGTGTAGACCAGAGGAGGGGCTCTCTTACGAGTTCCCTCTTAGCCGAAGGCCCCTTCCGCCAGCGGTGGCGCGAGCATGGAATTGCAGGGCTGCGCCTTTGCCCCTCGCACCCATGCGCTCACCGCAGCGACGCGCCGCGACGACGCTGCGCTCGTTGCTATCGACGAGTCGTCGTTTCAGCTGACGGCGGCGGCACGGGAAGGCGACGCCCGTACGATGATGAATTATTCACGGAGCGCTGGGCCGAGGGGGCTACGACCCTGCGCGTATCGCACTCCCCCCCTCACCCCCAGGCTATAGCATCTCTCCAGTTACCGCACCCATCGCCTCATCTCTCCTCAACGCGTCTCAATTCACCTCGCCTGAACTCGCCACACCTGGGCCGAGCAGTTCCACGCCCCCGAGCCGCGTTAATAATTGAGTGGAAAACACCACCAGCGGTGCCGCGAGTGAGTGTGTGTGTGTGTAATTAAAGTTACACACACACTCACGGTAGTGTCGTGGTTAGCGCGCTGCGCTATAAATCCGACGACCCGAGTTCGATTACCGCTCGCGGCCACCAACACCAACGACGATTATGCGAACCGGTCTTGGACCTCCCCTCGGTCTACTCTGGTGCGGTGTGTAAACATCGCCATTGGGGATACAAAGGCGGTCAGGCGTAGTAGCTGGCCAACCACCCCCTCGTGTGCGCTCGCTAACAGCACTTGCCCCGATAGTCAATTAATTACAGGCTATACGGGGGATCTTTGTCTTGTGATGTACGTACACATGTGCGCGGACACTGGCGGCCGTGTGTCGCCTGTGTGGCAGCTGAGGGATCTGGCAGAAGGAAGGAAGCAATGGCGAGGCGAGAGGGGAACATTGCCGGCGCTGTTCGTCATCGCCTCTCTTGGCAAAACCGACTTCGCTCGGTTTTGTCAAAGTGGTGATCCGTGTTACAGGAATGAGCCGCGGGGAGGACCTCGGTGAAACAGAGGAAATTACAGCAGCGAACAAATCGCAACGTTGCGGCACACCGAGGAGCAAACACATCGCAGGAAAACGACATGCAAATGATGCGCCGTTCACGCAACACCGGCGCAAGGCGATGCGCGTCGTCATCGCCGTCGCACCGAAGCCGTGGGCCACGCGTGCTGGCCGCGGTGCGCACCGCAAGGGCACGCGGCCACGGAGCGCACCGCAAGGGCGCGCGGCCACGGAGCGCGAGCGCGGTTCGCCCGCCACGTGGGCAACAGCTGGGAGATGTTAAATGAAGTGAAGGAATTTTAAAAAGGGCCAGGGAAGGGGCGAAGGAGGGATTTCAGTCGAAGCCACGAAGCGAGAGCTCCTTCCGAATGTGATCAACGCGGAGGGCCGAGAGGCGAGGAAGGACGGATGGGATGCGAGAGGAAGGCGGAGGATTGAGGATCGCGAGGCTGCTGCAGGAGCTGAAGGAAGAGGGTGGGGAGGGGTGGCGTTTGTGGGAATGAAGTCAGAGAATGGGGGGCAGGGTGGAGAAGGTGGCAGCCAAGTCCATGTTGTAAACGCCGAGCTCCAGCGCAGGGGCGGTGGGGCTCTGAGTGTGCGAGGGGAGCGGCTTCGTGGGAAATGAAATGGAAAATGATTGAAAGTCGCTCATCTGCTCTCCACAGCCCCGGGCCAGTGGTGTAAATTCCACATTCCTATGGAGGGTGGTGCGTCTATTCATAGGACGCCCTGAGGTGACTCACCGCAAGTGGCGGGGCCCTTGACCGTCACTGAGGGATGATGGGCTGAGTCGACCTTCTGAGTTGACCTTCACTGAGGGATGATGGGGCTGAGTTGACCTTCACTGAGGGATGATGGGGCTGAGTCAACCTTCACTGAGGGATGATGGGCTGAGTCAACCTTCACTGAGGGATGATGGGCTGAGTCAACCTTCATTGAGGGATGATGGGCTGAGTCGACCTTCACTGAGGGATGATGGGCTGAGTTGACCTTCTGAGTCGACCTTCACTGAGGGATGATGGGGTTGAGTCGACCTTCACTGAGGGATGATGGGCTGAGTCGACCTTCACTGAGGGATGATGGGCTGAGTCGGCCTTCACTGAGGGATGATGGGCTGAGTCGGCCTTCTGAGTTGACCTTCACTGAGGGATGATGGGGCTGAGTCAACCTTCACTGAGGGATGATGGGCTGATTCGACCTTTACTGAGGGATGATGGGCTGAGTCGGCCTTCTGAGTTGACCTTCACTGAGGGATGATGGGCTGAGTCGGCCTTCTGAGTTGACCTTCACTGAGGGATGATGGGGCTGAGTCAACCTTCACTGAGGGATGATGGGCTGAGTCGACCTTTACTCAGGGATGATGGGCTGAGTCGGCTTTCTGAGTTGACCTTCACTGAGGGATGATGGGGCTGAGTCGACCTTCACTGAGAGATGATGGGCTGAGTCGGCCTTCTGAGTCGACCTTCACTCATTCGTAACTTGTGTGGGTTCTCAGTGCCGTGGGTTGGAGTGTCGAGGTCGAGCTCGTGGCTGACTGGTTGGGGCAAGGCGACCACCACTAGAGGCCGTTGGGCAAAATGTTTACCGATAGAATATAAAAAAAAAACTTTTTTTAAACACGCTTTAATGAAATGTACCGTACTAGTAATGGCAGAACTCCACGAGTCCAGGAAGTGGCCCCGAAGCTTGCCACAACGTAACGGACTGTGGGCAATTACAGTCAACGTGAGTTGACCGTGGACAATTAGACCCAAGCCGAAACATAACACGTAACAAAGATCGTTTAAAATCTTTATTTTTCATTTAATGATAGAATATAGTATTGTCATCAGTAGGACATAAGTATACCAAGTTTGCAGTCGATACCGCATTGGGAAGTGGGTAAAAATTGAGTTACAAGATTTGATGATACAACAACAGACAGAGTGAGTTAATATAAAAAGCGTGCAATAAAAAAGTGTGTGGCTCGTGGGTTTGGGGTTAGGGTGAGGGAGCGAGCTCGCACTCGATTGGCCGGTGTCCGCTTCTCCTCGACCTAACGCTCTACCCCGCAGAGCGAACGCCCTGGCAGGTTGTTATCTGAGCGTGGCGTCCCCAGCCCAACTCTCCCCTCCCACCCTTGCCCCCTCGCCGCTAATAAGACGCCAGCCCTCGCCGTGTTTGTCTTTCCAGCGCAGGGCGATAGCGGCTGTTTGTTCCAGGCACTCATCCGTTGCTCAGGGTGGAGCCTCCGGAGCAATAACCTCCCGCTCCCCGCCTGCCCCCATAGCCCTTGGCAGTGCTGTCACCTCACGAGGTGGTTAATTAAGAGCCGGGCGACAATTGCCTCTGCAAACAGAGCTCAGAGTAGAAGTTTCCACGTGCACGTGTGTCTGTGTGTGTGTGACTGTGTCTGTGTGTGTCTGTGTGTGTGTGTGACTGTGTGTATGTGACTGTGTGTGTGTCCTGTAAGGCTATATGGGGGATCTTTATCTTTGTTTGTGTGGGTGGGGAGCGGTGGTGTAGCGGTTAGCGCGCTGCGAAACCCGTCGACCCGAGTTCGATTCTCGCCTATGGCCAACACCAGTGAAGATTTTTTTGAACCGGTCCTGGGCCTCCCCTAGGTCGACTCAGCCTGAAATTAGTACCTGGTGCGGTGTGTAAACATCGTCACTGGGGAGACAAAGGCGTCCGGGCGTGGTGCTGGCCACCCACCCCCTCGTGTACCGTGCCGGCCTCCATAGGTGCTCGCTAACAGCACTTGCCCCAGCAGTCTATTAAGCCTATATGGGCGATCTTTGTCTTTGTGTATCTGTGTATACATTTGCATCTGTGTGCATGTGTTCACCGCTCTGCGCGTGTGTCGTGGGTTCCAGGTGCTGGCGTGGTTCGAGGAGGGCGAGGAGACCATCACGGCGTTCGTGGAGCCGTTCGTCATCCTCCTCATCCTCATCGCCAACGCCATCGTTGGGGTCTGGCAGGTGGGTCCCCCCCCCCGCCCCCCCCCCCCCCACTATCCATCCACTAATCATCAAGAGGGGGAGTTGCAACAGAGCCAGGGCAGAGGGCACGCCAGACGCAGGCAGCTCCCACCGTGACTCATTCCGTGTGGTGTTTAGCGGTTGTTTTAAAGTTTGTTTAACATTGCCCGAGTCATTTTCCGTACCGTTCTATCGGTGTCACATTGCTCACGAGACGAAGACTCCGTTCGCAATTCTCACACAGCAGAGAATGGCCTGCTGAAGCGGACACCACAGAGCTACCTCTGAGATCCCTTACAAGTGACCCCTGGTCCACACAGCAGGGGGCAGCACTTTCCCGGGCCCACGCCACACATTCGTGGGGCCACGGCCTCAGCGTGTGAACGTCACCTGACCATGTCGACTCATGGATTCTGGGCGTCGTGACCCCCAAATCCTAAATCCCGTATCCACCTCCCCGCGCCTCCCCCCTTCCCCACCACATAGGAGCGTAATGCTGAGGGTGCCATCGAGGCGCTGAAGGAGTACGAGCCCGAGATGGGCAAGGTGTACCGCCAGGACCGGCGCATCCTGCAGCTCGTGAAGGCCCGAGACCTCGTGCCCGGCGACATCGTGGAGATCGCCGGTGAGAGGCGGCGATGCAGAGTAGCCGTGACCCCTAGCCGTGACCCCTAGCCGTGACCCCTAGCCGTGACCCCTAGCTGCAACCCCCAGCTGTGACCCCCAACCATGCCCCCTAGCCATAACCCTCAGCTGTGACCCCCAATCGTGACCCCTAGCCGTGACCCCTAGCCGTGACCCCTAGCCGTGACCCCTAACTGTGACCATGACCGAAACTCCAATCTACATGGTCATTGTTAGCTCTTGTGGTTTAGAGCTCTCATTTCATTAGTACTAACCTTTGTTCTAACCATAGCCATGACCCTAAACCTGACCATAGCATTGACCCTAACCCTAGCTCTATCCATAACCATGACCCTAACCATCATCTTGATCCAATCCAGCCCGAACCATGACCTTTAGTTTAACAATAATAGCTGTCTCCAGTCCTAACGCTAACACTAACACTAACCTCAGTTTGAACCCTAATTCCAACCGTGACCTGAACTTATTTTTGCCTCACCTCTAACCTTAACCCATGACCTGAATCTTAATCATGATTAATTCTAACCATGACCCCTATCTTTAATTCTAACCATGACCCCTATCTTTAATTCTAACCATGACCCCTATCTTTAATTCTAACCATCACCCCTATCTTTAATTCTAACCATGACCCCTATCTTTAATTCTAACCATGACCCCTATCTTTAATTCTAACCATGACCCCTATCTTTAATTCTAACCATCACCCCTAGCACTGATCAGGCAGAGGGGGACAAGGACGGCGAGGGGGTGTGGGTGGGCACTGATGTGGCGCGAATGTGGCACGAGCGTGCTGCATAGATATTACCGTGACGATTCGGCGAGCAGTGGAGACTCTCACCACCACAATCACCACCACCGTGTGCCGTGCCTCGCCAGCGCCCGGCTCGTGCCACCAGAACCTTGCGAACGTGGCACCGAGCCGCTCGCTTCCCTGCCAGAACGTCTGCTTTGAATTTTGGGCATCTCGTGTCTGTGCAGGCGAGGACTTTAAATGAGGGAGGGAGGAAGGGAGGGTGGGCAGGAGGAGAGGAGAGGGGGGGAAGAGGGGAGGGGGGTGGGAGTTGAGTGCCTGCAGCCTCGCGCGCCCCACGGTGTCCGTGGGCCGTGGGCGCAGACCTCCTTGTCGCTGCGTCGCGGCTTCCCGCTGGGGGTCGTGACCCCGCGGTTCCCACCAGTGAATCCCGGAGGTCGTGCCGGTGCAGGAAACTTGGGGCACACCCTGAGGTCTCCCCCTTCCCAGCGCGGTGTGGAAACGCTCGATTCCGCACCGGGGGCTTTCCCGACGCCGCCGGAAACTCCCGGGTTCCGGCGGCCGCCCCGCGTCGCCGTTGCTAATCGCCGGCTCGGCTTTCCCGAGCCGGGTCGGTTCCATCTCCTCCGAGGGACGTCGCTTAGACCTGGAGTGGGGTATGGCCAAGGCGGGCGGTGCGTGTAGTCGGGAAGGGGCTGTGGGGGAGGGGGGAAGGGGGTAGGGGTGGAGGAGGGCGAGCGATGGTGAGATCCTGTTGGGGCAGCTGCTGCGATGCCCAACCACTGTGCACGCGGAGCGTCCTGTTGCTGCTGATCCTGTTGCTGCTGCTGATGCTGCTGCTGCTGCACATTGGTGCTGCTGCACATTGGTGCTGCTCATCCGGGACGTGAGCTTCAATAACGGCAGTGGGAGACCCAAACCAACAACCTGGCAGGGAACGGACGATTGCGAGGCCGGGCATGGCAGAGTCACCAAAGTTGGTGGTTGAGACAGTCACAACTATCAGGAGAACTCTGGGAAAGGAAGAAGGGAGCTGGAGGAGGAAGATGTGGGGAAGATGAGCAATGGAGGGTGAGGGCGAGGAGGGAGGGAGGTAAGGTGAGGACGAGGAGACGGGTAGGATGATGAGGAAGAGAGAGTAATGAGGAGGAGATGGGAAAGGGGATAAGTGGGGAGGGGGGAGGATTGGGTGAGGAGGAGAGGGAGGAGATGCTGAGGAGATAAGGAGGGTAGGCAGAAGCGGTGAAAAGGAATGGAAGGTGAGGAGGCGGGGGGGGGGGGGGCTGAGACGGTGGTGAGGGATCAGTGAGGGTGCCCGGCTCACATTCTGTGTGGGCTGGCGCCCTCCGTGCCACCCTTCACCTTCACCACCGCTGCTGTCGGCTGCCACTGCTTATCGCTTGGCGATCCGACAGGGCCGGGAAGGGTCGGAGGGAGGGGGAGGGGAGGGGGGAGGGGGGAGCCAGGGCAACCCGGCCACGTGTTGCTCAACCGCATTCTGCCAAAACCACAGGGTGTCAGCGCTGGTTATATAAATATTACACTGGGGGGAAATGTAGGGACTCGAATGCGCATGAATTCTATATTTATCGCGCATATCGCGATGTGGGAGTTGGCGTATATTTTCGACTTATTTATCTGATGGCCGAAGGGACGGCGGAGCGTAAACGGAAGAATTCTTTTGTCGAAAAGGACGCGACGGCTGCGGGTGGATACGACTGAGTTTCTGCTGCTTCTGCTGCCATCATTGTTTGCTGTCGGATGTTGCTGCTCAAGTTGCCACCCCTGAGCTACGAAAAACCCATGACCCATCATGGGATTGAAGACGAAAATCTCACAAGACCGGAAGAGGGGAGAGGCCGCAAGTGAAGGCATCGTCTTGAGTGGTGCATTTACCGAGACTTTCAGTGTCCCTGGGGAGATTTTCCCTGTGCAGCAGCAGCAGCAGCTCCCTCCCGAACAGGAGTAGAATCCCGGGAAAACCAAGACAGGTGGTAGCCCCACCTGCTGTTCCCGTTGTTGTCTCTCGATGCCGGGGGAGGAAAGAGCGGCAACAGTACTATTATCAATAATTACAATAACAGCAATTATCGGGTGTTAAGTTTCACAGCCCACGGGGGCTTCGCACCTCCGATTAGCACGGTTGGCTACGTACGGTGCGAAAGAAGTCGCACGTACGCGCGTGGCGCTGAACCACACGCGGCGCACCCCGAAAACACGGCAGCCGACCGTGCAGCGCAACCGCGAAAACGAACGCGGCGAAGAGAAGTCAGCTCGTGGCATGGGGATATCACAAGCTCTGCGCCGCATTTTCGACGTCAACGGGCAGAGAGAGGTGCCGCCACGGAAGTCGCCTGGAGCTGAGCCACGGAGATAACGGACCCTCGTGCCGCCGCCGCCACCACCGTCGGCGGTTCGTGGAAATCGGCTCAACCGCCCTCAGTCCCCCTGCCGGCCCCGAACCCGGAGGGCCAGACGCGAATTTCGAACGAACGGATAAACGAACAAGAACCCGCGGCTCGCACGCCCGTCGGCGTATCATCCGATTGGTCAAGTAACATTTTGGGCAGAACACCTCGACTCCGTATGGGTCAGAGGTCAGAGGTCAGAGGGCTGAGATCGTGAGGGCGACCTGTGATTAAACTGGGTCCTCAGGTGTAGCGGGTCGGTGGTTCCAGGCCAATCGCCAACGACGCGCAACAGCACACGTAGCATTTCATTGGGTTTTTGCGACAAATTTTCGGGAAATTTCATTTCTCTTGGTGGCAGAGCGGGTGGTAAAATTCTGCCCCTTACCATGTGGGGGCCACAGATCGCTTTAAGAGACCTCAGAGGTAGTTCAGTGATATCCATTTCCGTGGGCAGGTTGCTCGCATGAAGAAGGCTCATACTGCTCTGAAAAAAAAGACTTTATATATACTGTATGTATTTTTTTTAAATCATGCTGAAGTTTTACCACAGTGGCTGATGATTTTAACAAAGTCCTTGGCTAGTTTACCCAGGAGGCTCAAGACTCGTTCTCACGAGGATCCTGCTACTACTTTGGGGTGTTTGGCTAATTTCGTTAGTGAGAGTGGTTTTGTTTAGATTGTGAGGAGGAAACTAGCGTGGGCCAGAGAAACCGCACAGCTCATCCAATGGCAGAACACTCGACCTCAGCTACTTGTTGTCAGCCACCTACTTTCTGTACTGCTCGAAGCAAGTGCCTGTTCACCGCGCTCCCATGGCTGAGATTCTCACAGCTCCACGGTTATCTCGGTGCGGTTCGCAAGCATCACCGCCTCCTGATTGCTGGATTAACAGGCGAGGGTTTCATTCCTGAAAAAAAAGACAACAAAGTGACACGAAACCGAAGCCTGTCCGCGTCTCACGTCGTCCGCACCCGCTGGGAGTTGCGGCTCGTGGAGATTTGGAGAGATAAACTGGCGTTGTTGTGATGCTGCTGCTGCTGTTGTGTTGGCAGCAGTGCACAAGCACAAGCAACAAAAAACTTAAAACATTCATCAATGACAACGCCGCGGTCCTCTGGCTGTCGCCTGATGATGCTCGTTGTAATTTACAGCGAAACGTCGTCGTACTCGGACTGTAAATGTTGTGGGTTTACTCTCCAACACACCGGTGTGCTGAACTAGTAACGAATTGGCATGTTTAGTTTACGTGACACACCCTTACTGATTGACTGTATCGGGCGGTGGTGGGTTAACGACACATGAATATTTACGCGATCTCACCCAAAAAAAAAACCTCCTGGTGGACAAACAAAAATATTTAAAATATATATGGTGACGTTTCGGCCTCAGCACATTGTTTGCATAATATGCTACGAATAAGTGTTAAGAATTGTTATTTGACCAACATGCAAAGCTTTCTCATGAAGCGATGAAGACGAGTGATTAGAATGAAAGATAAGCGAGAGACGGGCGAGGGAGCTGTAGACACGAGAAAGCTGCAGACGAGAGATGAGCGAGATAAACGAGAGAGAGCTGTTAGACTTGAGAGGCAAGAGATACACATTCGTGGCCACATGCACGGGCATCATGCACACGCCAATTTTATTGTGGTCAACTAGAAATGATAGTTGAAGACTACTGCCCTTCATTATGCTGCCTCTGTCCTCACTTGCTCTGCCCCCCCCCGCTCCCCTCCCAGTGGGTGACAAGGTTCCGGCCGACGTGAGGCTCACCTCCATCAAGTCGACCACGCTCAGGGTGGACCAGTCCATTCTGACAGGTACGGCGGCGGCGGGGGAGGGGGGGGGGCACAGCTGTGCTCACCGTCACAGTGACTCACAGCAACGTGTGGCCTTTGCTTTACGGATTATTTTGGGTCACGTTCACGATGACAATTATGGGCATCGTCGTCGTCGTCAGTCATGTTCTATCCACTGCTGGACGAATCCCCCTCCTCCACATTGTCGTCACTCCCCATGCGGGGTGCCGTGATCCCACAATAAACGTGGCTGCAGCACGCGATCCGCTTTCGTCGCTCCGTCTCCGTTGTGGACGTCCCCTCTTGAGCGTGTTCTCTCCATTCTCATAAAACGTGTGCAAATCCAGAGGCGTCGTGCCGACTGATGAGGAAAGCAAGTGGGCTCGTGCCGGACACGTCGCGGCTTGAGGGGACGGCGATCGGTGCTCGAGACTAACAAAGCAGTGGCAGGACGAGGAGGGAGCGCGCACAAAGGCGGGCACGTCCCCCGCAGAGATGGAAGTGATAAAATGAGCTCGCGTGCAGGAGCCCGACGGATCGTTGCTCCGCAGAACAGTGAGGGATGGCGACGACCCGGGGAGGTCTTCATCCAGCAGTAGATAGAGCACGGGGGGGGGGGGGATGATGATGATGAGGTGGGAGGAGGGAGGGTGATATTGGGATATGGAACGATCCAATGTCCGTCAGCTGATTGAATAACTTAATTTTTTTTTAAAGAATTGATTCATTAAGAGCAGAGGTAATCGAGTGCACATTAACTGGGAGTCGCGTGACAGCCGAGGGGCGATGCAGGCGACCGTCGGGGTCTCTTTCCCTGCCCCAGCGCCGCGTGCGTGTCTGCACGTGCGTGCGCGTGCTACGTGGCCGCTTGTTTGTTTGATTCCCTATCAGACCCCGGGGTTTCTGTTTCACGGTCGCCACCACAATTATTCCCGCGCGGTTGCCCGCCGCCAACGTCCAATATTTTCGAATCGTCCAATGGGGAGCGCTCGTGGCTGCCGGGTCGGCGGGGGCGGCAGACTCCACCCCGGGTTTTCCGGCTTCCAGCGATGCGCACACACGTGCACACGTGCACACACGCACGCGCGCGCGCACACACGCACACACGCACGTGCACACACGCACACACGCACACATGCACGTGCACACACGCACACACGCACACACGCGCACACACGCACGCACGGGGGTGGGTGGAGACGTTATTTGAGTTATTAGAACGTGCAGCATCAGTGACTTAATCTGATATTTGCTGCAACGGAAAGAAGCGTGAAATCCACGCACCTTTCAGGGAGAGCCGGTCTTGCGAGGGCATTTCGGCAAATGGGTGTTTGATGATGGAACTTGGACGTATCGCCATCTTGATCGCGGCATTTGACTAATCCGCTCGCGTTAGACGCGCCACCTGCTATCGGGTCACCCCTGCCCCTGGCTCCATCTGTGATTCTGAGCTCCTCGGCGCGGACTCTAAAGGAGCTCCAGCGCGGGGCTCTCGAGTTCCAGCGATCAATGTTTTACTTTTTGCCGGTGCCAAAGTACAAAATAACAAATCTCCTGGTCCTTATCTAGTTCCCGGCCCAACGTGTCGTGAACCCGTGAGGACCCAAGTTGGTCACGTGCGACGCGGCTCGCTGCCATCCGCAAAGCCAAAAAGTCAACGCTGGAAGAGGAGACAAACTCGAACTAAACAAACACTGAAGTTCCGTACAACTGCGCGTGGGTGTCCGGCGCTGGGGCTGCGCATCTCCCCCGCTGCGTTGTTCCGGTTGCACGGCGCGTCGCTCGGCACCTTGTCCGAACCTTTCACTCCCGATCCCGTTCCTGAGGAAGCTCCCTGGCACGCGGAGCGAAACGTCGGACGCGGTGCCCCGTACGATGCGCGGCACAACCCCTAAAGCACGGAGCTACGAGGTTCAGCCCTGGGGATATGGCCATTGGCCAGATCGACGAGGTTACCGCCACGAAATCGACGCAAGCTCAGTCCCATTGTCTGTGCGTTCCTGCATGCAAAGCGACTGGCAGTGCGACGCTAACAATTGGCATGAGCACACAGGCAAAGTGGTCAAGGGGCAGGTCTGGAATTGCTCGCTCGCTCCTCTGTTGGCGGAAGGTCCTGCGCTTCGTCAGGCTCTCTCGCGAGCCTCTCCAGGGGTATTTGACCTCCGATCCCACGCTGCCCTGAAGTCTCGTAAGAGGTTGGAATGCCCACATTCTAGCCCACCACACGCGACTTGCCGGTCAGATTACGGTCGATGGTTACGATTGTAATTACATGAAGTCCCATGTGTAAGGCCCGTACCCATGTGTGGACTGTACGTGGCCCACACGTGTTGCCAATGTCTCATGTTTGTCCTGTGTGTGCTCTGCTTGGTGTTACTGTGTCCTGTGTGTGTCTCTCTCTCTCTTTTATCCCATACGTGTCTCACACATGATACCTGTGTCCCGCACGTGCCCCACGCGTGTCGCGCACGCATGTCCCATTGTGCTCTGTCCGTGTCCGTGTCCCGTGTGCAGGAGAGTCCATATCTGTGATCAAGCACACGGACGCGATCCCTGACCCCCGTGCCGTCAACCAGGACAAGAAGAACATGCTGTTCTCCGTGCGTCTCGCTCCTCCCATCGCTCACGCACCACACAGCCCTCCAGCTGCCCTTTGGGGCAGCACGTGCTGCCCTCTATTTTCACTGCTGAGCTGCCTGATACGAGTCTGACACTTTGTTTACGATACAAAAAAATTACTTCACAATTAATCAGGAGCACGAAAGTGACAACACCCATTCTCACCCGAACCACCGAGAAATCTCTCTCTTCCCCTAACCATGCCAACCACAAATAAACTCCCTTCCCAAGCAACAGCAGGAGAAATATATTTTTTTCTGGAGCCCAGCTCTGTATGGTTCCTGCTGAAATCAAACCCGATGCTGCTGCTGCTGCTGATGATGATGATGATACCCGTGCCACCCCAGGGCACTAACATCGCGGCGGGACGTGCGGTGGGCGTGGTGGTGGCCACGGGCGTCCACACGGAGATCGGCAAGATCCGCGACGCCATGGTCTCCACGCATCAGGACAAGACGCCGCTGCAGCAGAAGCTGGACGAGTTCGGCAAGCAGCTGTCCAAGGTGCTGACTGGCACGCGGCACAACCGCCACCAGCACCACCACGGCACAACCACCACGTGACACAACTGCCACCAGTCCCACCTTCATGACACGACCGCTACCACCACCACAGCACAACCGCCACCACCACCACCACCACCAAGGCACAACCACGCTCATGGGCCAAATCAGCTCACAGCACCGCGGGGGATGCGATGAGCGGTGATGCGGTAAGATGGTAGCGACGGCGTAAGCCTATGTTGGTCGCCGCCAAACATCCGTTCCCGCGGCAGCAAAACATTGAGGACTTGCGGTTCCCCGGCTCGGGGGAGAGGTTTTTCGTCACCGCGGTAACCGCGTCCCCCTCTCCCCGCAGGTCATCTCGTTCGTGTGCGTCGCCGTGTGGCTCATCAACATCGGCCACTTCAGCGACCCGGTGCACGGCGGCTCCTGGCTGCGCGGCGCCGTCTACTACTTCAAGATCGCCGTGGCGCTGGCCGTGGCCGCCATCCCCGAGGGCCTCCCCGCCGTCATCACCACGTGCCTGGCGCTGGGCACAATGCGCATGGCCAAGAAGAACGCCATCGTGCGCAGCCTGCCCTCCGTCGAGACGCTCGGCTGCACCTCGGTCATCTGCTCAGACAAGACGGGCACGCTCACCACCAACCAGATGAGCGTGTGCCGGGTGAGTGTGGGGGGTGGGGGGGCGGAGCTGGGGGGGGGGGCCTCGCATTAGTTTGTAAATAAATGAATAAATAGATAAATAACAATAAGCTCGGATGGGTGGGGTAGTATTAGAGTAACAAATGCCTGCATCTATAGCTACTGAATAAGCGGACTCGGTGAGCGTTGCGCGTCTCTTGCAGATGTTTATCCTCGACAGCGTGGAGGGGGAGTCGTGCTCACTGCACGAGTTCACCATCAGCGGCTGCACCTACACGCCCGAGGGAGAAGTGTGAGTGCCGACCCGCCCGCTCGCTCGCTCGCCCACCCGCTCTCCCTCACCCACCGCCTCTTTCTCACTCGCCCGTCCACTCATCCACTGTTTTTATTGCTTACAAACTCAAGCACTAACTTGCTCACTCAAAGGTTGTCTCATTCACCCGCTCACTCACTAACTCACTCACTTCCTCAACCATTTACATACCCGATCACTCGCTTAACCCACACACTCTCACGCTCACCCAAGTCACCCATCTACTTGCAGACGCTCTCTCACTTGCTCACTCATTCATCCACACACTCTCTCACTTGCTCATTCATTCATCCACACACTCGCTCACTTGCTCACTCATTCATCCACACACTCGCTCACTCATTCATCCACACACTCGCTCGCTTGCTCGCCGATTCAGCGGCCTGTTGTTCCCGTGCTCGCGCGCAGATCGAGGGAGAAAATTCTTGTGCAGACGGGGAAGTACGATGGCCTTGTGGAGCTCGCCACCATCTGCACGCTCTGCAACGACTCTTCGCTCGACTATAACGAGGTGCCCCATCCCTCGTCGTTAACGAGGTGTACCGTCTGCCCCGACGGTAACACGGTCCCCCCCTGCGCCCGCCCCCCATCTCACATTGCAACGTCCGTTGACCCCGCGCGTTTCGTTGTCTCCGTCTGTTGTCCGTGCCCCGGCTCGGACGGCGTTTGCCAATTTTGGCGTTGACCGGCCGCTCTAATTTCCGTTGGCAAAAAACAACAAACGGAGAAGCCGGCGCGGCGTCGTCGCCCCGATTCGCTCGCGGGTTCCCGGTGGCCGTGAACGCGGGCTGAGCCGTGGCGCCGTGGCGACGAGCGAGAGCGATCGGCATTGCGGCGACGATCGCGATGCCGCTCCGTGTGGTCGCCGCTGCCTCCCACTCCCTCCTCCGCGCTTGTCCCCCAGCGACGGATGGGAGCAATCATAAAATTTGTTTAATATTTTTACGAGATGGTTTACTTTCGGTTGGATTATCTCGAGATTAAATCTGTTATTTCTGTAACTTTCCGTCCGAGTTTTTATTTTCGTAACAAAAACACGACGGGCCCTGAAGTTGAGCCGAGTGAGCGACGCTATTGAAGGCATGTCTCTCATACCCGGTGACCTCGCGACCTCTCTCACGATGGTCCGTGCAGCTACCTGATGAACCCGGACCACGTGGTGCACTCCCTGTTTCCCTCTGTCCACCCAGCAGTATAAGTGCATGTGCGCCACAGTTAGTCTCATATTAACTCGCTTGTGGTGGGGTAAAGTGTGGGTTGCTCCCACCTCTTTCGAGACTCGTTGGCCAGCGTGGAAGACCAGTGGCTCTCCAGAGCTCCCCTTTAGTAGAGGCCCTTCCGCCAGCAGTAGCGTGAGCGAGCGATTGCAGGGCCGCGGCTTTATGTTATTTAGTTTCACCAGGTGAGAATTCACGAGACCACGAGTAGCCTCGTTCGCGCGAGCGACCTGGGTCGCAAGAGCGACCAAAAGGAATCGAACTAAATATCCAAAAGACCTTGCCGAGGCTCGGTTTCGTCCTGGCTTGGCGCTGCCGTGGGAATCTGGGCCCGAGCTCACTGGCTCGGTTTCATGAACCGGGCCGGCGCCACCTGTTGAACCGGTGGTTGTGGGAACGCGTTGCGTGCGTGCGTGCGTGCGTGTGACGCTCCAGGCTAAGGGCATCTACGAGAAGGTGGGCGAGGCGACGGAGACGGCGCTCGTTTGCCTCGTAGAGAAGATGAACGTGTTCGGCACCGAGCTGAAGGGGCTGAACAAGGTGGAGCGAGCGAACACGTGCAACAACGTGAGGGCTCGCTCGTGCCACCGCCAGCGCACACGGCACCACCGCCACCGCCAGCGCACATGCATCACCACCACTGCGCACATCGCAACCACCATCGCACACGGCACCACCACCACCGCCAGCGCACATGCATCACCACCACCACCGTACACGGCACCACCGCCACTGCACACGGCACCACCGCCACCGCCAGCGCACATGCATCACCACCACTGCGCACATCTCAACCACCATCGCACAGGGCACCACCGCCAGCGCACACGACACCACCGCACACACGCCATTACCACCACCATCATGCATGTCACACACATCACCACTGCACACGGGAGCACTGCCATCACACACATCACTACCGCACACATCACCACACCCATCGCACACATCACCACTCTGCCATCATCACTGCGACCGCTATCACCGCCACCATCACTGCCACCATCACAACCGCCACCAATATCATAATGCCAACCCACATTATCGCAATCATCGCCATCATCATAACCATTGTTACTCCCAACGCCACCATTTCCGCCATCACTACTGTGGATTAAGGCCTTGCCACGCCGTGTCGGTCATGCGTGTTGCCTGACCATACTTCACCACGCTGGTCTGTGCGGGTTGGTGGTTTCCTGCTGTCGTCGGTTCTGAACCTCGTTACGCGTGTGCGTGTGTGCGCGGCGCCGCCTCCAGGTCATCAAGCAGCTCATGAAGAAGGAGTTCACGCTTGAGTTTTCCCGCGACCGCAAGTCCATGTCGGTTTACTGCGTGCCGAGCGGCAGCAGCGGCAAGTTTCAGGGCCCCCGCATGTTCGTCAAGGTGAGAGCCGTTGCCCGGCGGCGACGACACAAAGGAGACGGTTAACACGGGATGACAAGACAACGCTTTTAATCAAATCTCATTTTGAGCCAATTAATGCATCGATTCAGCTCCCTTTAACTCCACGTGCGATGCTGGACTGCCTGTCCCTGTCTCTCACTTACAATCTCTGCGATGGCTCCCGCTGTCTCGTTCTGTCTATTTCACTCGGAGGTGTCCGATATTCTAACAGCCAGCGCGTGCACGCGGCACGTGCCACGTTGCCTTTGTTGGCGCGCCTCGCCGCCCACTCCTGACGGTGTTCCCTGCACCGTCTCCCCACAGGCGGCCACCGAGAGCTGCGCCACCGACCGAATTCGTGTCAGATCGTTCACGCTTGGCTGATGCCACGACATTCGCCCCGACCGGTCGAGCGACACTCGGCTCATTCCTCCTCCAGGAAATCAATTAAATAAACACCCTCGGCTCCTCGAGGGGGATTAGCTTTCCGTCAACGTCTCAGGAGGCGGATCCTATTATTTAAAAACATTTTTATATCGCGCACGGCGAGGTGAACCGGTTAGACGATGCTCGTTCCGGGAGCAACGCCGTGTGGCTTCGTCGCCACCCACCTGCGCTCGAGCGCGCACGTTGAGCCGCGCGCCGATGCGTCGACCTCTCCCGGGTGAAATCGATCGCCGCGGTCACGTGCGTGGGATCGCGCGTGTAGGAATCGATGACTTGGGATTTACGCAGCTATGCGTGGCAATATTTGACGTTGAGGCCGATGGAGCGCGAGAGACGGACGCTGCGTAGGAGAGGAAATGCGCGAACACGAGACGAGGAGCGGGTGAATGAGAGGCAAACAATACCAACGAGGAGTTAAAAAGTAAAAATGAGGCACACAGTAAATATGAGACTGTAAACGATGCGAACAATAATTGATTCCTGGTTTGCATCAGGGCCTTCAATCTTGTACATTGATCGGATCACTGGGGTTGAATCGTGATTCCGCTGTCAGCCCACGTGACTCCACTCCACGATCACGTGACTCAACTCTGATCCCCGCGCGACTCCACTTGTAGTCGCGCGATTCCACTCTCGTGCCGCGTGACCCCCCCCGCCGCCTGCGATCGCGCCACTCCGCTTCGTGCCCACGTGACCCCTTGCCACCCCCCCCCCTCCGTGCGTCCGTGCGTGCGTGAGCAGGGTGCTCCCGAGGGCGTGGTGGAGCGCTGCACCCACGTGCGCGTCGGCTCCACCAAGGTGCCGCTCACGGCGGGCGTGCGGAGCAAGATCCTGGCGACGATCCGCGAGTACGGCACGGGGCGCGACACGCTGCGCTGCCTGGCGCTCGCTACGCGCGACTCCCCCCCCAGACCCGAGGACATGAAGCTGGAGGACTCGACGTACTTCGCCAAGTATGAGGCAGGTGGCACACGGGGGGGGGGGGGGGGACATGACACTATTTTGTTTTATTTTTTACCAGGTAAGTTCCCACTGAGCTATAGAGCTCTTCTTTTCAGAAGCGACTAAGTGGTTTATCATCGTGTGGAAATGTATCGCAGCCAAACACTCTGAACACAAGATTTTAAATTTGGAGGGAAAAATTGGAGGACCCGGAGAAAAATCCACGTGACCACGGGGAGAAAATGCAAACTCCAAATATACAGTCAGGGTTAACTCCCTCGCCTGGTATACGACCTCCTGTATACCAGGCGAGGAAGTTAACATCTCACCACCACTGCGCCCCAACACAAGGACACCTGCACCTGGGCATCTCAACACAGACAGACCTGGCCATTTAAAGCTTTCGTGGCTGCAGGTATTCATTTTCTTGGTTCTTTCGGTAAAGTCACGTAAAAGGGAAATAATATAATAATACAAATAAACTCTACTCACCTCGGTATCTAAAAACACATCACATTTTTGTACCCAGTCACTTCGTCAGCTGTGCAAACATCCCTCTTTGGATCTGGGAATCCAGCCACATTCGCTTGCAGTGATCTAGGCCCAGATCCAATGCACCACCCTGATACCCCACCATGTAAAGCATTTACAAATGTCTTGCCATCCCACTATGTAAAACATTCACAACCAGCACCCCTGCCAATCAGTCCCCCAGCCACCTACCCACCCTGCCACCCCCTGCCTCTTTGCCCACTTACCACTAAGCCAATCTGTCATTCAGACACCCAGCCATCCAGCCACCATACCACCCTGCCTCTTTACCACTCTCCCACCATACCACCCTGCCACCAAGCCTTTCCGCCACTCAAATTTCCACCCTCCTCACTTTCTCTCGCACGTCACGTGAGTGACAAATCGCGGGCGCCGACCCACGACCCCTAACCCCTGACCCCCCCCCCCCCCGCCGGCCCCACCCCCGGACAGGTGGACCTGACGTTCGTGGGCGTGGTGGCGATGCTGGACCCCCCGCGGAGCGAGGTGTCGCACTCGATCGCGCTGTGCCGCGAGGCGGGCATCCGCGTCATGATGATCACCGGCGACAACAAGGGCACCGCCGTGGCAATCTGCCGCCGCATCGGCATCTTCGGCGAGGACGAGAACGTGGAGGGGCGCGCCTACACGGGCCGCGAGTTCGACGACCTGCCGGTGGAGCAGCAGCGCCAGGCCGTGCAGCGCGCGTGCTGCTTCGCGCGCGTCGAGCCCGCGCACAAGTCCAAGATCGTGCAGTACCTGCAGTCCTTCAACGAGATCACAGCCATGGTGCGAGGCGCCCGACGAATGTCGATGCTACCGTTGTCACCGCCGCCGCCGTCACCACCGCCGTCACCACCACCACCATCACCACCGCCTTCACCACCGCCATCACCACTGCCATCACCATCACCATCGCCGCCGCCACTACTTGAGAAATTCTCGCTGGGGCTGTTAAAAAAAACGAATAAACTTTACCCCGGTTAAAATATTAAAACACCAAATAGACACCTATTGCAAGGCGTCAAGTCTGCATTGACCACACATACTTGTGGTAAATAATGCAAACAAACACGTTTTGATATTATATGAATGGTCATTGACAATGATTGGCCAACACCAGTTCGGCCTCCTCTGTGGTGTTTGAACATCTTAACCCCTCCTGTATTCTTGCCGGAAAAGCTAAAGCATATTATTTTTTCATTATCTAGATATAGGGCTAATGTTTTGATTGTTTTTGCTTTACTGTTAACCGCGTGAAATAAATCGGTAAAATAATGGCCACCGCTTTACAGCACGTACAGAAACGTCTCTCGCAACTGACGTGACGCGTCTCGCTGTTAAACCGAGAAATGGAGGCAGCTGCGGTGGTGGCGTTGTAATGGTTAGAATGCTAGACTCACCACGTCGGTCGTGGCGGTTGTATGACCATACTTCACCATGCTGGTCAGTGCGGGTTGGTGCAGGGTGGGAGCATGGGACCGGTTCAGCTATCTATCACCCATGTTGGCAAAGGGTGAAAATCAAACTTAGGTCGCCGGCATCATAACGCGGTGCGCTAACCAACTATGTTACCGTTCCCCACTCACCCACGCGCACGTGCGCACATGCAGACGGGCGACGGCGTGAACGACGCCCCGGCGCTCAAGAAAGCCGAGATCGGCATCGCCATGGGCTCCGGCACGGCCGTGGCCAAGTCGGCGTCCGAGATGGTGCTCGCCGACGACAACTTTGCGTCGATCGTGGCGGCCTGTGGAGGAGGGGCGCGCCATCTACAACAACATGAAGCAGTTCATCCGCTACCTCATCTCCTCCAACGTGGGCGAGGTGGTGTGGTGAGCGGCACGCACGCACGCACGCCCACTCGCCCCACCGGGCACTCGCTCGCTGCACTCGCCTGCCTGCCGCTTGCACCTCGCGGCTGCCACATGAGCACCGGCTACGCGCTCGCACGTACTTGGATACCATAACAGATAGTCGCAAAGTCATAATGAATGGACATGAGGCGCGGTGAAGATGCGTCGATTCAACAATTGAGAGGGATTTGTTAGGCTCGCGGCACATGCATCCAATTGCGTGCGTTCGTGTGTGGGAGTAAATTATTCGCGATTCATGCAAAGAAACGACTCCCCGCAAGACAGTGAAAACGGCGACCGTGAATTTTGTTCACTCATGGAGTCGCTGGGGATGCGATTCGTTACTCACCAGATACCACACTCGCAACACACCCGCTCCATCCTCTCTCTGTCCCCACAACCTTTACTCTCCACGACTCTCCAACTTCGTGACCTTTTGCTAATGAATCCCAGTTCTCACCCTCTCCCTGGCTGCCTGACACTGTCTCCTCTTCTGACCCTCGACCTCCAGTGCTCGACCCACCCTGACCACGCTCTCTCCCTCTGTGCGTGCCTCTTTGAACTCTTGAACCCCCGACCCCAGCATCTTCCTGACGGCAGCCCTGGGCTTCCCCGAGGCGCTGATCCCCGTGCAGCTGCTGTGGGTGAACCTGGTGACGGACGGCCTCCCGGCCACCGCCCTCGGCTTCAACCCTCCCGACCTGGACATCATGAACAGGCCTCCTCGCAGCCCCAAGGAGGGCCTCATCAGCGGCTGGCTCTTCTTCAGATACATGGCCATCGGAGGTCAGAGGTCGCATGCGCGTGTCACCACTAACCGGCAACTACTCGCACCACCGGCACCACCTGAGACCACCGGAGTCGATAGACAGCATGTTTATTTATTTATCTACCGTCCTGCCAAAGGTGGCCGAGCGTCATGGCGAGCGACTCGCAATTGTAAGGTTGCGAATTAAAATCCTGATTGGGAGGGTTGACTCGGCTCATCATTCCTCCAGGGTCGATAACAATAGTACCATTGGTCAACGGCAGTTTTGCTCTGAATAGACTCGCCCCTGTCAGGCGAATGTGGAATTTTCTGTACTCGCTCGGGGCTGTAAATTTGAGCAGGGAATCAACTTTTGACCGTAGGATAACAAAACATGAGCCGACAACAAGCCTCCTTCCCATTTTTGTCCCTCCACATGCAACATGTTATCCACTTAAAACCGGATAAAGGTATCTCTGGGTGATTTCCATAAATTGTGTGTGAATTCCCAACGCTTAGAAATCGATAAAATCCGAGGAACCTCCGGCGCCGCTGGCAAATTTGCTCGCGAGCAAATGTTGTGGCAGAAAACAAAAACGATGCCTCGTGCTCCTCCTTATCCTCTTCCTCCTTGCTTGATTTCTCACTGAATATTGTCTGGGTCCCTGGCAGACCAGTGTGGGCAGACCAGTGTGGGCGGCACGTGACCAATGTGCAGGCACAGCGAGAGGCAAACTGGATGTTGTGTGCCGGATAGAAAAATACATCTCTGCTCCTTCTCTCACTCTGGTTGTGTCCCAGTGGCACTTTGGTGAGATCGCCACCACGTCAGCTGCTGAGAGTATATTCTGAGGTTTTTTCGGTAAAACCTAAGAATATGAATCCTTGCAGTCACGAAAGCTTCAAATCTAGAATTACTGTTGAGAGTATTTGACTTGACACGTCATCAGCATCACGATCATCATCCCTCTGTGGTTCACAAATTGAGTAGCGCTTTGTGGGAAGACGGTAGTGGGTTTACCACGACGGGACAAACCCTTGCCATGCGAATGTGGAATTACCAGCAACTGCCTTGGAGCTGACGAGTGCCTCCCGCGGCGTGCTGGTCGGGGTGGAGAGCAGAGGTCGCAAACGGGTTTTGATTCCTTACCCTCCGTAACCGTACCCGTACCCGGCCACACCAGGGTCGCAAATGGGTACCCGTACCCGTACCCGGCCGGGTACAGGTAGCCGGATATCGGGTAGGGTACGGGTATCGGGTACCCGGTTGCGACCTCTGGTGGAGAGACGGCCTCGCCCCGGCCTTTCCTGTGCGCTCCGGCTCCGTGCGCAAAACATCCAGCAAGGGGCGTCGTTTCCTCAGCGTGGCTTCGCGCGAGGCGGTTGTCCGACACCGTTTGACAATCGGTTCAGGTTCTACACTACGTCCGGCCCGCGGGCCGTTTAAGGCCCCGCAAAATCATTTGGTGTGGCCTTGCCAAGGCAATCGCAGGCGGGACTCTAAATTCAATAAATTTAGGAGCAAACCTGGAAAAGCAGTTGCGAGTAGCAACATCATCAATACCAGTTAACATCACACGCCTCGCCAAAGAGAAGCAGTTCAAGCCATCGCATTAGGGGTGTGAGTTAATTAAATGTTTGACAAAATATAACGGGCTAATTTTTAAGTTGATCATTTTGTATGGCCCGCGAATGATGTTATAAATATCCAAATGGCCCTCGGCAGAAAAAAGGTTCCCGACCCCTGCCCTGCAGCGATCTCTCGATTACCGCGGTTGCAGACGCGTTCCTCAAAAGGGCCGCGTCGGCCGAACACCGCGTGAAGCGAGGAATTTCAGATGAGGAATCACGCGTGCACGATCAAATCAGCATGCAGTCAGCCCATGGCAGGATAAACGAACCGAGATGAGGGTATCCCGCCACGTACCGCATCACTGATGACGGTGACTGTGATGGGGTGTAACTGATGGTGGTGGTGGTGGTGAGACTGTCCATGACGACGATGTGACTGGCCGCGATGATGTGATGATGGTAACCGCCGTGGCGATGGTACTTGCAGTGTACGTGGGGTTCGCGACGGTGAGCGCGGCCGCCTGGTGGTTCCTGATTGCCGACGACGGGCCGCACCTCACCTTCTACCAGCTGGCGAGTCCCCTCCCCACCAACGCCCCCCCACCAATGCCCCCCACCAACGCCCCCCACCAACCCACCCCCCCACCAACCCACCCCCCCACCAACCCACCCCACCAATCCCCACCAACCCCCCCACCAATGCCCCCCACCAACGCCCCCCACCAACCCCCCCCCTCCAATCCCCACCAACCTCCCCCACCAACCCACCCCACCAACCCACCCCACCAACCTCCCCCTACCAATCTCCCCCCCACCAACCCTCCCACCAACCCACCCCACCAATCTCTACCAACCCCCCCCTATCAATCTCCACCCCACCAATCCCCACCAACCCCCCCCACCACCCCACCAACCTCCCCCTACCAACCTTCCCCCCACCAACCCCCCACCAACCCACCCCACCAATCCCTACCAACCCCCCCCACCAACCGCCCCCCCCTATTAATCTCCCCCCCACCAACCCCCCCACCAACCCCTAGTGAGTCGTGCCTTTCTAGGTGCTCGCTCACAACACTTGCCCCAACAGTCTGTTAAGGCTATATGGGGGGATCTTTGTTTTTGTGCGTGCGTGCTTGCGTACGTGCTTGCGTGTGTCTGTGTGTGCGTGTGTGCGTCTGTGCGTGCTTGCGTGCTTGCGTGTGTCTGTCTGTGCGTGTGTGTGTCTGTGTGTGCATGCGTGCTTGCGTCTGTGCGTGTGTGTGTCTGTGTGTGCGTGCGTACTCGCGTCCGTGCGGCGCGTGCAGAGCCACTTCACCCAGTGCCGCGTGGAGGACCCGCTGTTCGAGAGCGTCGGGAGCTGCGAGATCTTCGACTCTCCCATCCCCATGACGATGGCGCTGTCCGTGCTCGTCACCATCGAGATGTGCAATGCCCTCAACAGGTGCCACGTGCATCCCACTGCCCAGTGAACAAAGATCGCCCCGTGTAGCCTTCACAGACTGTTGGGGCAAGTGCTCTGAGCGAGTAGCAACCTATGAAGGCCGGCACGGCACACGAGGGGGTGGGTGGCCAGCACCACGCCTGGCTGCCTTTGTCTCCCCAGTGGCGATGTTTACACACCGCACCAGGTACTCATTTGAGGTTTAGTCGACCTCGGGGAAACCAGGACCGGTTCAAATAATCGTCACCGGTGTTGGCCGTGAACGGGAATGGAACTCGGGTCGCCGGGTTCATTAGCGTAGCGCGCTAACCGCTGTGCCACCGCTCCCCTAAAATGTTGGTGTATACCACATGCGCCACACACACCGCTACTCACTACACACACCGCTACTCACCACACACACCGCTACTCGCCACACACACCGCTACTCACTACACACACCGCTACTCGCTCCACACACCGCTACTCGCTACACACACCGCTACTCACTACACACACCGCTACTCACTACACACACCGCTACTCGCTACACACACCGCTACTCACTACACACACCGCTACTCACTACACACACCGCTACTCGCTACACACACCGGTACTCACCACACATCGCTACTCGCTCCACACACCGCTACTCGCTACACACACCGCTACTCGCTACACACACCGCTACTCGCTACACACACCGCTACTCGCTACACACACCACTACTCGCTACACACACCGCTACTCGCTACACACACCGCTACTCACTACACACACCGCTACTCGCTACACACACCGCTACTCGCTACACACCCCGCTACTCGCCACACACACCGCTACTCACTCCACACACCGCTACTCACTACACACACCGCTACTCGCTACACACACCGCTACTCGCTACACACACCGCTACTCACTCCACACACCGCTACTCGCTACACACACCGCTACTCGCTCCACACACCGCTACTCACTACACACACCGCTACTCGCTACACACACCGCTACTCGCCACACACCCCGCTACTCGCCACACACCGCTACTCGCTACACACCCCGCTACTCACTACACACACCGCTACTCGCTACACACCCCGCTACTCACTACACACCCCGCTACTCACTACACACACCGCTACTCGCTACACACACCGCTACTCACTACACACACCGCTACTCGCCCCACACACCGCTACTCGCCACACACACCGCTACTCGCTACACACACCGCTACTCACTACACACACCGCTACTCACTACACACACCGCTACTCACTACACACACCGCTACTTGCTACACACACCGCTACTCGCCACACACCCCGCTACTCGCCACACACCGCTACTCGCTACACACACCGCTACTCACTACACACACCGCTACTCGCTACACACCCCGCTACTCACTACACACCCCGCTACTCACTACACACACCGCTACTCGCTACACACACCGCTACTCACTACACACACCGCTACTCGCCCCACACACCGCTACTCGCCACACACACCGCTACTCGCCACACACACCGCTACTCGCTACACACACCGCTACTCGCTACACACACCGCTACTCGCTACACACACCGCTACTCGCTACACACACCGCTACTCGCTACACACACCGCTACTCGCTACACACACCGCTACTCGCTACACACACCGCTACTCGCTCCACACACCGCTACTCGCTACACACACCGGTACTCACCACACATCGCTACTCGCTCCACACACCGCTACTCGCTACACACACCGCTACTCGCTACACACACCGCTACTCGCTACACACACCGCTACTCGCTACACACACCGCTACTCGCTACACACACCGCTACTCGCTACACACACCGCTACTCGCTACACACACCGCTACACGCTACGCACACCACTACTCACTACACACACCCCTACTCACTACACACACCGCTACTCACTACACACACCGCTACTCGCTACACACACCGCTATTCGCTACACACACCGCTACTCACTACACACACCGCTACTCACTACACACACCACTACTCACTACACACACCGCTACTCACTACACACCCCGCTACTCGCTACACACACCGCTACTCGCCACACACCCCGCTACTCACTACACACACCGCTACTCACTACACACACCACTACTCACTACACACACCGCTACTCACTACACACCCCGCTACTCACTACACACCCCGCTACTCACTACACACCGCTACTCGCTACACACACCGCTACTCACTACACACACCGCTACTCGCCCCACACACCGCTACTCGCCGCACACACCTCTACTCACTACACACACCGCTACTCGCTCCACACACCGCTACTCGCTACACACACCGCTACACGCTACACACACCGCTACTCACTACACACACCGCTACTCGCTCCACACACCGCTACTCGCTACACACACCGCTACACACACCGCTACTCGCTACACACACCGCTATTCGCTACACACACCGCTACTCGCTACACACACCGCTACACACACCGCTACTCGCTACACACACCGCTACTCGCCACACACACCGCTACTCACTACACACACCGCTACTCGCTCCACACACCGCTACTCGCTACACACACCGCTACACGCTACACACACCGCTACTCACTACACACACCGCTACTCGCTCCACACACCGCTACTCGCTACACACACCGCTACTCGCTCCACACACCGCTACTCGCTACACACACCGCTACACACACCGCTACTCACTACACACACCGCTACTCGCCACACACACCGCTACTCGCTACACACACCGCTCACCACTCACTGTCGCCCCCCCCCCACCCACCACGTGCAGCCTGTCCGAGAACCAGTCCCTGCTGCGCATGCCCCCCTGGGTGAACCCGTGGCTGCTGGGGGCCATCTGCCTCTCCATGTCGCTGCATTTCCTCATCATGTATGTGGGGCCGCTGCCGGTACGAGCATGCACACACACACACACGCGCACACACACGCACACACGCGCACACACACACACGCGCACACACACACACGCGCACACGCACACACACACATGCGCACACACACACACACGCGCACACACACACACACGCGCACACACACACACACACGCGCACACACACACACACACGCGCACACACACACACACACGCGCACACACACACGCGCACACGCACACACACACACGCACACACACACATGCGCACACACACACGCGCACACACACACGCACACACAGCCAGCGACACACATAGCAACACACAGAGCGACACATAGCAATCGACATACAGCAACAACCGCCATTCGCCACTAAGTAGCGGTGATGTCACCACGGCGCTTGTGCCAGGCTATGTGCACGTTAAGGCCTTAACGTGCCTTAATCTACAGACACAGCGACATACACACGCACACAGCGACTACCTACATAATCTGATGTACACACACGCATGCACACACACGCATGCACACACACGCAGAGATCTACATCCAGCGATACACACACACACACAAAAACACATACAACGACATGCACCCCGAACAACAAGAACAACAATAACTTTGATAAGAATAATCATAACAGAAGCTATTAGCCACTAAGTGGTCGTGACGTCACCACAGCACTAGTGCCAGAGCGAGTCCCAGTGTGAGTACATTGTACACACACACGGGCCCTTCAGCCAGCAGTAGCACGATCAGGAATTCTGCCCATCCCTCCATGCTCTCAACAACAAACATAAAACGCCTCATTCTTTGGTTCTTTCGGTAAAGTGACGTATAAAGATAAAATAATAAATTAAATACTAGCATACGACGTTTCGATTGCAACACAAGCAATCATCATCAGGCATAAATGAAATAGAAACACAAATCTAGTAGACTTAGAAATGGAATGTAATACAACAGAGAGTCGGATAACATAACAGTCAACACCCTACCTGGTTGATTACATTCTTCCTGAGAATGCTTGTGTTGTAATCGAAACGTCGTATGCTAGTATTTAATTTTTTTTATCTTTATACGTGACTTTACCGAAAGAACCAAAGAGTAATTCCTGCAATTTTCGATTTAAAGCTTTCGTGACTGCAGGGATTCATCTTCTTGGTTCTTTCGGTAAAGTCACGTAGAAGGGAAGTAATAAAAATATAAAAATAAAACATTATAATATAATAATATAATATATTTATTATGTTTTATTTTTATTATTTTATTACTTCCCTTCTACGTGACTTTACCGAAAGAACCAAGAAGAGTAATTCCTGCAGTCACGAAAGCTCCAAATTAAGAAAAAACGCCTGTTCGGCACCACCACCATCATCATCATCAGCCATTGTCTATCCACTGCTGGATGAAGCCCTCGTCATGCTCACCGTGGCTGTCCACCCCCCACCGTCCCTGCAGCTGGTGTTCCAGGTGCGACCCCTGACCCTGACCCAGTGGGCCATGGTGCTCAAGATCTCGCTGCCCGTGCTGCTTCTCGACGAATCGATGAAGTTCGTCGCGAGGAACTTCCTGGACCGTGAGTTCGCTCGGCCGCCCCGCGCGCCCCCCTCGCTCTGACCCCCCCTGACCTATGACGGCACCCGTTTGTTTTTCTTCCGTTTGAAGGTTAAAAACGCAAAAGACAAATAGGTGGGGTGCTTTTCTCGTCGAGCGCCCAGGCCGTGCGCTGCCACGCCGCCTGGCGCGCAATTGAAGCGCCGTTGATGAGCATTAAAATAACAAGTAAACCCGTAAAAACAAAGTATTTCACTATAAATCCTTTATATGCGTGGCATCGGGGCGGCTAGAGTTCTCTAGTCCTCTGGCTTGAGATGGCTGCCACCTATGGGTCAGATGATTGTCTGGCAGCATTAAACAATTGGTAATTAAGTATTTTTAAAAATCCCTAAACAGTGTAAAATTTTGGAAAAAAATTTTCACGAAAATAAATTGTCACGCACAACGAGTCTGTGCAAAATGTCAGCTCGATTGGATCACGGGAAGTGGGTTAAAAAACGACCGAAAGATTTGCACGGTCCTAAGCAAGCAAGCGAACTTAATATAAAGGATTTTAAAATGTCAGGTCGCCGACAACTGTTCAGTCGTAGTGCCAATATGGCAACGACGTTCTGTTGTTGTATGTGCGGTTGATGGTAGATGATCCGTGGGCAGATTTATCTGGGTCGTTGATGAGCCGTTCTTGCGCGCTGGTTTCGTTGTTGGCTGCTCCTCACACGCCGAGGGTCAGCAACTCGGTAACCCCAGTTTTACACAAACAATTTGTAGTTAAACGCACTCGTTTACTTATTTTGCATTTATCCATGGTTTTTGTTTTATCCTGATCACTCCTTCCCTCATTTCCACAGGTAATGGAGAACTCACCGAATAATTAGCGGTGTAACGATGGCGTAACAATGCATTGTTTGATCGATTCGCATCGGATTGTTACGCACCGCATAAAGGCTGCGTGTCCGCGTCTGCGGAGCCATGAAGTGAGCGTTATTTTCTGTTCCTAAAAAAACCCTGTTTTTGTTTCCAAAAATCCCGTTTCAGCTCCATCGCCCATGAAAGACGCAAGCAAGTAGACGGCGGAGGAGGAGGAGGAGCGAGGAGCGAGGCTGGCGGCGCGGGCGGACGCCGCCCGAGCGAGAGTGGCGTTGCTTTTTGTGTTATTCTTGTTTTTTTGCTCTCGGGTGGAAAATGCTTTCGGTTGGGTTTGGCGACGCCGCGGCAGTGTCGCCGTGCCGCCGCACGGGATTGTGGGCCGACCCCGGGGCGTGGGTCACGTGACAAGGAAACATTCCTCGGGGTTTTTGTGATCTTTGCAAATGTCTCCGGTTAATTTTAGGTTTCAAAGTTTTAAATGACTCACCTCAAGCTGAGAACAAAATATGTTTTTCTCTAAGTTTGACCGCCCTCTCCCCCACCAGCGCCAGCTGCTTGGGTGGATACACAGCTATGATTGGAGTTTGCATAAAATTCGTTTCCCAGTCAGCACGGAAAGTCTTTCTCGCCACCAAACGAAAATTTGTCCCCAGCGCGAAACCGTGGGCGAGTCGACGCGGTGGAGGCGGAGGAGCATGGAGTGACACGACGAGATAGGGAGCCGACAATGGGGAAGCAGAGCGAGGTTTAGTTTGTATTTCCCCCGCATCTCCGATTCGCACGGTTGGCTGCGTACGGTGCAAAAGAAGTTCAACCGCACGTGTGTACGGTTTTGCTTTGCGTGGGTCGTGCGAGGAGCAGCGTTGGGACCACCGTGAAAAGGAAAGTGACTCGAGTTCACATGGCTTCGCCACCTCTCACCCAGATCATCGCGCTGCGTCTCGGCAGTGCTGAGATTTGTTTGTGCATTCCTCCAGCGAGAACGCGGCTTTTAACGTCGCGCCTCGTCAACTCGCGCGTACCGTTGGTCGCCCGCGTGTACGTTGCGCGTATAAGATGTGTAACGACCACGGCGTTTACGAAACGTCCGCCGGATGTGCCAAAGCAAATGAAGACCGCATTCCCATTTCGCCCTTAACAGTGACGCAAAACGCAGGCCACTCCTCCGGTTTTGTTTTCGAAATCCATATCGGGCCCAAATTGCATCGGTGCATATTTACATTCACATGTGTATGCTTGCATGCGATAACGAAATTCCTATTTGGCAGTGCTACTTCATTACGCGAATGAAGATGCTATCGTTTATTTATTTGAGTAAGCGGTGGGGGTTCGCGTTGAGGCCCTTCCAGCAGAGCCGTGGTAGTCGAGGTTCGACTCCCTGTGGCAGGACCTCAGAGCTCACACAGCCAGTGAATGCCCTTGGTCATAACCGGGTGAGAGCCCAATTGACGTGCTTGTTTGTGCCTTCAGCAATGGAGAGCTGAGTACAAGCAGCCAGATCCCGAAGGGCCGTGGGTTTTGATTGAAATGGTGGTTGACCTTTGGGGACCCGTGGCTTACAATTGATACAAAGTGGTTAACCTTGGTGATGATAGTAATTGACCCCTAGGGACCCAGGGGTGATGACTGATAACACTTGTTGACCTTTGCGCATCTGTAGTTGGTGATAATGGTTGTTGACCTTTATGGACCAATGGATGATAGATTACAGTGGTTGACGTCTATTAGCACGGGAGCGTGCGTAGCGAGAAAAACACTTAGCAGCGTGAATATTTTGGTTTGTGTTTTTTCGTCATTGGTAAAACGTGTGTTTTTTTTAAAGAATGGAACTCTTTATACAGCGCTTTATAAACGTGTTTGCGGCGTTGATTCGGTGATAACAGAAACAGGTGACAGGAGGTGCTCAAGGGACATGGAGATGGCACCACGGGAGTGGCAGCCGGCGGTGTCGCCAGTAGTTATTACGCAAAGGTCGGGGGGGTGGGGTGGGGGGCTGCACCACTACAACAATTGGCCAAACGTTGAGGCCCAGTTCTACCACATTGTATCAGGGCAACGGTGGCAGCAGTGGCACTGCTGTACCTGTGCCAATGTCAAGAAGGGGCAAATACACCCCCCCCCCACACCCGCCCTGTGGCACTGTGCCCATGCAGTGAAGCTATTTGGGGTACGTTTGGTTGTTTTTACCTGCGATGTTCTTAATGGGATAAAACCAAACACCAACATTGCCCCCGCTCGCATGCCGCCCCCACCCCCGGGGCCCCATTGCTCGCAGTGACCAAGACGCCGAGTTACAACGAGGCGGAGAAATTCTACCCCGGGGGTGGGTGGGGGAAAGAGGAGCCCCCCCCCCCCCCCCCCAATTCATCGCTTGCAGCAGGGCCCACGCCACCCACACGCCGTGCCACCGCCTGTGCCACCGCCTGTGCCCCCCGTCCTGCCACGCGTGGTGATGGTTCTGTGCCGTTAGTCCGTTCCGCTCGCGCGGGGGGGGGGGGCGGGGGGAGGGGCTCCTCTTGGTGCGAGAAGGGAACCGCGGGGCGAGCGGCGCGTTTTTCGTTTTTTTAATGTTTCGTTTTAGACTTTCTTTTGTTCGTTTGTTAATTTAATCCTGGGATAAAAAATATAATAAAAAAAATGTGTCCTACCCGGAGTCTCGCACGCTGCTTGTCTTGGTGTCTTCCCCGCCCCCCCCACCCCCCTCGGCACTCCGTGGTCGCCGCGGCGGTGGTGAAAATAGCGTCTCGGGAGAGAACTGCCGCTGTCAATCACAACTGGGTTTCGAGACTCAAGGGGCGCGGTGATGGGTGCGATCGTGGGTGCGACACACAACTATTTAGGGTGGAATGGTGGCAGATCACGCCCCCCCCCCCCCAATCCTCTCCCTCCCCTACACGGCGATTGCCAAACCCCGTAAGCAGGGCCGGATTAAGATGTTGTAGGCGCCTGGGCTACAGGGTACGGTGAGGCCCCCCAGTAAAATTTTCAAAAGGAAAAAAAGTTTTAAGAAAAATAACAATTACTTTTACCAGGCTAACAAATCAAATTCAGCATTCACAAATGAAGCAACTTTTCACTTCATCTCTGGAGGACCTCCAGCTGGAGGAGGCCACTGGGCTGTAGCCCCTAAAGCCCCGTGCCTTCATCCGGCCCTGCCCCTAAGCCACGCGGACACCTCTTGACGCAAACTCTTAGGTTCTTTTTAAATCCTTTATATTAAGTTCACTTGCTTGCTTGCTTGCGTGCTTACGACCGTGCAAATCTTTCGGTCGTTTTTTAACCCACTTCCCGTGATCAAATCGAGCTGACATTTTGCACACAGACTCGTTGTGCGTGACAATTTATTTTCGTGAAAATTTATTTCCAAAATTGTACACTTTTTAGGAATTTTTTGTTATATTTAATTACCAATTGCTTAATGGTGGCAGGCAATCATCTGACCCATAGGTGGCAGCCATCTCAAGCCAGAGGACTCTAGCCGCCCGTTTCAAAGACCAATGTGGGCTGGGTTGTGGCCCATTGAACCCGCATATAAAGGATTTATAGTAAAGTCACGTAGGTAAAAAATAAAATTAAAAGTTAATAAAAGTAATAATGGAAATAAAATAAAATAATAAATCACGACGTTTCGGAGGCAACACAAGTCTCCGTCATCAGGTGGGACCGTCACAGCTAAAATGACTGCATCAAGTGAAACTTAGAAATCTAGAATGAATACCTCTTGACGCCTAACTTAATGAGCGGCTCCTATCGCCGGCACGACGGCGATAGGAGCAGGAGGTGTGTGGTGTTCACGCCAGGAAGTGTGGCGCAGCTTCTTAAGTCGCTGACAAAAGCACCACGAATGCGCCAAAAGGCCTCTTCGTAGCACTGAAGCTAAGCAGCGGTTGATCCTGATCAGCCGTTGGATCGGAGATTGCCTCCGAGTATCAGCTGGGATTTCGCGGTGGCGCGATGGAATATCTCTCTCGTCTGGTATGCGGAGGACGTGGGTTCAATCCCGACTCTGGCCACGCGTGAATATTTGAAGATTGGATGTTTTCCCCGTGGTCGCGTGGATTTTTCTCCCGGTTCCTGCGTGTTTGTACTCCACATTTGGAAACACGTTTAGATTATTTGGCTGCTACTTTAATGAATTATATAAGCCACTTCGACGAACTATCATCACGTGTAGCCAGGCCTGGCTACACTCCGTCTGCTGGGAGCTGCTGGGTGATTCTATACAGTTTAGTTCTCGACGAAGCTCCCAGCACGTGGAGCGGAACGTCGGACATCGTGCCCAACGACACGCGGTACGCCCCGAAAACACATTGAATGGCTAGTACTCGGTGTTGGGCCCTCTTGGCAATTAGTCTTGAGACCTGAGCTCTTATGGATTAATGAAGAACACGGCTATCACGAGCAAACACTTCCACGTTGAATAATGGTGTGAGGGGGGGGGGGTATCTTAGAGCCTGGCCTCACCACACAGGGGTGGAAGGGGGGCCCTGGAGTGTGACTTTGCTTACCGTGGGGGGGCAAATATCAACCCAGTGTGGGAGTTAGGGGGGTGGGGGGGCTCGGCCTTCCCACGACGCTACGGGGCTGGGGGGGGGGTGGAAATCGGGGGGCACCAGATGTTGTCTCGATCAGTCGAGCCGCGAGGGAGCACCCTGCAGACCCCCACCCCCTCCTCTCACTCCTTCGGGTCGCGCTGTGCCCTTCGGGCCTTATGGGGATAAAAAGGCGCCCGTTGCTAAACATAGGCGGGGAAGACACGGTGCCCAGGGCTTTATAACCGCGCTGCCCGGGCCAGATCCTTCGACCCGCCCTGTCCTCTCTGTCCCCAAGTTGCTCCTGTCAGCTCCCGGACTCTCCCGGCCTCAACCGCAGCAGAGATGGTGAGTGGACGGCGCCTGCACCCTGCACGCGCACACCTCCATCCGAGTCTCACCGACCCAAGTTCACCGTCCGATTCTCACCAAGCGAATATCATCATCCGAAAGCTCAACCTTCGAAGCTTCCCTTTTGAACCCCTCCGCCTGAATCTCATTTTAATGTTGTCATCTGAAGCACTCCGTCTGAAGCTGCCCATACGAAACTCACAATCCGCGCTCGTACATCTTAGCCTCACAAAGCACGTGCACTCTGCACGGGTTAACTTCTACCCGTGCTCTGCCATCGTCACGGCTGCACTGCGTGACCTGCACACTTTCTCCAGACGTGTTCATTCGTTCAATCTGAGTTATGTTCACCGGCACACACCTATGTTCACATCTACCCGCACTAACCAATCTCATACACACCACACTCCACGCACACGCACACGCAATCACATGCACACACTCCGAATCATACACCTAATTACATACACTCAACTCACACACTTAAAATTCACGCATGACTTGAACTTCCCAAACACACACACTTCAAACACACACGATCCTCTTGCAATTTTTCTAAAAACGCACACACACGCTCACCCAAACCCACACGCCCCCGCCCCTCCCACTCGCATTCATGAATTCATCTTGACTTCTACCCAACCAACCACCCACGCACACACAAACTCCATCAGTCATCTACACATAATCGTTTCCACCTGTCCACTTGTCACCAAATCCACTGTCGGAGATGATGAGACTTCGGGGCATGAGCCACAGGGACATGAAACATGACACAGGAAGACACAAGGACGCGGGAATACGAGACATTGGAGAGGAGAACACGGGACGAGGCATGGGGACATACGATATGGGACACAGTAACATGGAACTTGAGACAAGATGGCATGGGAGACAGCGACATGGCACATGAGACACAAGGACATTGAACATGAGACATGAGACACCGGGACACGAGACACAGAGACATGGACAGAGGGGCATGGAAATGGGGAACACTGGGCATGAGACCGAGAGACACTGGGACATGGACAAGGGGACATGGGGACACGGTTGCGCCTCGCTAAGCCGACCCCGTGACCTCCCAGGCACCCAAGCGCGCAAAGAAGAAGATGGACAGCTCCAACGTGTTCTCCATGTTTGACCAGACGCAGATCCAGGAGTTCAAGGAGGTGAGTGACGCATACCCACAACACGCACTCACAACACGCACACAAACACCAAGATCCCACCCCCACCCCCATAGCCTTCACAGGCTTTTGGGGCAAGTGCTGTTAGCGAGCGCCTATTAAGGAACCGGAAAACGAGGAGGTGGGTGGTTAGCAACATGCTTGGCGGCCGTTGTGTCAAAGGTGCTTGCTTGCTTGCAGCATTTGTCCCCAACAGTCTGTTGAAGGCTACACGGAAGATCTGTCTTCTGTGTGCGTGTGGTCGTAAAATACATGTTCACGTATGAATATAGTATTTTATACTGCTGCTTTAGTAGTGGTGCACACGCACAAACAACAACAACTCAGAACATTCGTCGATAACACCGTGGCCTTAGACAAGAAACAGTCTAAAAATAGGCGACGTTTCGGGCAACGATCCTTATTCACCAGCACGTACATAAACAGCTTAAATAGTGTAGCGTGGATACGCTGTGGAGACTCCAATCAAATTTCCTGATGAACAGATTTTTTAAATGTCATGTGAAAACAATGACCTATTAGTAGCTGTTGAGTAACGGAACAAACCTTTCGGCGAAGAGATCCGTGCCACTGTTCAGGAATCTCGTGGCCGGGCTGCCTGCCTGATATTTGGGAGTGGCTTGGTGCCTCTCTGAATGGGCGATGTGCGGCGGGGAGGCTGGAGGAGTTGGTGGGGGGGGCGAGAGGGAACAGAAGGAGCTGGGGACCTGTAACTGGATAGGGGACAGAGGAGGGAGCAGGGGGGTGGAACAGGGACGGTGGAAAGAGAATAGGAGAGACGAGAAGGGAGGAAAATAATCTGGGAGTAGGAAACAAGAGGGGGGGGAAAATGGGAGAGACGAGAGGGAGTGAGATGGAGGACCTGGGAGAGAGGAGGGGAAGGAGCGGAAGATACGAGGGGAGCTGCAACCCTGAGAGAAATTCGGAGACCTGGGGGAGGGAACAGGTGAACCGTGCACGACACAGAAGACCCGAGCAATATCTGTACGATAGGCGATGTGTCCGGCCTTTCTTCTTAACCAATCGATCAATGTCGCCTTTTCATTTTGAAAAGGCAGTGGTATTGATTAATGTTTTGAGTTGTTTTGTTGTTATTTGTGCACCACTGCCTAACGCAGTGTCGCCAAACATTGCGTTTGAGAAAGAGCAATGTTGTTCTGAGAGGGAGCAGCCGAAAGAACATGGGTGGCATGAGACACCCGGGAGCGAGGGACATTTGGAACTGGGTGGGTGGGGGGGGGTACGTGAGGACAGAGGCAGCCATCGAGGGTGGGGGTTTGGAGGACACTGGGACGTCAACCCCCACCCACCTAACCCGCTGTGGGCCCCGGGGTCTCGTGGGCTCTGTGCCAAAAAAGGGCCCCTCGGTGGTCACGGGCACCGTGGGGAGGGGGGGGGGTTGTCTTAGGAGACACACCCTGTGCCTTGCTCCCTCGCGTCTGTAAGGGGATACTGGCGCCCCTGAGAGACCCCTAACACTGAGAGCCACCCCCTCCGTGCGCTGCGGTCTGGAATTCGCTCAACCCCCGATCACGCCCCTCTCTACCGAGCTTGGTTTTAGAGGAAGAGTTTGAGGAGGTGGCCGTGAGGCTCATCTGGGGTCAGAGGCACTCAGCTGACCCCGCTGAGATCACGAGGCCAAATCTTGGGGTTTTCACTTGTACGCAATTTATAATAAAACATTAAGGCGAGTCGCTGAGAACAGGCACCAAGAGACTAATCGTTGTGGCCAGCAACAACGAGCGCTGCCAAAGTTGCAATCGATAGGAGTGTAGCGCGTTGCTTGAAATGTGCGAGGGTGTAAGAGCTTGGGAAAGGAGACTTCGACGGGAGGAGGGAATTCCAACGTGGAGCAGTGCGAGGGAAGAAGCAGACAGAGAAGCGTCGTGGCCTGTAGTGTGGTGAGTGGGTGGCTGGATGAGTGGGTGGATGAGTGAGTGGGTCGGTGAGTGGGTGGATGAGTGGGTGGATGAGTGAGTTGGCGTGTTGTTGTAGCTGAACACAGGTATGGATGAGACGACAAAAATGTTTGCTGGACAGAGTCCTCAACATGGGTGGGGGGGGAGTCAATGAGTGAAGTTCACAGAAACATTATCCACGATGTTAGCGATAGATGAGTGACAGGTGATTAAACTGGGTTCTCAAGTGCAGCTAGTTACATGGATACCCACGGATATATGTAGAGAGAATTCTAGATTTACACGGAGATACATAGACTCTTACAGCGTGTGTGTATTTGTTGAGATGGCTGTATTATAGGCGTGTGTGCATCTTCTCACACTCAGGCCTTCACCCTGATCGATCAGAACCGGGACGGCTTCATTGACAAGAACGACCTCCGGGACACCTTCGGTGCTCTGGGTATGACATAGGCAACAACAACAGCAACCACTAACACCACTTCCCTAAGCACGACCATTACCACAAATATCATCATCATCATGCCATGATGAATGAAACACGGTCACCACAAATGCTATTAATTATCCCATATTAGTGACACACAACCACCACAATTGCCAACTTAAATTTTTTATCTACGGATTTCTCAATTGCCCCTAACGTGAAAACCTCCTGATAAAGAGTCTTGAGACTCCGTAAGGCTTTCCCGGGTAAATAAATGGAATTTTAATTTTAAGGTGAGTTTCATCATAACCTCGTGCGCCTGGACATCTTGTTCTGAGTAGGGTTTATATTGGACCCGTAAAATATTTCCACACATGGCACACCACATCCAGTATGCCTCGAGATGTAGGCCGTGGCTGCTCGCTCACGTGCCACCTCCACGATTCTACCAGCGACCAGGCTTGACATTCACTGGCTATCGTTGTCCACTCAGGCCGTCTGAACGTGAAGAATGAGGAACTGGAAGAAATGGTCAAGGAGGCCCCGGGTGCCATCAACTTCACCGTCTTCCTCAACATGTTCGGCGAGAAGCTGAAAGGTGAGAGCGCGGAGGTAGCGAGGTTCCCCCCCCCCCCCCCCCCCCGGGGGTTTAACTGCTGCCCCCTGGTGATGCGGGTCAGGGGTCAGACGACTCAACCAGCACCGCTGAGATCCGAGGTTCAGATCTGGGTGTCGGATGTCTGCGGTTGCACTGGTCGATGGTCTCAGCCTAATTATTAATGACTGCTCAAGAAACATTATCTAAAATTTGGCTTCTCAATTTATTTGGATAATTTCTAACTGTGAGTCTCCAATGTGAGAAGTAATCGACCTTTCCACTGTCTTGTCTCCCTCCCCTCACTTCTCCAGGCTCCGACCCTGAGGAGGTTATTCTTGCTGCCTTCAAGGTCTTCGATCCCCAGGCCACAGGCGTCGTGAAGAAGGCCTAGTGAGTCCCTCTCGTCTCCTGCAGAGCCGTGCCAGAGCGTCGCGTGGCAGACGCGTCTATCTCCATTCACACCACTTGGCAATTAAGAAAATCCCACGATCCACATGCGGTCACTACTGCCAGTTCGACCGTTGAAATCTATTAGTTTCTGTGTGAGTATATGGGTGTCTATGCGAGTTTGAGGGTCTCTATGGAACAAGTTGTTTTTTGTCGACGCCTGTGTTTCCGTCTTATTGTTGATTTGTGCCTGTCTTTGTTTTAGTTGTTGATGGTGTCTGTGGTTATAGCGATGGTAATAATAGTATTTCTGTGGCTTCTATTTCTATATCGGTACATTCGTTGTGTTTGTGGTGTTTGCGTCTCATTGCCGATTGTGTTTGTGTTCCAGCATCACCGAGATGTTGACGACACAGGCCGACAAGTTCTCCAAGGAGGAGGTGATGTCTAAACACGCAATTCACACAGCTGCACCAGGCCCCACAGGTCGAAGGGGCCTAGTCACCAGATTACAAAGAGGGGGGAAATTGGACAGGAGGCCACATGTAATTCCCTGCAGCAGGGCCCATGCCAACCAGGCTAATCCATTGGAGGAACGCTGCCATCAATTGTCTACCTGTCTCTGGCCTCCTGATAATAATAGACAATTACTCAACAGGACTTTCACATCACACTTAGTTTTTCGCAACCAATATGTTTCATCCCTGAAATATGGGTAATGCCGCGTAATAATCTGGGGAAGTTTGTGTCGAAAGACACACAAACAATAGTAATTGGCAGGTTAAACGCTCTAATTAATTTTGCTATGCCGGGTTGGTGGAGTGTTTTTCGACACAAATTTGTCCAGATCATTACGAGGCCTGATCCAAGAAATCGATCACGAAGTCCACATTGTGCCCGGCGGGGTCAAGCCGAATGCGAACCCTTACCGCTGATTGACCGAGGTTCCTCTCAAATTGTCGCTCCTCTCACAATGCCAGGTTGACCATATGTTCAGCGCCTTCCCTCCCGACGTGGCCGGCAACCTGGACTACAAGAACCTCTGCTACGTCATCACCCACGGCGAGGACAAGGACAGCGAATAAACTGGACACGCGAGAGTCACGTGGAACACACCTGGGTGGCACGTGGAACACCTGTCTGCGAGGCACACACCTGGCGGGCGTGTGGAGCACGCCTGGCACGACGCAGCATGGCAGCCAGAGTCACCTAGCCTGGCACCCTGCGATTGTCCCGGCGCGTGGCCCGCATGCATGTGTCCGCGTGCAAGCGATTTGGCACTTAAGATTTAAAGAGAGGTCTAAAGTAACGATGGTAATAATTATCAGATGTTACTGAAATAAAACGAGTCCACCCGACGGTATTGCACTGGTCATCGTGTGAAGCTGTAGGATAATAAAGTGAAATAATTTACAAAAGCGGAGTGACTGGCTGCTTGTTTTGCATGTACACTGCAGGTACACTCAGACAGCACACCTGGGTGACACCGTACCTTCGTGTATACCTGGATACCTTACCTCTATACCAAGGCCGTAATTATAATATTTTTAGGGGGGACACATCCCCCCCCCCCTATATTTAAATATGCTCAAAATGTCCCCCCCAATATATTGCTATAAAATAGATTTCTGTTTATATTATTGTGGTTATGGTTGTACTTTATTAATCCCTAATCTCTGCCATTACATACAATGAAACAAGAAAAGGTAAAAAAGAAAAAAACTGAGAAATATAATACAATACACTATTAGACATTATTGTACAAAAAAGATGAAAAGTGTATCCCATGTGTTAGTGAAATTTTTAATATTTTAGGTAGTAAATGGCAGGAAATTAGTATTCAAATTTAGATTTGGTCCTCCCCAATGTTTTATTCCATGGCTACGGCCTTGCTCTATACATACCTACAGCTCTCCCGACGGGTTGTTGGGCTGCACCGTGTGTTTGACATGTCGGACATTTTGCTCGCACATGCTGGCAGCGTATTCAGTTCCCGAGAGAGATATGCAACACAACCGTGAACATCTGCACAATTTAACACGTAGGCTTTCGCGACCAGCATTATTCATTATAAGTTGTTTGGGTTAGATCGCCTGTGATCTCGAAACCTGATGGGGTTCAACAATAATGACGTAATCCTGCACTCTTTAAGACCGGAAGCAGGTGGATGGCTTCACGATTCTGGCAAATCGCCCGAAGATGCTGGATGTAATTGCCAGCGAAACGTCGTACTCAAATTCTAAATGTTGTGGATTCACTCTTCAAACACACCGATGGGCTGAAGAAGTAAATAATTGGCGTTTTGTTAACGTGACACTTGACCGTGTCGGTTGGTGGAAGGTTGCTATACATTTATAATAACGCGATCTAACCCAAAAACTTTTATTATGAAACATCTACACGGTAGGTTTACCTACCTACCTGCCCACCAAGCTCATTATCATCCGCCATGATATATCGACTGCTAAACGAAGACTTCCAAAACTGTCACCAGCTCTCATTGTCCTGTGATGCACCTACCTTCCTAATGTTATCATAAACACTTATTTGGGATCACTATCACACGCGTACTCTACAGTATAGTATTGTAATAGCACCACCGACCTGTCTATCTGCCGCATACCCACCTGCTTACATAATTGCCTGTCAGCCAACCTTCCTAGCTGCCGATCTACCTACTTACCATGCTATGCCGAGGGCTGTCAGTGTCTCATTACACGTACGCTATGTCAAGATGAAACGAAACAGGGTCTGGGACAACTTTAGCTTGGGCTTTAACCTATAATCCTGGAATTAACTTCGTGGTCTTTGGCAGTGCGGCGAGATGCTAGTGGTTAAAGATACAACTTAAACACGAGAATAGTTGGCAGTGCCATGGATTCTTGAACCTATCTGCGTGGTCTCCACTGGTCATCCTCTTGTATGCAGGGTTGGTATTCTCCAGATTCTGGGGTTTCGTCGCACATGGAGCGACACTTTCGTGAATGGTTTCGACCAAACGGCCCCAATGTAGCAAGCACCCTTCTGAATACGTCTTGAGACTCTAAATAAAGAGGCATTTCTGGGTAAAAGGAACGCCATTATGATTTGTATTATGGGCCGTCCATAAATGACGTCACGCACCTGGGGGGGGGGGGGTTCAGACATTTGTGACGATGTGTGACGAGGGGGGGGGGGGTGAGAAATGTGACGTCACATCAAAATGCGCAACTTTAAATAAATATAGACAACACGTTCTACTTAATTAAATAGACTTCTTAATAAACGTTTTCTCCTACAGCATCAGAGTGCAGCGCCACATTAAATACGCACGACAATGACAATAGTTTAAAGCCATTTGAAGCATGTTTTAATTTGGGGGGGGGGGGGGGGACAGATCTTTGTGACGTCATAGTTGAGGGGGGGCTCTGAATTTTTGTGACGCCGTGTGACGAGGGGGGGGGGGTCACAAATCGTCCAAAATCGCGTGACGTCATTTATGGACGGCCCCTTATTGGAACTGTTAGGCCAGATTAAAAACACATCTTATTCTTGCCCACTCTAATAAAATTACTGCCGTGATATTTTGTTTAAGTAATTGGATTGGCATCGTTGAGTGCTTGTGAATTTAAAATCGTGTTTTTCTATGTTCAGTGATTGCCCTACATTAATTGAGAACCATGTTGCTGTACTGCCCTGAGCGGACGCCACCGTGGAGAGGTCTTGCATACCACGCTGAAGAAAACCCTACGAGTCAGGGTGAATTGAAACCACTGCCAGGTCATTTGTTGTATAAACGAATGCCGCTGGAAAATATGGGTACAGAAGGCCATTAGGCTCACGGACAAAACGGGTGAAATTCATACTCTTGGGTTTTTTCGGTAAATTCACGTAAAAGAAAATAAAAATAAATGAAAATAACTTAATTAAATCACGATATTTCGGAGGCTACACAAGTCTCCGTCTTCAGGTGGGACCGTCACAGCCAAATTTACTGTATCAAGTGAGTACATTTGGCTGTGACGGTCCCACCTGAAGACGGAGACTTGTGTTGCCTCCGAAACGTCGTGATTTAATTGAGTTATTTGCATTTATTATTATTTTATTATTATTATTTAGCCTACGTGACTTTACCGAAAAAACCCAAGAGTATGAATCCTTGCAGTCACGAAAGCTTCAAATCTAAAAGGGTAAAATTCACTCGTTAGTTTGATGATTGGACTATACATTTCGATTTAAAGCTTTCGTGACTGCAGGGATTCATATTCGTGGTTCTTTCGGTAAAGTCACGTAGAAGAAGAAAAATAATAAAATAATTATTTAAATAAAACAAGAAAATGTTCACGACGTTTCGATTGCAACACAAGCAATCATCATCAGGTGTGAAAACCACAGCAATACATTTTTCTTTATTCTTTATTATTTCCCTTCTACGTGACGTTACCGAAAGAACCAAGACTATGATTGGACTATACTTTGAGTTGTTCTGTTGTTGTTAACACTGCAACGTCAGCTGCCGTTGCTTGGATAACCAAAAATGTGAATTATCATCATCAACCAAGGTGCGTTGTCAGCCATGGCTTTTGTTCAACCATACTTCACCAAGCTGGTCAGTCTGGGTTGGTTATAGGGTAGGTGGGGCGGCGGTGTAAGATTAGTGTTAAACTATCTTATTTGCTATACTGCTATATCTATATTTCACCGTACAATGTGTAATTTGGCAATACACATTACACCGGCACATTACAAGCCGTGGTAATGGCGGGATGACGTCACAAAAGGATTGCGTGCTGTGCGCGATGACGTCAGGCATGGGTCAGCACGCGATGACGTCACACGCAAAGGTGAAGGCGACGAGCTGGCGTGATGACGTCACAAAGAGGGTGGCACGAGCAAGGAGCGTGACGACATCCCCTCACTCCTGTCGTGTTTTTTGTACTGATTGTTGTTGTAACGTTCTTACCCGCCCCGACTGGACATCTGTGAAAAAAATGAGCTTCATAGCTCATCGGATTCCTCCTGCAGCATAAATAAATTGAGTCTGAAAATAAGATACCGTGCGTGATGACGTCACGCGAGACCACCGCGTGATGACGTCACGCAAGTCCACCGCGCGATGACGTCGCGCGAGACCACCGCGTGATGACGTCACGCGAGACCACCGCGCGATGACGTCACGCGAGACCACCGTGCGATGACGTAGCGCGAGACCACCGCGTGATGACGTCACGCGAGTCCACCGCGCGATGACGTCACGCGAGACCACCGCGCGATGACGTCACGTGAGACCACCGCGCGATGACGTCACGCGAGTCCATCGCGCGAGACCACCGCGCGAAGACGTCACGCGAGACCACCGCGCGATGACGTCACGCCAGTCCACCGCGTGAGGGGGGCACATGACGTCACGGTGTTTTGGTTCCGGGCCGCGGTGACCACGTAGGCGACATGGCGGCCCCGCTCGCCTCGGCTCTCCGCTGTTGGCGGAGCTTCGATCTCCAGCAGCTGCAGGTGCGAGACAGTCAGTCGGCAGCCAGCCGCCACCCCCGGGGCGAGGGGGGGCACGTTGCTGATAGAACGAGTAATTACTTCGTGGGAAGCCGCCCGTGGGTTGGTCAGTGGAGAGATACTCACTGGTCCCCCGTCATGGGAACGTGGAATGCGCAGCATCGGTTTCCTGGGGTTGCCATGACGATGTCGCAGGTTCTGTCCTCGCCGCCAGCTGTTGTCGCCAGCCCTTTTAGTGAACCCGGTGTCTGTCCCTCGACCCACGTCCTAAGTTTACATAACCTTGCCCCATAACTCTTATCAATTATTCCAACCTTACAGAATCTTGATTTATATTCCAATATTAACACAACCCCGAGCTCCAGCCTTAACTTTAACCGTGTACAAAACTCTATTCAGACTCAACCTGCACCTCCAACTTGAACTCTATACCCAAGTCCAACCATAACCCTATCCTTACCTCCAAAGCTTAACCCCAAACCCAAACTCTAACCTTTACATTACGTTTATCCTATTTCAACATTTCCATAAATTTAAATGTACTCAAACTTTACTCTCCACCGGTTACATCTCTTATTGCAACCTTACTCTCACCCCAAAATACCCCGAGTTTGAATTTCACCCATACCATTAATCTGACCTATAACTCCAATATCAGCCATACCCAAAACTCGATCTCCTAACTTTAACCTTATCTTCACACGAACGCCTAATTCCTTGTCCAATTTTGACCTTAACCCCAAAACCCTATCCCAACTCCCAAGAAAGCCAAATTCCAACCATTATACCTGCCCGGTCCACTTAAGAAAGACACCACCTCCATCGTGGTGGCGCGGTTGGCACAGACAGAGGTGTGGAAACATAGGTGTATTTAACATATATGTATTTAGGGGACAGTGGACATTGAGGCCATGGTCAGTCAGTGAGTGAGCAGACACTGGTGCCAAAGATTTCTTCATATGGTCAACAGAGCTGCATTGTGTCAATTAGCTTTTTTAAATTAGGTAAAAATATTTATACTCTTTGGTTCTTTCGGTAAAGTCACGTAGAAAGAAAATGAATTAATATTAGCATACGACGTTTCGATTGCAACACAAGCAATCATCAGGTACAAATGAAAGAGAAAACAAACATAGTAAACTTAGAAATATAATGCAATACAACACAGAGAGCCGGCTAACATAACAGTCAACACCGTACTGGTTGAGATATGTATCAACTAATGTGCCGACTTGTTAAATGTGAGGTCTCAGGCCCATTGACTACTTGGTGTTTATTCTCCTACAAAGATTAACCGTAGCTAGTTCGGTTGTATTTACTTAGCCCAAACCTCCCTTGAAGATGAGACTTCTGCTCTTAATTGTCTCTTACATTCTCCTTAAGTAAAGTGATTGAATTCATGAATAATGAAATAATAATAGAACCATCTGCAATATATACGAGCATCATGTGAGCTGACCAGGGTAAAGTAATACAGGAATGGATTTATGTTTCCCTATCCGTGTTGGGAGCTGGGTGTTGCCTTCTCAATAAGCGTAGTTGTTCTCCAGGCACTCTGGAGTTCTCACACGTGTTCAAACAATATGGGCTTGGTTAAACATCCCAGTGTAGCGGGACCCTGGGTGTGTGCCCATCATGCATAAAACGTGTCTAGACTGCTGCAAGGCTGCATTAGCAGCAGAGTATATTTATTGCTCTATGCTCCAACTGTCTGGGCTCCCCACCTTCACCAACCCACGCTGACCAGTGTGGTGAAGTATGGTCAAATAAACCCCACAACCCTCATGGGGTGGGAACGGCCCTCATCCAGTACTGGACTGGCAAACAAGCTGCACATGCACATCATTATTATTGTTTTCTTCTTCGTGGTTTTGGTTGTAACAACTGAGTGACGCTGAACCTCTTTAATGCTGGACGATGACCGCATGCAGCGCGAGTTGGACCAGACGGCGGCAGATCTCGCGATCCGCCAAGACGACAGTGAGCAGTCGCGCCGCCGCCTCATCGACCAGAGCCGCGATTTCAAGAAGAACACGCCCGAGGTGCGAGCAGGGACCCAACAGGGCCTCTCTCTCCGTTGAAACCAGGAGTCTCTTCTCGATTCAACGGGATCTCTGTCTGAGCCGCATGGTTCTCTCCCCCTGTGAGGGAGTCGCTTCCTGACAATGATAACACAAGAACAGGAGTCTCTTCCTGAGCCATCGAGTCTCCCTGAATAATGTGGGTCTGTCCATTCGAGCCATTGACTCTCTCTCTTACCCCTTTTCTACTGGCACATCTGAGCCACACCAGTGCAGGCCACTCAGGACACACAGGTAGTTTACATTGGTCATTTGACTTGTAGCTGGAACCAAATCTTGACACGCTGGCTTCACATGAAATATAAGTCTGGTTCGGGGTCAAGCAGGGCCAGGGGAGGGGGTAATGATGCGTTTGTTGCATGTGATGTCAGCGGCACAGCTCAGCCTCTGCATTGGAAAAACGGCTCTGCAGGCTAGCTCAGCATATCCCTGGCTCAGTTGTACGGTGGAAAAGAGGTATGTCTGAGGCACATACCTGTAGTATCCTTGTCGGTAATCTTTGCTTACTGACTGTTGGGTTTTGTAAAAGTAAAAAGTGTTGATGACTCCATTTATTTTCATGCGCCCAAACAGAAAATGTCATTCAATGTTGAGACTCCCCCTCGTATTCGGTCGGTCGAGCGTGCCTCCGTTGTTTTGCAGGAGCTGAGGAAGCAGGTTGCTCCGCTGCTGAAGAGCTTTCAGGGCGAGGTACGCGTTGCCTACGGAGCGAGAACCTCACACACTGAACTGCTGCTGATTAGTCAGTAGCAGTTCAAATACGAATGTTTTCCAGTCAGTCATGTCACGGTCAACTCTGGTGGCCGGGCACACCTATTTATTCATTGATGCATTATACAGGTAGGAACAACAGTTCCACACTGCCCACCAGGGATTATTTGTCTGTCTGTCGTGCATAGCCACGCCCTCGATTTGTATTTCATAGAGCGCTTCGGGCGGGCTCAGCACCACATGACGCGCCGCCCCACGCAGCTTGCGCCGCGTGACACGGATCGCACGAATGCGCTGTCCAACCAAGTTCCTAACTGCCCACTCCGAAGGAACGTGTTTGTGGAAAAGCCTGGACCAATGCAGCAGGCGTTTTTCTGCTTTATATTTTTAATATACAAACCTTTTGTCAGTCCACTACTGGATGAAAGCCTCCTCATGCCATGTTGCTGGTCAGTGTGGGTTGTTGGGAAGAGGGGAGGCCAGGAATGGTTCAGATGTCTCCACTAATTTTAGCCATTGTTGGGAATGAAACTCACTTGGTTTATAGAGCACTGTGCCACCGATTCAATCCTTTCTACTTTATATGAGTTGCCTTAAAAGTTTTGCTTTTATTTTCCAATTGTTTTATCTGTATCTCGTCCTACGAAAGATTTGCTTTGGGATTTGCAGTACTTTATCAGTTTAACACGTAGGCTGTCGCGACCAATAATATTAATAATAAAGGTTTTTGGGTTAGATCGCATTATTTATAAATGTGTTGTAACCCTCTACCACCCTACACGGCCAAACAGTAAAAAATGTGTCACGTTTACAAAAGACAAATAGTTAACTACTTTAGCCCACCGGTGTGTTGAAGAGTGAATCAACATTTACAATTTTTAGTACGACGTTTCGCTGGTAATTACATCCAGCATCATCGGCCAATTTTCTAGAATGGTGAAGCCCTCCACATTGCTCCCGATCTTAAATAGAGCGGCACAGTGACGTCATCATTTAACCCAATCTGGTGCAGTGATTTTAAGCGGAGATGGGGAGGGTATTGTAATTATATAATAGATTGGTAATCATTCATTGTTATTAATTAGTATTTGTTTCCCCTATAAGGAATTGTAATATATTTTTTTATATAATACGCTTCCAGGCCGCACTAAGCGATACAAGTTATTTGTATTTCTCTCAATTTCAATGGATTCTCTTATTAGTCTTGGCCAGTAATAATTAGTTTTACACAACACTTCAACGTTATCAAAATCAATTAAGTGTCCTTGTTGACACAGTACCTTGTGTTACCCTGAATAAAAAGTGTTTGTTGCATATCAGTTAAACCAACACATTGAATTTAGAGAGCTGAAATAAGTCTAATTAAGCAAGAACAGGAAAAAGAATACATGGATTTGAGGTTAAAGATTAAAATACCGTTAAGTGAAGTGGTCTTGGGCACAACACGTAAAGCGATGGTGGCCAGTTCCCGAAAATAACTACCGAGTGCCACCCAAAGGAGGGAAGGTGCACGAGATGACTTCCACTGTGGAGACGGGGCTGTCGGAATGTCAACTTTAGCATGGCACTTGAAAAACTATGGGCGGCTGAAACGTGGATTGAAACCCAGGAACCTGGTACCGTCTCGGTGTCTCTGACGCGGTATTAGCTGCCTAAGCAATGCGTTCACCTGGCTTATAGATGTCACACACCACACGGCGTATTTGGTAATGTACTTATGCAGCTGTCTCGATTATATCAAGGGCAATTTTTAAGTATTGTTCTTTAATTGGAATAAAAATAATGCAAGCAGTGTCAGTGTTTTGACACCGTAGATGATGGTACTCGGTATAGCCCAAGTAGGGACAGCTGGCTTACTCAGCGAAAACAGAATCCTTTATTTTTATCCCGAGTCACATATATATATACACACACACTCACGTAGTCACTCATAAACTTTGAAGGAGTCGAGATGAAATCGATACTAGATGTCACTGACCCCTGCCAACTGTGGTTATATAAAACCCGAGTGTAAATCAAGTATCTTTTGCTTAGCATTGCGTGTTATTAGCTCTAATAAGGATCCAGAGACATTTTCCATTGTTGGACATCAGGGCGGCCAAGTAACATGGATGAGGGTTAGACACCCGTGTCCAAGGGGTGTGTGTTTGGCCCAGCTGACCCCAGCTGTTGATTTTAAATCATTACACACTGTCAATACATCCTCGTACCATTTTGCTGCTTTAGTTGTTTACAAATCATGTACTCTGAAACTGAAAGGAAAATATATAAAAGAACAAGGTTTTACTCGCAGCTATAGTGAGTAAAGCCAGAGCAGTAAAAATGCTCTGGCTTTAATCTGGAGTGTACCGAAATAAACGAATGGCTTTAATATGTATCACATTTACAATACAGTTTGGACTTAAATAGCAAAAAACAGTGGGACTTGTGCATCTTGGGGAAGCCAGAGGTATATAAAATATCTAGATTTGAAGCTTTCGTGACTGCAAGGAATTCATATTCTTAGGTTTTTTCGGTAAAGCCACGTAGGTAAAACATCAAAATTAATAAAAATAAATAAAATAAAACAAAAATCACGATGTGTTGCCTCCGAAACGTCGTGATTTTTGTTTTATTTTATTTATTTTTATTAATTTTGATGTTTTACGTACGTGGCTTTACCGAAAAAACCTAAGAATATGTAAAATATAATCAACCATGGTCTATCTGCTGCTGGACGAAGGCTGCCCATCCAGGTTCTGCACACACGGTGATGTGAGCGCTTTATCTCCGCGGTGGACGCACTCTCTGACGTGCTCCCTCCTTTGGCTGCCACTCTCATGAGTCTCGATCGAGGGTCGTCGTCCCTTCTAGCGACGTGTTCTGCCCAAGCCCACTTACTTTTATCAACAGCGAGTATGATGTGCTGTATAAAAAATGTATTCGCCATTACGTATAGCATTTACAAAACCCTTGATGCTGAAGTGCGTCACTTTAATTGCCCTCAGAATATTAATAAACGGCCGCACCTGAGATGAAAAGATACCCGAATAAAAAACACGAGGCATGTTATTTTTCCACTTGCGCGTACAAACCTTGACACTCAAACATGACACTGACAAAAAAGAACCCTGCCTTGGCAAATGGGAGTCCCGGGCAAGTGAGAGTGAGCATACTGCTTTGGCACATGTGAGGAGAGTGCACATTCTATGGGGGCTTAGCGCCTGTGCCCGTCTGTCACAGCAACACGGACACCAGTGACCATAGTGGTCACTGGAGTGTAAGACGGTGGGGTGGCCTCGATAAAAACACAAACGGTAAGAACCACGTCAGAATTTCATCACTCAAAACGATTCGAGGACGATCTGTGTCTGCCTTGATGGTCCTGAGCCAGTGGTGTAAATTCCACATTACTATGGTGAGCATCAATCTTTTTGAGAACAACTATCATGTGGGCAAGATGAGTGCGAAATGTGTCTTACAGTCACCGTGGAGACTTAGAACACTCTACCTTCAATGCTTTGCTTTATTTATGATGTAACAGGTGAACACATTTGGCCGTCCCCAAATTCTAAATTTACAAACTAGTGGGATTTCAAACCAACTGGACACTTAAGATAAAGTACAGCTAAATCTACAGCAACACGTTCACAATTCCTTGGATGGCCTTGATCATTGCCATGTGCATGGCCTCGATAATTTAGCCATCACCGCATTACTGAGCAGCCAATAAATTCTCGGGTATGTCCGAGCAAGCGAATGCCTGCAGAACTTGGCAATTGCTGGTGCTGGCAGCGCAGCACAAGTTTGGTCGCGCCTGCTTACCGCGGTTGCCTGTCACCCTTTGCATTGCGCCAGCGTAAAGTGTCGCTGGGATGTTTGCTCCATGGGGGGCGCAAAGTGGTATTGGCACCATGGGCGCTGGAATGGCAGTTTTCACGTCGCCGGGCGCCGGTGACGGGGAATTTCATGCACACGCTAAGCCGCACAGCAACAGCTTACGTGAAAGCATTTAACGGGCTTTGCAGGTGTGAAGTTGTTCATCACGGCAATGTGAATTGTCCTCTCCCTTGGGCCTCTCGGTGTTCCTTTATTCCTTGTGACTAACTGGCAAAGCGTGTCATTGGTGACAACTAAATTGAACAGTTGCGTAAAGTATGGTCAAACAAGCCACATGACTGAAATGGCATGGGGAGGCCATCTAGCAGTGGATTGATAAGAGCTGTGAAGCATATGGAATTATATTGCTCACACGCCATCATCTGCTTACCTCTACCGTTCACAGATTGGGTGGCTTGTACTGTTTTATTGGAGTGTTTCATATGCCTATGACCTACAATTTACCAGATGGAGTCAGATGTCAGAAACTAAGCAGAATTTTACACATGGGCAATGCTTGGATGGACAACCACCATGCCAGGTGGTCATAGGCGGCTGTTGCCCTTTGCTTCTATGCTACGACATCTAAGCTGCCCGCCCTTACCAACCCACACTGACAGTGTAGCGGATATGTTCGAGTAACCCCCACAACCTGAACAGCTTGGGGAGGCCTTCATTCAGATCGGGTTTGCCAAACGGACTGCAAATGTGCGTGTGGTCCATGCTGGTTCAGAATAGTGATTTTCTCAATTGAGCATTGAGATGGTCATCTTCTGTTTACAGCCCTGGTCCTGTGGTAGAAATGATGGGGGAGGGGGGGGGGGGGTCATATTGACAACTACTGGTGACATTTCCCACAAATTAGTGCTCATTTGTATCCACCCCGGCAGGATGGTGTGTTGAGCCAATCTGCAGCTAACTGCTGAGCTACCTGGCCAGATTGAGAATAACATTCATGTAAAACTCACAAGTTGCGTATTTCGGTCACAGTTGGCCATCTTTTCATTAAGGCGCTACCCGTGCAGTGAGCTCTGTGCGCGTGTGGGAGTTCCAGTCGGTGCGCGAACGTCGTGCATGTGCGTGTGTGAACTCAGATCGATGCGCTCAGCAAGAGGAGCAAGGAGGCCGAGACGGCCTTCTTGAATGTCTACAAGCGGTTTATCGATGTGCCCGGTAAGGTGACAGCAAGATTGACGCTTGCTTGATTGACTCTCTGTTGTCATTTATTTGGAGTAATTATAGTAATCGACATCAAGATGTCTTCATGGCCAAAGCCGTTGATGCCACAACACCACACCGGCAATTTCTACTCTCTGCCAGATTCCGCAGATGCTGCACCGTAGAGACACGATGTCCCAAGATTTTCCCTATCTTGGAATAGTGTCCTTAACAAGAAATCCCTCACTTGAGGGATCTCGCTACATTGCAATGTTGAGCCAATTCTGTTCATGAGTCTTTGGCTTTGTGTGGGAGGAAATTGGAGAATCTGGAGAAAACCCATCACACTCAATGCTACACTCACATACAGTCAAGAATACATTTCTTCACTGCCACTTCCCGTCCACCTTAAACTAAGCCGATGTATGATAATTTGAAGACTTTAATCTAAAAGATGTTCAAGTAATCAGTTTACAGTATTTTAAAAATACCAAATATATGATTACATATAATATGAATCAAATATGCCCGTGTAAGACGGCTGATAGAACTCTGGTTCCCAATTTGAAAGTTGTTTGTTAAAGGCCTAATGCACAGGGATTGTGGAACCAGTTTGTTGAGTCTTGTTAAGTTTCAGAATGAACCAGACAAATCACTCCACCAACTCCCATTTGCCATGCATCACATGATCTGTGCACTGGGCTGCCACCTTCTTTGTGGCTCTTTGACATGTGAAAGTCACTGTTCACGTTGTGAGAGCTATTTAAATTAGGAAACATGATGCCACTGTCCAATGTATTGGGTTTCCAATTAAATTTGCTCCTAAGTTGCCAGAGCTAAGAAAAGAAATTGACTTGTCTCTGTTCCCTACCCTGCCTGCTATCCTAATTACCCCCTTCATTCGAGACCCTGTGGGGGTCCTGGAGGTGGCGATGCAGCTGCAGCAGAAGGTGCAGCGGCTGAACGATGTTGAGATGGAAAACCAGAAGTTGCGTGAGACTTTGGAGGAGTACAACAAGGAGTTTGCACACGTCAAGAACCAGGGTGAGCCTGCGTGTTGACCCGTGCCACATAGCTCACCGTCCTCTCTTCTCCAAGAAGGCGCACCAGTGGTGGAGAACCATATCCTTCATCATTAACGTCAGCCATTGTCTAGCCACACAAGAACCAGAGGTCGCAATCGGGTACCCGATACCCGTACCCTACCCGATACCCGGCTACCCGTACTCGGCCGGGTACGGGTACGGGTAGCCGTTTGCGACCCTGGTGCAGCTGGGTACATGTACGGGTAAGGAATCAAAACCCGTTTGCGACCTCTGACAAGAACTCATCTCATCACTCCATCTCCATGGTGATTGTCCTCTTGGACACCATTGCTCCCTTTGGCTGCACACTCCGGTGGCCAACTTGGAATTTCCAGATACCTTTAGCGGGCCACACATGAACGTCCATCTTGGTGCTATTCAATAATAAGCGAAAAAGTAACGTGCTTGTCGACTGAGTATAAACAGGCCCTTGCAATGACAGATTGGGTTCGAGACAAGGGCTGGTTCTCGTACTTGGTTATCTGGTTGGTTATGGTTAGATGCAGGGCTGGTAGTCATATTTGGTTGGCTAGAGGGTTATCATTTTAGCATTAGTGGCTGGTTGGCTGATGGATTAGCCAATTGGTTGGCTTGTGTGCAGCAAATTTTCCTGCCTTCCTTCCCCATTCCATAGTACGAACCTTTGCAGCGATTGACCGCTTATTCACTGTCAGTGTTTCCCACCGCTGTGAGACACGCGCAATGCTTCGGCGTCCCCCCACCCCGGATGCGTGTGTGTACGCTGGGCGCGTGGCGCTCAAACCTCGCTGTCCTCTTCTCCCCCGTCCTCTCCCCCCACTCTCCTCGCGCCCCTAGAGGTGACGATTAAGGCGCTAAAGGATCGGATCCGTGAGTACGAGCAGACGGCCGGGGCTCGTGTCGAGACCCTCGCCCTGGAGCGCGAGCAGAAGATACGCGGAGAGTACGATGAGAGGGAGAGGTGCGTGACGAACCAGGGAGCACCCGGGGATGGAGGTTTAACTCGGGTTGACAATTTTGCACGACCTGCATGAGCGTTGCCTGTCACAAAATCACCCGGAAACGAATGCGATCACGTCAGATCTCACAGGTTTGTGACTAGGTATCGCTGAGACGGGAAACCTGCTGTGCACAGACTGGTTGTCGTAGGGTCCGCGTGGCGAGGTGGTGGTCAGCAATGGACGGTGCAGCAGTATGTACATTATAATTCTTCGTCACAGCCATCTCTGAGACACACTTAAGCGGTTGTCCTTTCGCTACATTGTCCCCACCTGAAGAAGGACGCTTGTGTTGCGCCCGAAACGTCGTGATTTAATTTAGTTGTTTTTCATTTATTTTATTTTTTACCTACGTGACTTTACCGAAAAAAACCAAAGAGTATGAATCCTTGCAGTCACGAAAACATCAAATTTAGAAATATACATTGTCGTACTGTTCTATGCTTCCACGTCCGTGCTGCCCGCCTTCACCAACCTGCGCTGACCAGCGTGGAGAAGTATTGTCAAACAATCCGCACGGTGTTGGGAGGCCCTCATCCAGCAGTGGATTGACAAAGGGGCTGTAGATGTACAAGCACCAGCAATAGTAGTGGTGCGCAGACGGGGCAGGAGCAGCGATTGGCTCTCGTGTTTTTTCTTCTTGGTTCTTTCGGTAAAGTCACGTAGAATGGAAATAATAAAATAATAAAAATTTTAACATAATAAAATAATTCTCACGACAGACCTGTTCTCCACCTGAGGACGGCTGCGTGCGTTGTGGCCGAAACGTCGTGAGAATTATTTTATTATGTTTTATTTTTATTATTTTATTATTTCCATTCTACGTGACTTTACCGAAAGAACCAAGAAGATGAATCCCTGCAGTCACGAAAGCTTTAAATCGAAATTTGGCTCTCGTGTTGTCTCCCGTGGTGTCAGGTTGCTCCAGGAGGACCAGCAGACGCTGCGCAAGAAGCTGGGGGAGGCCGAGGTGCGCGTGAGCATCCTGCAGAGCGGTGGGTCACACCAATAACGGTCGCCATCATGGTTCAGCTTAATTTTTGGCCTTAATGTTCTGCAAAGCTGTACAAGGAAGAATCACCGTAACTTCGTGATAGCCCTTGTGCTACATGAATGGAGCAAAATACAAAATGTCCTTGCTATTTATCCACGAAGGCCTCACTGAATCTCAAGCGTTTTTTTCTCAGAAGGGTCCTGTTATATTGGGATGTTTGCGCAATGCTTTTTGAAACGATCGTTTTGCTTCGTGCAGGAGGAAACCGGGGTACCTACACTCACACGGGTCAGGAATACGTTTGCTGTACTGCCATCTCCTGGCGTTCTCTTGCCCAGCAAGGCTAAGAGTGCTTGGCATTATACCCATTGAAACCCCACATTCAAGTATTCTTTGGTTCTTTCGGTAAAGTCACGTATAAAGAAAAAATAATAAATTAAATAATAACATACGACGTTTCTATTGCAACACAAGCAATCATCATCAGGTATAATGAAATAGCGACATAAAATCTAACCAGAAAAAATTATAGACAGACATATAAGCAGACAGATATCACCAAGATACACACAGCGGGCAACACAGGTACAGGAAGGGGTGATCGTTTCTGTGGGGTGGCCTTAAATAGACAGAGGGGGGTGGAGGCAGCGAGAGGGAGGGGTTAGAGACAAAATTTACATGTCAATGAGTGCAACAAAAAGGAGTGGGCAGGCTTAGGGGGAGAAAGAGACACACTAAAATTAAATAACCTAGCAAAGTATCGAAATGTTATGTAAAACGACACAGAAAGTCGGTCAACACACAATTAACGCATAGCCTGGTCGATTACGTATTTCAAACATTGCTAAGTTAGAATTTAAGTGTGAAAATTTCAAAGAAAGACAAAACATAAAAACAAGAGGAACGGAGACAAAGCAGAACCTAAGAACGACAAAAAACGAGTGTAGACAGAAAAAATTACACTAAATAAACAGGCAGAGAGAGAGAATAAAAACCCAGAGAGAGAGAAAAAAGGTAAACTTGGAACTTCCCCTTAGAAGTGGTTCAATCTTAACTTTGGAGCTTTCGTGACTGCAGGAATTATTCTTTGGTTCTTTCGGTAAAGTCACGTATAAAGAAAAAATAATAAATTAAATAATAACATACGACGTTTCGATTGCAACACAAGCAATCATCATCAGGTATAATGAAATAGCGACATAAAATCTAACCAGAAAAAATTATAGACAGACATATAAGCAGACAGATATCTTTATACGTGACTTTACCGAAAGAACCAAAGAATAATTCCTGCAGTCACGAAAGCTCCAAAGTTAAGATTATCCCACATTCAAGGGTGCTAAAGTTCAAGTCTCTACGCATATAGATTCAAGAATATAGTGCTGTACTGCCATCTTCTGGCCACCTCGCAGTACCATGCCTACAACAGCTTGTATTCCCAGATAGTCTACTAAACCACCAGACTCGACGCTGCTTAGGTTTCGAGATCTCACGAGATGAGGTGATGTGGTCGTAAGGCCTCCCGTGTTCCCCACGCCCCTCCTCATGCTGGGAGCATGTTGCCCCTGCTTGATGACCCCCTGTGCTGTCCCTGGCAGTTTTCGTTGTGTGACGACGCCTCCGTGTCATCAAACGCAATGTTTGTCAACTCCAGTCATCGCGATCTCCCCCACAGTCCACATTATTGCGATTACCCATTTTTTTACATTCATATGCAGGTTAAGCCAATGCACTGCATGCACCTCATGATTGGTCATCACAGGGGTCTGCACCGTGTTCCTAACAATGTGAATCTTGCAGCAATGGAATCGACGCAGGCGGAACTCTTCGACCTGAAAGCCAAATATGACGAAGAAATTGCCGCTAAGTAAGAATCGTTTCTGTCAAAAAACCACTTTATTGACATTGTTGAGAAGATGATTATGTTGGTGTTGTTTTTTCTGCACCGTCCCACTTTTGCCGATTTCATTTTTGAACAGATCAGCAACCTCCCAGAGGGTGCCTGATCGTCATGGGCAGTGAACACTGCTGAGTCCGACACGTAAATAAATATCCATAAAAATAAGTAATTTACAGATCTTTGTCAAACCACTTACACCAAGTGCTGTCAGTCTATTGACTCAATCCCAAGTTGGTTGTGAGAGTTGTTTAACCATACTTCATCTGCTCGTCAGTGTGGGTTGTTTAAGGTAATGGGCATCGCTCCCCACTGATGATAGCCATGGTCGGGAATCGTAGCCCGGCACACTTAACGACAGCACCACCACTCCACTCACATGAATCTATCTTCATGAACATTCTAAAACCCGTGTTTAATCTCCCAACGTCTCGTCGTGTACAGGGCAGACGAGGCAGAGATCATCATGATGGATTTGGAGAGAGCCAATCAGGTGAGGGGTTTAACAAGACATTATTCTCGACTTGTTTGGATTGTATTTACTGTGTACGGCTGTGACAGCATGCGTGCTGCGGTGCCCACTTGCACAATTATCGGAGTGGGTGCATTATGGGATGCTTGTTGGTAGTTTGGCCCACGCAGCTTAGGCTGGCATATGTTGTCTTAGGTAGGCATAGAGTTGCTTAGGTAGGCATAGGGTTGCTGAGATTATCTTGCCAACATTGGCTGTTGTAGGCCAAAGACTGAAGACAAGCTTATGTGGGTATTGGCTTGCGTAGGTTGGCTTAGGCTTGCTTAGGCTGTTTCATGGTGGAATTCGCTGTAAACGCCTGCACTAGGCTGGTTTAGGTTGTTATAGGTTTTGGTTTAGACTAATATAGGTGAGCTTAGGTTGGCTTAAGCTGATGTAGGCTAGCTTAAGCTGGCCTTGGCTGATGTAGTCCAGCTTAGGCTAAGCTTCGGCTGTTAGAAGGCCCAGGCTGGTTGGCCCAGGCTGGTTAGCTCCAATCGCTAAGGCTAGCTCGGGTTGCTTGACTTGTTCCTCTCACTCACTGCGCACAGAGGGCAGAGGCGGCTCAGAGGCAGGTGGAGAGCCTGAAGGAGCAGCTGTCAGCAGGCGGCGGCGTCCGCCCACAGGCGGATGCGGGCGGTTCGACGGTAAGCGTCTCAAATGTTTCTCGCCCTGGGGTCGCGCCGGAATAATATTTGTTCGCGGGGTAACAAATAATTGTCAAGTAAACATTCAGAACTGATATTCGGAAACGAAATATTCTCCGGGGAAACGGATATTCGTTGACGCGTTTTCCCCCGCGCTGTGCAGGCGCCGCTGGGGGATTCGCAGGCCCGCTTGGCCCTCGACCACGAGCTGGCAGCCAAGGAGCGGGAGGTGGCGCAGCTGGTGGATGACGTGCAGCGCCTGCAGGCGGCACTCGGGCAGCAGCGAGAGAGCGGCGCCAGCCACGTGGCGCGTCTAGAGCAGCAGCTGGCAGCACGTGACCACACGGCCAAGGTGGGTTCACGCACAAGCAACAGGCTTCAATTTAAAGCTTTCGTGACTGCAGGGATTCATCTTCTTGGTTCTTTCGGTAAAGTCACGTAGAAGGGAAGTAATAAAATAATAAAAATAAAACATAATAAAACAATTCTCACGACGTTTCGGCCATAACGCAAGCAGCCGTCCTCAGGTGAAGAACAGGTCTGTCGAGAAAACATTCAGACTCTGTCTTCTCGACAGACCTGTTCTTCACCTGAGGACGGCTGCTTGCGTTATGGCCGAAACGTCGTGAGAATGATTTTATTATGTTTTATTTTTACTATTTTATTATTTCCCTTATACGTGACTTTACCGAAAGAACCAAGAAGAAGCAACAGGCTGTTGGGGTCAGTGCTGTTCGCGAGCACTTTGGAAGGTTGGCCCGGCACATGAGGGGATGGTGTGGCCAAATTATGTCTGCCCCCATTTGTCTCCCCAGTGATTACGATTTACAGACCGGACTAGGTTCTTGTTTACTAAGTTTACTTCTGGAACTGAACACAGCGTACTGGGCTATGAACCCAGGTCACCTGGTTCGTAGTGCAGTGCACTACAAGTATAACACTTCACGCACACTCTCAATACGCATCGGTAGAGCTTCACCACTCACAGGTGAGATCTCTTCAAGTATACCTAGCCTGTGACCAGTCTGGTGAAGGATGGATAAATTACCCCCACAACCCACAAAGTGTGGGCAGACCCTCATCCAATAGTGGACTGACAAAGGGCTGTACATGTGCATTGGTCCAGAAGGCCTATCAGTTGATAATGTAACATGTTATCTCCTTCCCATGAGCTGCATATAACGAGTACGGTGAAACATACATTCTTGACTGAGCAATGTAACTACGCATTGGCATGCGTCAATTTACCACGGTGAGAATATGTGGGATAAAATACTATATACAATACAATGTATACAACATAAAATACAACACAGCGTGTCAATACAACCGCACCTCCAGACACTATGAAGTCACTTGTAAAGCTACACATGGCGGGCGTGTGGGTGCCGGGCGTGTGGGTGGCGGGCGTGTGGGTGGCGGGCGTGTGGGTGGCGGGCGTGTGGGTGGTGGGCGAGTGGGTGGCGGGCGTGTGGGTGGCGGGCGTGTGGGTGGTGGGCGAGTGGGTGGCGGGCGTGTGGGTGGCGGGCGTGTGGGTGGTGGGCGAGTGGGTGGCGGGCGTGTGGGTGATGGGCGTGTGGGTGGCGGGCGTGTGGGTGGCGGGCGTGTGGGTGATGGGCGTGTGGGTGGCGGGCGTGTGGGTGGTGGGCGAGTGGGTGGCGGGCGTGTGGGTGGCGGGCGTGTGGGTGGTGGGCGAGTGGGTGGCGGGCGTGTGGGTGGCGGGCGTGTGGGTGGCGGGCGTGTGGGTGCGGGCGGTAGGTGGCGGGCGAGTGGTGGCGGGCGAGTGGGTGGCGGGCGTGTGGGTGGTGGGCGAGTGGGTGGCGGGCGTGCGAGTGGCGGGCGTCTGGGTGGCGGGCGTGTGGGTGATGGGCGTGTGGGTGGCGGGCGTGTGGGTGATGGGCGAGTGGGTGGTGAGCGTGTGGGTGGCGGGCGTCTGGGTGGCGGGCGTGTGGGTGATGGGCGTGTGGGTGGGCGAGGCGCCCTCGTCTGGCTCTCGACGACGAGGCACCAGCGAACGATGCTCCATGTGGTTCTTTTGCAGAAACTGGAGGAGCAGCTCAAGGCCCAGGCTGACTACAGCGTGATCAAGTCTGAGCTCAAGTGAGGCCCCGCTCGGTCCTCTAGTGTTGCACGACATAAAGTGACCACACAACTTTTATATTGGCGTCCAGATCGTATATTTAAAACGATCATGAAGGACATCAGCGTCACATTGTATGATCACTTATGTCGCCGAACACTCGTGCTTGTGTGTATGAGTGTGGGAGCGGTAATGATGAAACTGCAGTACGCGGACCAACCTCATGCATACAGGGGGTGACGCACATTGGTTCACACACCCAGTTGCTGTATTGGTTTCCTTTCAGCCCGGCCAACTTTTAAGAGTTTCACAAATCTGCATGGTTCGTCAACAGTTAGTCCCATAGTCTTGAGTCACAGCCTGTCAGCAAATAACTTCACTTGCACCCACGAAGCTTTTAAAAATACCTTGACACATGTCAAACCTGGCCACCTTTGTATGAGAGCGATTTGTTATTATTTTTTATCATGTTCTTTTTAATGTCATTGTCCATTGGGTTCTGTCTTTCTTTTTTGAAGCATCCTCAAGTCGATGGAATTCTCTTCTTCGCTGGATAAATCTGAAGCCCAGGTGAGATCCTAAGCTTTGCTCCCCGTGATCATTCTCAACCTGCGGAAGCTCTGCTCAGTGAGGCTGCGGCCGTGACAGACTGGTGCACGATCGTTTCCCGCAGGAATCCAAACCTCTGGAGGTGTTGCTGCTGGAGAAGAACCGCGCCCTTCAGTCGGAAAACACCACCCTGCGCATCGGGAACACCGAGCTCAACGGTGAGCATGGTGGATACCTGCAGCAGCGACAGCAGAGCAGAGGGGTGATGTGGTGGTGCAGTAGTTAGCGCACTGCGCTAAGAACCCGGCGACCTGAATAACTCCTTGGTCACAGTAACATCAGTGGCAGGTGATACGTTAATCGATCCACCGTTTGCCTCGCTAATAACGAGCTGAACAGTGAGCATGGTGGCGATTCTCTGGGGAGACGTGGGAGGATGTTTGCCTCCTCGCAGTGAACGGCGGTGGAGTAGAGTGGTGGCGTGGTAGTTAGCGCAATGCGCTATGAACCCGGCGACTTGAGTATGATTCCTGACCACCGGCTACCAAGTCCGTAAACAGATGCCCTAAATCACGAACACAAATTGCGCTGGATCCTGTTTGATTCAGCATCCCGACTTCATGACGGGCCAGGGCCTTTGGGGTCAAGCGCCCCCTCGTGGCCTGCTAGGTGGTCACGGAGATTCTTGTCCTTGTCAGTGCGCTTCTCGGAGCTACAGGAGCAACACAGCGAGGCGGTTAAAGTGGGGGCGGAACAGAAGCAGCTGATTATCCAACTGGAGCACGACCTTTCAACCCTGCACAGCATGGGGTCCATCACCCGGCCTGACGCTGAGGTGACCTTCAACAGACGAGCTCGTCGCGTCTCTCACAACGATTCGAACGGTGCAGATGTTTGCCATCACCTCTCTCTGGTCAGCTGTGGTCACCCAGATACACGTGCATTGTGTCCGTGGCTGGCGATGCCTCCACTCACCGTTCTTGTCCTCCATGTGTGCATCGTCTCTTGCAGGGCACCGAGTACACCAGTCCACCCCAGGAGAACGTGTCAGATCCAGTCCGCGAAGCCAGCTCTAGGTTTTTTGGTGAGAAGTGATAGTATGCGTTGTCGTCCGGTGCAGCGCACTGAGTAAGCATAGCCCGCGGCTGACCCTTGCTGACCTTGCTGGGCCCTGTGTTACTCCGGCAGCGCCGGCCGCAAGGGGGGAGGCGCCGTCGTCGCCGTCCGTGGAGCTGCCCCCGGGGCAGGTGGACTCACTGCTCTCAATCATCTCCAGTCAGCGCGAGCGCTTCCGCCTGAGGAACCAGGAGCTCGAGTCGGTACGATCGCCTACGGTACCGATGGCCGTAGCAATGAGAGAGCGACCACCCCAGCACCTGCCGCGCGCAGGCAATCGCCGGCACCCACATGTGCGTGCCCGTGCATCTACTTGTGCGCATGCTTGTGCAGGAGGCGCGGATGCACCAGCAGACGGTACAGGCGTTGCACGCAGAGCTGGATAATCTCCGCGCCGACAACGTGAAGCTTTACGAGAAGATCAAGTTCCTCCAGAGCTACCCCGGGCGTGTGAGTTTGCCCCCCCCCCCCCCATCTCATTCCTCTTCCCAGCCACTGTAGCACAAATTAGTACATCCCAGTAAGTTTTTTCTTGGGCATAATTTCAGCCAGATCTGTCTTGTTTGTTGACTCGGAAAAAATATTTCTTCACCCATCACTCCACATCCTGTATACCTGTTGGTATGACCGACTACTAGTCACCTGCCATCTCCAATCGACCATCGACCCAGAAAATATTCGGTGATAAATTATGCTCTGGGTACCTCTAGCCCCTACGCCAGGGGTGGAGAACGTCCGGCCCGCGGGCCGTATAAGGCCTGCAAAATCATTTAATGTGGCCTTGCCAAGGCAACCGCAGGCGGGACTCGAAATTAAATCAATCTAGTAGCAAACCTGGAAAAGCAGTTGCGAGTAGCAACATCATCAATACCAGCTAACCTCACACGCCTCACCAAAGAGAAGCAGTTTCAGCATCACATTAGGGGTGTGAGTTAATTAAATGTTTGACCAAATATAACAGGCAAATTTTTAAGTTGATAATTTTGTATGGCCCGCGAATGATGTTATAAATATCCAAATGGCCCTTGGCAGAAAAAAGGTTCCCCACCCCTGTCCTACGCAAACCATATTTATCCCTTTTTTCCCCATACACGGTTATGTCACGGCCACGAACCTACCCAATACCACACCCTGTAAATCCCAAAACGATTAAGATTGGCAAACCCGAGCTCAATTACAAATGTTATTTTGCAATTCCTAATGAATGTGCAATCACAGTGCATTTGTTAATTTCATTTCAGGTGGCATTGCTATTGGTTTGTCATTGCGATTGATCCCGTGTCTGACGGATGTTGCCGGGAGTGTTGTGTAATTACAGTCGCCAGCAAAGGGGCTAGCCGGACATGGCGAGCACGACGGGATTTTTGTAACGATCGCAAAGCGTGTGGCGTAGCGCTGCTGTGTGACGCGGGGTCGTGTCGCGCTGTTGCAGGGCGCGCGGGAGGACGACACGGAGCAGCGCTACTCGACGCAGTACGAGGAGCGGCTCGACCCCTTCGCCTCCTTTGGCCGCAGGGTGCGTCCGCAGGATTCTCTCTCTGCCTTGAGTGGCTCAAAAAAAATAAACCATGTGGAATGTTTTTGGGGTATCCCCACTGTAGAGATGAATTAAGAGGTAAGTGGCTCACCGCTAACCTCTCTCGTCTACAGGAGCGCCAGAGGAAGTACATGAGCCTGAGCCCCTGGGACAAAGCAACACTCAGCATGGTAAGCATCAGCAGGCCGGCAGGGTGGAGCTTCGGAACAGTTTCACGTGGGGTCCGGGTTTTCATGTGTTCATCGGGGGCGTGCTGTGAGTCACCTTGCAATGCCGTGTGTATAATCAGTGCTATGCTGCATGTATTGGTGATATGCTGCGTATTATCATGGGACCTTTTTGCCAGTACTGTCAGTACTGGCAAAAAAGGTCCAATGATATAGCTGCTCACCCCGAGCTATGAATGCTCTCGCACGTGCATTGTCTTTGTATTGTTCGCCTTCTGGCGTTCTCTGGCCTGACACTTGTGAGACTACGCCATAAAGAAGGCTGTCTCTGGTGTAGGCCAATCAGTTGCAAAGACAATGCCATATATTATCAGAGCATGTTTTGTTTGCATGTTCACCACAAGTACTTATGGTTAATGCAGACTTCATTCATTGCAAAATATATCTATTTGGTGTTTGAACATTTTAACATCTGTTTAATTGCCAGAAGGAGTAAAGCCTATTCTTATTATGCTGCGTATTATTAGGATGTGCTGTGTGTCATGTGCTGTGTCATCATGGGGCGGTGTGCCGTTTTAATTAGTGGTGTGCTGTGTGTTATGGCCATGCTATGTGTGCATGTGCTGTGGGCCACAATAAAGTTGCATCACTGCGTTGTTTACACAGGCTGAGGTCTTGTGTTTGTGCAATGCTTTTAAAGGGGCACCCCACGGTTGTATTTTGTTTCTCTCTCCCCTGCAGGGCCGGTTCATTTTGTCCAACAAGGTGGCACGAACCTTTGCCTTCTTCTACACGGTGCTCTTGCACTGCCTCGTGTTTCTGGTGAGGCTTCGGGGGTCTTCTTGCTTATAGCCGCGTGACTAGCGACTCGTATGTCTATGCGCAGATTAGTTTGGCAGGAAATTGCTTCAGTTGATGAGTGGCGGATTGCATTGCGTCAATGCCTCAGTTGAATTTCCAGAGTTCACTGTGCTATACTGTTATGTGGTCAATGGACTGGTCGGTGTTTTTGCACTTGCAAGGTGGACTGTGAGGTTCCGCTTGTGAAATTCGGTGTGAACGGTTCTGCCGTGAAACATGCAGTTTCGAATGAATGTGGACCATCAGCTGTCTGATGTGTTTTCGGGTTGTACCATACGTTGTTTGGTATCACATCTAACATTTCACTCCTATTCTGAAGAATCTCGCAGCACGTGGAGGGAAATGTCAGACCTGATGCCGAACAACACTTGGTACAACCGAAAAACACATCTGCGAGCCGTACAGCACAACAGCGATCGCCCTGCAGAGTAGTAATGTGGTGCATTGTTTTCAAGGTTGAGTCACTGAAAGAGTGTACGTCCACATCTGCCAAACAACCGGCACAGGCCGGAAATGCACAACCATCCTCGGTAGTAAAGCTCATCGCGGTTGACCCCCTCCCCACATCCCCGTCCCCGTGTGTCGTCAGGTGCTGTACAAGACGGCATGGAGCGAGAGCGTGGGCAGGGACTGCGCCGCATACTGCGCCAAGAGGTGAGCGTCCAGACGGCACGAGACACGTGGCACAGTTGTGCCTGGCGCTGTGAACCTGGGGCATAGCTATCGAGTGTGCAGATGTAGTGACATAAGAAGGGAGGGGCTGCTGGGGGCTCGGGGATCCCAGGCGAGTCCAGACGCTTAAGCCTCTGGGCACCAGGCGCTGGGTTCCCAGGGGGTCCAGACGCTTAAGCCTCTGGGCGCCAGGCGAAGGGTTCCCAGGCGCTTAAGCCTTTTTGGCGCCGCCAACGGGGGGGGGCTGTGTGTGCTCTGTGGGATGTCTGGTGGCGCACACGGCCCCACCCCTCGTTGGACCAGGCATAAAAGGAGAGCTCCCTGGACGATCAGGGCCCAGTTGTAACTCAAGACCCAAGACCCACGACCAGCCATCTGAAGACCCTGGGATGCTGTGAGAGCCAGTGGTGGGACTCTGGAACTCCCGACTCTACGACCTTGTGAGGGCGAGTCCAGAGCGTAGCCAGAGTAGAGTATCTAGGCTGTGTACCTAGGCTGTAACAGAGTATCAGGACTGTTGGAGTGTTGTATTGTAATAAAGAAGTTACCTCTACAAGTGTCTCCGGAACCCGTTACATAGACACAGACACTGCAGCTAGCCGGACTGGGGGCCCATGGGCTGGAGGAGGGGGCCCATGCTCTGGCCTACGTGGGAGGTGGGTGGGAGGTGGTGAATTAGACAGCGGCTGGCCCATTTCCTTCTTCTTGCACCCAGGGCCCATGCCAACCATGGTACTACCACCATTGTGAACACCAAAATTGTAAGCTATCCCAACAAGTCAAAAGGGACCTTGGAGAAATGCTAGAGGTGGGTTTAGGGTTGTGTGTAGTGGTGGTAGTTTTAGTGGCTGGTTGGTTCGGGGCAAGGCCGTAATTATAATATATATTGGGGAGGGCACATCCACCCCAATATTCATATATGCTCAAAATGTCCCCCCTGCAATATATTGCTATTAAAAATATAAAAAAGTAATAAAAATTGCTATGCTATGTAAATAAAAACAATGTGCTAAACCTTGGCCACAATATCTGGACTTGTCTTCATATCAATCAATGCATAGATTTCTGTTTATATGATTATGGTTGTACTTTATTAATCCCCAATCTCAAAAATTACATACAATGAAACAAGAAATGGTAAAAAAGTAAAAACAGAGCAATGTAATACAATACACTATTAGACATTATTGTAAAAAATTAAAAAAAAAGTCCATCCCATGTGCTAGTGATTTTATCAATATTTTTAGGCAGGAAATGAGTTTTCAAATTTAGATATTTTTCTGGGTTGGGACCCCCTGGAAGATTTGGTCCCCCCCAATGTTGACTCCATGGCTACGGCCTTGGTTACGGGTAGGATTGCTACTTGTGGCTTATTGGTCTAGTTGTTTAGAAGTAGGGTTAGTGTTGGTTGGCTCGTGCCCTTAAACTGCTTGCCTCGATTTCCCATTCCATTTAGCAGCCTTTGTATAATGATATGGCCACTTTTAATTTTTGGTGTTCACAACGTCCTCGTGAAGTATTGAGTCCCCACAGACTTGCAACCATCAACCATGAGGCGGCTTCATGCAGCCATTGACGTCACATGCACACGCAGGCCTGGAAAAAAACACCCTTCACTGTGCTTGTGTTGTATTTATTGCAGGTACTCCGACCACCTCCACAAGTTCCACGAGAAAGATGCTGAAGGAATTTAGTGTGTGCCTGGGAGTTGGAGCCCAGAGGTCCAAAGTCAAGGGAGAGGCACGGCTGTTCAGCATTTCGTCTGGGGCTACACGGAGCTGTGGTTGCTCCTGACTGTGGTTTTTGGCTCCTGTCCGCCGCACTTGATATGTTTCACCACTCGTCTCACTCTCCCACTCATTAATTACTCCTCACATCACTTGTCTTCTTGTTTCAGAACACATTCTGTGAAATTGTTGAAGAGGACAGCTGGTCCTTCAGTCGGGGTAGAGTCAGTTCACATCGACTTAAAATCTCCCTTAATCGTACCAATCACGTGAGAGTTCAGGGTTTCTTGAACTTCAATCCTCGCACTTAAATAAGCATCTCCTACTACTTTTCATCCAGTGTTTTCTACCATTACATAGTTAAGATCAAGTCATTTCTGCTCTGCCAGAGATACGAATGGGTTCTTCATCTCGTGATATGCCACCGACAGCACATTTGGGATAATTTTGGAGAAATGGACACGAACATTAGGTACAAAATATCAAGTCATTACAATTCGCAAGTTTTTAATCATGAAAATTATCTGGTGTAGCGCCAGTAAGCGAGCATGAACCACTCCCCAGTTACACACCATGTCCACTGGCACGTCCGAGCCACGCCAACACGAGGACCTCAGCTTGACTATTTGCCACGCTGAGCCAGAACCGAATCATGAAACTCTGGCCTCGCTGAATATCTGAACATCTGAATCTGGTCTTCTTGGTTCTTTCGGTAAAGTCACGTAGAAGGGAAATAATAAAATAATAAAGATAAACCAATTAAATTAAAATTATCATGACGTTTCGGCCACAACACAAGCAGCCGTCCTCAGGTGAAAAAACAGAGCTGTCGGAAAGACAGCGTCCCAATGAACACCGCCAAGCTTGGCAGCGTATATTTAAGCTGGGTCGGGGGGAGGAGAGCACCTAGACAAAGGAGTTTACATATCAACAGCGGAATTAAGCAAAACAAAATCTGAATCTGGCTCGGGGCAAAGCAGGGCTAGGGGCGGGGTGAATAATTTTCGGCATACGTTGTGATTCGACTTACCATTGCATGCGATGTTCGTGGTGCGGCCGGGCCTGGTTCGGCTTCTGGGGCGGAAGAACAACCTTCCGCATCCTGAGCTGTGCGAGACTTACTCAGCACGGCTCCGGGTGCAGCTCAGTTGTATAGTGGATCACGGTTATTTGGCTCCGATCGTAGAAGTGAACCAAATGTCAGACTCCAGGCTGTTAGCGAGTCACTCCCAAGTTTTGCTGACTGCGATGCTTCTTTGCTGCTTCTGAGCGCTTCACCAGAAGTGTTGGCCGAGGTGATTGTGTTTGGAGATTTGTGGTCGGTTCCGAGGGCGACTCCCATTGCGCTGTTCCATCATGCATCGTTTAGTGGGCGGTGTAATTTTAGCTGGTTATGTTGACCACTCCTGTTTGCATCATACGATATGGTCTTTGCCATACAAATTGTATATTGCAGATTTGGTGCACTTACATTAAATGTATTAACTCTTGTGGGTCAAGTGTGTGCATGGTGGCAGGGCTGCCCAGAGGTTCCTTGAGACCGGGGTAGAATGCCATGGTGTGGGGATCCCTTGTGAAATAAAAAAAAATAAACCAGTCCTGTTTTGAGGACCTCTTCTGTATTCAAGATTAGCTCTACATCATATGGTACGTTGGTAACTTGGGACACAGCAATTATCAGGCGCGTGGAGTGAGCGCGTAACAACCCCAACATCAGAATCGCGACGAATTACCCGTTTCAACAACCAATGTCCATGTTTCACCTGGAGCTCGACCGTGCTCGCGCCAGATCTGACGACACCCACAAGTCCCCTTGGACGGCCAACTTGATGGTGCCGCGATGGGCCTCTATCGATCAAAGTAGAGCACGGGGTTCAGAGGAGTGTCTGCCATTCTTGCACCGTGGCCAAACTAATGGATGCGTCTTGACACCCAACTTGTATCTGAATAGACGATAGATGTACTGTAATGTGGCTTGGTAAAGCGATCAGCTGGTGTGGAGGTGCTCATGTCAAAGTGAGTTCCTGCTTCAACGAGCATTGAGGTGGGGGTGTTCATCTCCTGTTTACACCTCTGCAGAGCCAGTGGTGATAATCCCACGTTCTTATAGTGGGAATGGTTTTGCCAGAGACCAACCTCTGTTGGTTTCCCTACAAAGTGCTACTGGTGGATGAAGGACCGATTAGAACCCAAACTAGAATTTTCACTCGCAATCCTCCATAGCTCATTCCACCACGAACCCACGTGACCGGTATACCCAGTGGGAACGTGACAACTAACGTTGGGCAAACGTTCTCCGTGTGATTATTGGGTCTGCGCCGCTTTAATTGCGGACACTGACTGGGGAGGACGGAGACTTGCTTGGGGGAGGGAAGCCTTCATCCAGCAGTGGAACGATCTCGGCCGATAACGCAACCGCGGTTGGGGAACGCGCGCGTCTACAGAACCCAGAACCGAAGTTGCAATCCGGCCGAATGCTGACCGCGCAGGAAGCACGCGGCGGCGCTGATAAGGAGACTACAGGCAACTCGGGCGTGTACTCCGGATTAATGTACAACTCGGGATGGTGGGTGTGCGTGTAGTACGGCAAGAGGTTTGTTTAATAGATGTTCTAAGGTTTTTCGGTAAAGTCACGTAGGTAAAAAAAATAATAAATGAAAATAACTATCTTAAATCACGACGTTTCGGAGGCAACACAAGTCTCCGTCTTCAGGTGGGACCGTCACAGCCAAATTTACTGTATGATACAGTAAATTTGTATATTTTCATTTATTTTATTTTATTATTAATATGTTTTACCTACGTGACTTTACCGAAAAAACCTAAGAGTATGAATTATTGCAGTCACGAAAGCTTCAAATCTAGAATTTACGCGATCTAACCAAAAAACAACTTCTTATGGATGATTTTGGTTTCCAAAGCCTACGTGTTGAACAGGTTTAAGTTTATTGACACCGGGCACGCGTTTGGGGGGGTGCGTCATGCTTGCCGGAGCGTCTTATAATCCGGATAACTCGGTAGTCACGGCGGGGGTTGGATTAGGCCTCGGCAAGGTAGGGTAATTGTACCCTTTTTACCGGGTAAAATGGTAAAGGTAAAGGATAAAGGTGTCGACATGCCAAGGGGTAAGGGTAAAGGGTAGGGTAAAAGGTAGGGTAAAAGGTAGGCTCGTTGCTTTTTAAATCCTTTATATTAAGTTCACTCGCTTGCTTGCGCGCTTACGACCGTGCAAATATTTCGGTCGTTTTTTAACCCACTTCCCGTGATCCAATCGAGCTGACATTTTGCACACAGACTCGTTGTGCGTGACAATTTATTTTCGTGAAATTTTTTTTCAAAAATGTTACACTTTTTAGGAAAAAAATAATTATATTTAATTACCAATTGCTTAATGGTGGCAGACAATCATCTGACCCATAGGTGGCAGCCATCTCAAGCCAGAGGACGAGAGGACTCTAGCCGCCACGCATATAAAGGATTTATAGTGAAAAACTTTGTTTTTACGGGTTAATTTTTTTACATTTGACTTTAGCTGCTAAAGGGTAAAAGGTAGGGTAGAGTGATTGTATTGTGGTAAGGTAAACGGTAGGGTAAAGGTAGGCTCGTTGTTTTTACACTTTTACCTTCCCTTGCCGAGGCCTAGTTGGGATTCAGTAACCATCGATTCGAATAATATAGATCCCTTTAAGACAACAACACGCGTGAATGGCATCGTTTGGTTAAATATGCACGTGGTTTTTGTTCGTCGATTTGTATATACGCAATACACTACAGGATGCGTCGTGGGTTCGCGTGATCCCCTCTGCAGCCACGAGATTTCGCTGTGCAGTATTCAGCAATGATTTTTAAAACACAAATATTCGATTCTTGAAATGGACTCGCATCACCCAATCACGATTCGTTACATCCTCTCGACTGATGCCATTTAAAGGACCGTCCCATTAATTTGCAGACGTGTCGATCCACTGCTGGATGAGAGCTTTCCAGAGCCGGCCCAGCCACTAAGCGACCCTTGCAATTGCAAAAGGCCCCGTGGCCAGCAGAGGGCTCCCTAGAGTCACTGCTAGCTAGTGGGTGAAAAAAATCATACATCAAAGGGGCCTCCAACCAAATTTTGCTTAGGGCCCCCAAAGGTCTAGGGCCGGTTCTGGGGCTTCCCCACCGGGTGCGGCGCAAGGGTGGCACAGTCGGGTTTTTTACAATCGGGTTTAATTGCCTTTTTATATTAAACCCGATCATCTGAGATTGGGAGAAATCCGGTTTAATTGGTTCTAATTGCGGCATCCGAGCGGAACTTCTCAACGATGGGCTTCATTCATTTCAAGCTAAGGAACTCACTGGCGCCCACGATTGTGGAGAAGCTCGTTGTCATCAAGACCAACCTGCCCGCCGCATTCTACGACTACCCCGTGCCCGACGGCCCCCCGAGTACGATGATAGCAGCACCGACGAGGAAGCAGCCTAAGCCTTGGATCAGAGTTTTGTATTGATTAAACCAGGTTTTAATTCCCCGAAATCGGGTTTAATTGTATTAAAGAAAAAACCCGATGCCTGCCGCTGGAAAAATCGTTTTTTTCCCACCCATGGTGCGGCGTCGATCGTGAGGATTCTTAGACCATACTTCACCACGCTGGTCAGCCCGGGTTGGTAAAGGAACACGGTAGATGTGCCTTCATTGTTTTAACAATGTCAAGCGATGGAGACCTATTCGTCAGAGCAGACCGGGTCATGGATAAAATCTCCTGGACGCGCAGTGAAGGTGATTACCACCAACATTCACTCTGTCCACGAACTCACGCTACTTGACCAACGTGGTGAAGTATGGTCAATCAACGACCCACGCGGCGTGGGGGGACTTCATCCAGCAGTGGATTGGCAATGGGCTGCGAAACATCGTCATCCCCATTGTCCCGAGTCAAAACTATGGGCCGGTTTCGATCTACTGGGTTTCAAGAGCAGAGATAGGCCCCGTCAAAGCCAGTGGTCTGTGTTACGAGGTGTGAAAGGCACGGGGCCTTTGTCTAATAGGGGGCCGTCCATAAATGACGTCAAGCACCTGGGGGGGGGGGGGGGGTCAGACATTTGTGACGATGTGTGACGAGGGGGGGGGGGGGTTTGAGAAATGTGACGTCACATCAAAATGCGCAACTTTAAATAAATATAGACAATACGTTCTACTTAATGAAATATACTTTTTAATAAATGTTTTCTCCTACAACAGAGTGCAGCGCCACATTAAATACGCACTACAATGCCAATAGTTTAAAGCGATTTGAAGCATGTTTTTTTTTCAAAATGGAAATATAGTTTTGGGGGGGGGGGGCAGAGCTTTGTGACGTCATATTTGAGGGGGGTCTGACGTTTTGTGACGCCTAGGCAGTAGGCCGTGGGAGGTCCTGGGATAAATCCGCGAAGTTCTGCAATTATAAGTTGTGCAGCGTTGACCAATGCGTTTGGGTCCATGCAGATATTTGACTCTTTTAACTCAAACGTCGAGGAGATTAATGGTTAACGAGGATGTGTTCGACGCGACCCCCCGCATGTTGACTCGGCTTTCAGCAGGTGCACAGGTGAGTGGCTTGGGAGGGCGAGGGTCGCGGTTTAAGGGAGGCGACTCGCGAGGTCTCTACTCGGCACGGACGCCCTCCCACGCAGAGCTCGCCTCCTGCACCTGCCACGCACACCTCACCACCTGTACCTCCCTACGCAGAGCTCACCTCCTGCACCTCCCTACGCAGAGCTCGCCTCCTTCACATACCTTGTCAACCTCACCACCTGCACCTCCCACGTAGAGCTCGCCTCCTGCACCTGCCACGCACACCTAACCATCTGCACCTCCCACGCAGAGCTCGCCTCCTTCACCTGCCACGCACACCTCACCACCTGCACCTCCCACACGGACCTCACCACCTGAACCTGCCTTGTCAACCTCACCACCTGCACCTCCCACGTAGAGCTCGCCTCCTGCACCTGCCACGCACACCTAACCATCTGCACCTCCCACGCAGAGCTCGCCTCCTTCACCTGCCACGCACACCTCACCACCTGCACCTCCCACGCAGAGCTCGCCTCCTGCACCTGCCACGCACACCTAACCATCTGCACCTCCCACGCAGAGCTCGCCTCCTTCACCTGCCACGCACACCTCACCACCTGCACCTCCCACACGGACCTCACCACCTGAACCTGCCTTGTCAACCTCACCACCTGAACCTCCCACACAGAGCTCGCCTCCTGCACCTGCCACGCACACCTCACCACCTGTACCTCCCTACGCAGAGCTCACCTCCTTCACCTGCCACGCACACCTCGCCACCTGCACCTCCCACACGGACCTCACCACTGAACCTGCCACGCACACCTCACCACCTGCACATCCCACGCAGAGCTCGCCTCCTGCACCTGCCACGCACACCTCCACCTGCACCTCCCACACGGACCTCACTTCCTTCACCTGCCTTGTCAACATCACCACCTGCACCTCCCACACGGACCTCACATCCTTCACCTGCCACGCACACCTCACTACCTGCACCTCCCACACAGAGCTCGCCTCCTTCACCTGCCTCGTCAACCTCGCCACCTGCACCTCCCACATGGACCTCACATTCTTCACCTGCCTTGTCAACCTCGCCACCTGCACCTCCCACACGGACCTCACAACCTTCACCTGCTTGTGCAGCCTCACCACCTGCCACACAGACTACACCTCCCACCACCCCATCTACTCCTCACCTCCACCAATACCAATAACTCCGCTGTTCGCCACAAAGTGACGGTGACGTCACCATGGCGCCTGTGCCCCCCCCCCCAAACAGAATATATCCATATTCATAATAATATATAAGAATATATCCCTACTCTTTGGTTCTTTCGGTAAAGTCACGTAGGTGACTTGAGGACGACCGCTTGTGTTGCGATCGAAACGTCGTGATTTATTTTATTTTCTACCCACGTCACTTTACCAAAATAACTAAAGAGTAGGGATTCCTGCAGTCACGAAAGCTTCAAATCAAGATTAGCTTATATCCCGCCCACTTCTACACAAAGCTCCGCCCCCCTACACAAGGCTCCGCCCACTCCCCCACAGGCCCCGCCCACTCCTGCACGTGGCCCCGCCCACTCTCCCACAGGCCCCGCCCACTCCCGCACAGACCCCGCCCACCCCTGCACATGGCCCCGCCCACTTCCACACGTGGCCCTGCCCACTCCTGTATTTGACCCCGCCCATTCACAGATATGACCCCAACCACTCCTGCACTTGGCTCCCGCCACAGGCCCCGCCCACTCCGGCACATGGCCCGCCCACTCCCCCACAGGCCCCGCCCACTTCCCCGCATGGCCCCGCCCACTCCCGCACACGGGCCCGCCCACTCCCCCACAGGCCCCGCCCACTCCCCCACAGGCCCCGCCCACTCCCGCACATGGCCCGCCCACCCCCCACAGGCCCCGCCCACTTCCCCGCATGGCCCCGCCCACTCCAGCACTGGCCCCGCCCACTCCCGCACATGGACCCGCCCACTCCCCCACAGGCCCCGCCCACTCCCGCACATGGACCCGCCCACTCCCCCACAGGCCCCGCCCACTCCCCTACAGGCCCCGCCCACTCCCGCACATGGACCCGCCCACTCCCCCACAGGCCCCGCCCACTCCCCCACAGGCCCCGCCCACCCTACACAGGCCCCACCCACTCCCCCACAGGCCCCGCCCACTTCCCACAGGCCCCGCCCACTCCCGCACCTGCCCCGAGCCTCGTTCCCGCCCCGCTCACTCCGCTCCACCTGGCGCACTTTTATTTCGACTTCTTCTTATCTCGCCCATGACGAACTCCTCACACTCAAAACACGGATTATTTCACCCACACACCCGTCACCCACTGCACCGTTACTGACTAAGACAACTCACTCACTTTACCATTCACCGTTTCACACTCACCCTTCTCTCTATCTCACGCAAACACTCACACTCACCCAAACACTCACACTCACCCTCTCTCTAGCTCATGCAAACACTCACTCACCCAAACACTCACACTCACCCAAACACTCACCCTCTCTCTAGCTCACGCAAACACTCACACTCACCCACTCACCCTTCTCTCTTGCTCACGCAAACACTCACACAAACACTCACCCTTCTCTCTAGCTCACGCAAACACTCACTCACACTCACCCTTCTCTCTAGCTCACGCAAACACTCACTCACACTCACCCAGACACTCACCCTTCTCTCTAGCTCACGCAAACACTCACACTCACCCAGACACTCACCCTTCTCTCTAGCTCACGCAAACACTCACTCACACTCACCAAAACACTCACACTCACCCAAACACTCACACTCACCCTCTCTCTAGCTCACGCAAACACTCACTCACACTCACCCAAACACTCACACTCTCTCTCCGCTCACGCAAACACTCACTCACACCCAAACGCTCACCCTCACATTCACACGCTTACCCTCTCTCTCACCCACGTGCGACACCGCCACCACCACCACCACTTCCTCCTCCGCGTCTCGGCTCTTGTCTCCCGCCCGAGAAGAGATGCTTCGTGCTCGCCACCTCACCCCTCGCCTCACTCCCCGCGTGCCCTCTCAGTGAGAGGTGGAGCTGGTGGTGGAGCTGCTGGTGGTGGAGCTGGTGGTGGAGCTGGTGGAGGTGGAGCTGGTGGTAGAGCTGGTGGTGGAGGTGGTGGTGGTGGAGCTGGTGGTGGAGCTGGTGGTGGAGCTGGTGGTGGAGCTGGTGGTGGAGCTGGTGGTGGAGCTGGTGGTGGAGCTGGTGGTGCAGGTGCTGAGGACACGATGTCAGCACGTGGCATCGCTTCACCAACGTCGCCCGCCTCTCCCGCACCGCTCCTCGCCAACGAGGGCGACGATTGGGACCCCGAGTGTGACGACGAGGCGGCTCTACTCGACCCCGACGACCGCGGGGCCCCGGGAGGTGACCATGGAGGAGGCGCGGGGGGAGATGGAGGAGGTGATGGTGATGGTGGGTTTGGCCGTGCGCTCTGCCGCTTGCAAAGCGCCACCGACGTGGACCCAGAGGACACGGGGTCCCTGGGGTACACGGAAGACCCCGTGGACTTCACCGAACCCCGGGGGGATTCGCCCGGGACCCGCGCCTGGGCCACCGTGGGGGTCGTCTTCTTCATCAACCTCCTCAACTACATGGACAGGTTCACCGTGTCCGGTGAGACGTGGCACCCGAAGCTCGTGGACACCGCTGCTAGTCACTCGGACACGCACGATTTAACGTCTCGCTCCGATGTTTTTAAATCCTTTATATTAAGTTCACTTGCTTGCTTGCTTGCGCGCTTACGACCGTGCAAATCTTTCGGTCGTTTTTTAACCCACTTCCCGTGATCCAATCGAGCTGACATTTTGCACACAGACTGGTTGTGCGAAACAATTAATGTTCGTGAAAATGTTTTTCCAAAATTTTACACTGTAAAGGGAAAACAAATTAAATATTTAATTACCAATTGCTTAATACTGGCAGACAATCATCTGACCCATAGGTGGCAGCCATCTCAAGCCAGAGGACGAGAGGACTCTAGCCGCCACGCATATAAAGGATTTATAGTGAAAAACGTTGTTTTTACGGGTTAATTTTTTTCAGAATCCCAGCAAGGCGGCCGGCTTGTGGTGGTCGTAAGTAGAGACCCATCGGCGTGAGACACTCACAAAACTACTCACGTTTCTCATGGTCCTCTTATCATTGTGCCAGGCTGTGTGTTACACAGTGATCCCATTGTACATCGTCACACACCGCCGCCACCACAGCACCACGTGGGTGACAACAAGGGTTGAGATGGGTTGTGGCGTGGCCAAAACAAAGACCAACAGCAGCTTTCCGCACTGTTACCACACATTTAGCGGCTGTGTCTGCAGCCTTACGACCGATTTGCCAAATCCACTGCTGGATGACGGCATCCCGAAGCCGTGTTGCGGGTCGTGGAGCGGTTATTTGACCATACTTCACCGCGCTGGTCTATATATGGGGAGGTACAGTATATGTGACATTTAGACTGCACGCAGGTAAGGTGAACAGGTTGAGACCGGTAGTGCTTTGTGCAAGATACCAGGATTTACTTAGATAGGGGTGCTTGTCCCTGTTTGTCTCTGTGTGCGTATTTTGTGGGGAGCGGTGGTGCAGCGGTTAGGGCATTGCCCTACGAACCCGGCTGACTCGAGTTCGATTCCCGCTCACGGCCAACGCCAGTGACGACTATCTGAACTGGTCCTGGGTCGACTCAGCCTCAAATGAGTACCTGGTGCGGTGTGTAAACATCGCCACTAGGAAGACAAAGGCGGCCGGGCGTGGTGCTGACCACGCACCCTCGTGTGCCGTGCTGCCATTCAAAAACAGCACTTGCACTAACAGTCTGTTTAGGCTATATGGGGGATATTTGTCTTTGTATCGTGTTCATGGATACTAATGTTGTGTATTTGTATCGTATATTTCATTAGAATCTGTAACACGCAGTTTTCGCGCGTGGGAGTGCGGAGGGTAACAAGTGGCGAGCTGGGAAGGCGGCTACAATCGGCGCTCTCGACAATTTCCCAAGCTCTGCGATCCTATATTGGGATGTTTGGCCGCCTCCATTAATTAGTGTTCATACACGGTGGCCTTAAAAACGTGTAAGCCGACTACTATACGCCTCCTTCCCGTATTTGTGCGTCTCCACATGCGAGATACCAGTATTTTGCCACGACCCATCGGTCACACACCCTCCTTTTGGGTAGTATTGGCTCAATGCAAGCAAAATTCTGCACAGGGTTTGGACATTCATCGGCTCGTCGGCAGAGTAAGGTGCACTTAAACCTATATTGCTCGATGTTTATAGGTTTGTAGGCAAAGACCCTCCCTTACTGTGAGATATGAGTTCCTAAGTTAGTCCATAGAGACCAGAAGTGTCTTTTTAATTGGAGGCGTGGGGTTGAAAGTTGCATGGCAACGCGACGCTTGACCCATGGCCTTGTCGTTTGGACTCTTCCGGCACTGGGCCCGGTTGATGTTACTCGTGCAGAATGTTCCTTTACATCACCTGCCATCATCGCCGAGATGTTCTCGGGTGATACCGCGTGTTGTTCGGCACGATGTCCGACGTCTCGCGCCCCAGTTGGGTGGCAGGGTGGCGCAGTGGTAACACGTGTTCCTCACAACAACAATGACCTGGGTTCGATTCCAGACTCGGGCGCCTTTGTGTGTGGATGGGTTCCCTCTCTGCATGGAATTCCCTCTCATAGCTGGCGTTGGTTAATCATCCCAAAGCTGAACCCTCCTGGGAAAAAAAAGAGTCTTCGGACTCATGGACCAATAGGGGATTGTCCTGACGTCGTGCTGGGAGTTTTAGTTCCTGAAGAAGAGAAGCGTCTCACTCTGCCTTCACCCTCCACTTCATGAAGAAGAGTGATGTCCGCATCGCACGGAATGACGCGTGGCACAACCCGAAAGGGCATTGCAGAGTAACGCGGCACAACTGCGGATACTCGAGCAGTAGCGATCACGGGGAGCCATGGCCTTATCTTGACAAATTGGCCACATTAAATGGCAGGGCCTAATCGATATGTCCATTGTACATGTCAATGAGACCCTGCATCTTTTGACTAATGAATGCGAGCCCCATGTGATGATGGTGGTGGCGATGATGATGGTAGTTGTGGTCATGGTCATGATGTTGATAATGGTGATGCTGGTGGTGATTATGATGGTGGTAATTATAGTGATGGCTGTGATGGTGTTGATAATGTTGATGATGTTGATGATGTTGATACATGTAAAGTTGATGATGGCGGTGATGATGGCGAAAATGATGCCGGTGATGGTGGTGATAATGTCCGTGGTGTCTCCTCCCCCGTCTCTCTCATGCCATCACAGGAGTGCTCGCTGAAATCCAGACCTTCTTCAACATCGACAACAGCCTCTCCGGGCTTATACCGGCTGGTGAGCCACTCACCGCATGATTTTCCGGATTTGTGAAGGTGGTGAGGGGGTGGGTGTGAGTGCGGTGGTGGTGAGGGGGTGGACGTGGTGCTTTTGTCTCACGCAAATGAGGTTCAATAAACGAACCTCGTAACTTGATGGCAGGTGCCCCGTGATGATGGTAACGATGATGATGTGACGACGGTGATGCTGACGTGTGGCGCTAACCGCTGCCTTCCACGTGTTCTCACCTGCTCCTGGTGTGCGCCGTGTGCGTGTGTGTGTTCGTGCGTGTGCAGTGTTCCTGTGCAGCTACATGATTCTTGCTCCGCTCTTCGGATTCCTGGGCGACCGCTACCCACGCAAGTTCATAATGGCCGCCAGCATCCTCGTGTGGAGCGGCACCACTCTGGGGGGCTCCTTCGTCCAGGAAACGGTGAGCATCCCCTCCCCCCCACCAAACAAACTCCAGCTGCCCCTACTTCTCATCACATAACGTGTGTTTCTGCGGGTCCCTTCCCTAATTCACTCTGAATCCCCTGAGAAAGCCAGGCCCCCTCCTGTCCGGAACCAAACGTCACTGTAAGCGATCTCAGGGGTAGCTCTGTGGTGTCCGCTTCCGTGGGTCGTTCTCTTGACAGGAAGGGTTGCACTGCTCTCATGCCGTGGCACAAGACGCTGGCAGCATCATCAGGATACAATTCTTGGAAAGGACAAAAAATTATATAATGGAGAATTTGGCTCCCCTTGGGAAGCCATCGTGAAAATTCCACCCCCCCCGCCCCGCCACCATCATCCGGCAGTCAACCGTTAAAGAGTCCCCAGCATTGAGTAAGCAGTGTGCATGTATCAATCCACTGCTGGCTGAGGGTTTCCCAACGCCATACGGTATTGTTGTACCGTATAAAACTCCCACGTCTAGGCTCCTTGCTCCTCATCAATGCGCACTGACCAGGTGGTGACGTTTTGTCAAACTAGCCGCGTGACCTGCACGGTTGTGGATTTAAAAATGATGGACCTATCACCTCGCTCCAGGTCTCACTGCCTCCTCCCCTGGTTCCCTTGGCCTGCCCTGCCCTGCACCCCCCTGCCCCCCCCCCGCCCCCCGTGGGGTTGTCAGGAGTTTGCGGGGTTCCTGGTGTCGCGCGCCCTGGTTGGGGTGGGTGAGGCCGGCTACTCGACCGTGGCAGCAACGATCCTGGGAGACCTCTTCGTGGGCTCGACTCGCACGCGCGTCCTCGCGCTCTACTACAGCGCCATCCCCATCGGCAGGTGAGCGAGCGGGTGGGCGAGTTGGTGGGTGGCCGTGCGAGTGCGAGCGCGTGCGTGTGGTTGGGTGACAGGCAAATCGTTAACTGCGGCTAATTAATGGTAATTACAGCGCTCGCGATATATATTTACTCTTGCCTCTTGCCCCCCCCCTTGCACCTCCCCCCCCCACCACCACCACCATCCTGCCGCTTACCAGTGGCCTCGGCTACATCGTGGGGTCAAAGATCGCCGAGGTGACGGGAGACTGGAGAAATGCTCTCAGGGTGAGGAGGCTCGTGCACACACACAGCACAGTCTTGGTTAGGATTAGGGCTACAAAACAACCAGGTTAAGGGCTAGGAATACAGTTAACTGCTGTTTATCCATATTGCTGTTTAACCGTGCTTGTGACCAGCGTGGTGAAGTATGGTCAAACAACCCCCAGTACTGACATGGCATGGGAAGGCCTTCATCCAGCGGTATTGATAACACTGAATATATTTGTTCGTTAACCGTATTTGTCATGTACCACTGACTTTCACGGCCCTCGTGACCCTGTGATCCATGACCGTTGGCCATGACCCCCGTATCTTAACCATGACCCGGGTTCTACCTTGGCCATGACCCTCCAATTTTATCCATGACCCCAGGGTGTACTTATAGATTTGAAGCTTTCGTGACTGCAAGGATTCATACTCTTAGTTCTTTCGGTAAAGTCACGTAGGTAAAAAATGAAATAAAATTAATACAAAAATAAAAACAATAAAATCACGACGTTTCCGAAACGTCGTGATTTTATTGTTTTATTTTTTATTAATTTTAATTTCATTTTTTACCTACGTGACTTTACCGAAAGAACTAAGAGTATGAATCCAGGGTGTACCTTGACCGTGACGCCCCTGACCCCTGACTGTGGTTTGGATGGTGACCGTGACCCCCGGTAGGTGACCCCTGGGCTGGGGCTCCTGGCCTGCGTGCTCGTGGTGCTCGTGGTGGTGGAGCCGGAGCGGGGGGCGGTGGAGCGGCACAGCTCAGCGGGAGGCGGCCCGGCAGCCAGGCCCCGCACCACATGGTTCACGGACGTGCGCACGCTGTGCTCCAAGTGCGACGCTTGCAGCAGCTGTGCCGCACCTGCACCCCCATCCACAACCATGCACCCCCATCACAACCATGCACCCCCACCACACACCTGCACCCCCATCACAACCATGCACCCCCACCACACACCTGCACCCCCATCACACACCTGCACCCCCATCACACACCTGCACCCCCATCACACACCTGCACCCCCATCACACACCTGCACCCCCATCACACACCTGCACCCCCATCACACACCTGCACCCCCATCACACACCTGCACCCCCACCACACACCTGCACCCCCACCACACACCTGCACCCCCACCACACACCTGCACCCCACCACACACCTGCACCCCCACCACACACCTGCACCCCCATCCACACACCTGCACCCCCATCACACACCTGCACCCCCACCACACACCTGCACCCCCACCACACACCATGCACCCCCACCACACACCTGCACCCCCACCACACCACCTGCACCCCACCACACACCTGCACCCCCATCACACACCTGCACCCCCATCCACACACCTGCACCCCCACCACACACCTGCACCCCCACACACACCTGCACCCCCACCACACCTGCACCCCCACTCACACACCTGCACCCCCATTCACACACCCGCACCCCCACCACACACCTGCACCCCACCACACACCTGCACCCCCATCACACACCTGCACCCCCACCACACACCTGCACCCCCACCACACACCTGCACCCCCACCACACACCTGCACCCCCATCACACACGTGCACCCCCATCACACACCTGCACCCCCACCACACACCTGCACCCCCATCACACACCTGCACCCCCACCACACACCTGCACCCCCACCACACACCTGCGTCAGAACACCACCCTGTGTGTCAAGAGCACACCTGTGCCTCATGCGCCCTGTCTCACCCCGTCCTCCTCTGCTGTCTCTGTTGTTATTGACATCTCAAATTCTCCCTTTGTCTGGCGCCTTGAGGTGTAATGCATGGGGTGCGCGGTATAAATAACGATGAGGATGACAATTATGATGACGATGGCTATGAAGATTACGATCATGACGACGATAATGACTGCTAGAAATGAAGACTACAATGATAATTATGATGACCCCACCACGACAACGATGATGACGACATCGATGTCGACGACTCTGTGCCCTCAGCCGCAGCCTCGTGTTGTCCAGCCTGGGCTTCACGTGCGTGTCGTTCGTGTCGGGAGCGCTCGCGCTGTGGTCGCCGCTCTACCTGGAGCTGGCGGGCGTCGTGCGCGGCTCCCTGCAGCCGTGCGAGCACCAGCCCTGCCCCGGCTTCAGCAGGTGACGCTCGCCGACTCACGGCTCTGCTCCGGCCTCGGGTTGTCCCCTGTCCTGGTTTTCCCCGGGATCGTCCTCTGTGTTAGGTAGCTGTCCCATAAGTCAGTCTCCCATGGGATGACAAAAGCCCTGGGTTTTGTTACCATCATCATCGCCACCACCACCATCATCATCACGATGATGATCATCAGCCACTCAAGACGAAGCATCCACATGCGGCGGTGATACTGGATTCAGCATGCAGGTCTTCGTTTCACTTGCCCCACCACATCCAGCGCACCTCTCGCTAACCTCTCGCTATGGCTGCTAGTCATGCGACACCTATTCTTGCCGACCAGTGACCCGGGAAATATTCAGTGAGAAAGTAAGCTCTACTCACATATGCTCACCTGCCTCATCCCTCTCACCACCCTGCCACCGCCCTCTCACCATCTCTCTCGATCCTCTCACCCCCTATAACTTCACTCACCACCCACTCACCCCCTCTCACCCCTGTGAAATAAATTTCCAGCGACCTGTGAAAAAATATTTGTTCGTACAAAATGAAGCCCTGGTGGCGATGATACTGGGCACCTAACATTTGCTCTCACCCCTCATACCCCTCTTCTCGCCTCTCTCGCCTCTCTCGCCTCTCTCGCCTCTCTCGCCTCTCTCGCCTCTCTCGCCTCTCTCGCCTCTCTCGCCTCTCTCGCCTCTCTCGCCTCTCTCGCCTCTCTCGCCCCTCTCGCCCCTCTCGCCCCCCGCCGCCGGCAGCGTGAGCGTGGTGTTTGGGGCGCTCACGTGCTGCGCCGGGCTGGCCGGCGTGGCGCTGGGCAGCGAGGCCGCGCGGCGCTGGCGGCGGCACGAGCCGAGCGCCGAGCCCCTGGTGTGCGGCCTGGGCCTCCTCGCCTCCGGGCCCTTCCTCTACGCTGCCCTGCTGCTGGCCAAGAGCTCCCCCGTCACCACCTACGTGAGCGTGGGGGGGGGAGCGTGTGGTGGTGGGGGTCAGGTGGGTGACAGGGAGAGCAGGAGGTCTGGTGGGCGCGGCGACGATTTGTAGAGGGAGGTCATCTTTCGTAAGATGAGAAGGAGTGGAGGAATGCAGCCTGCAGTAAAGTGGCCAGATGCCCGTGACAGGAGAATGCCACCAAACAGGAATCCATCAAAGACAATGTCGCCGCGAGGGACCGAGGAAGAGCTCCCCCATGACCACTTTTGTGAATTTGGGGGGGGCAGGGTGTGAGCAGGCAGGTTTATTCGAGAATACATTTGCTGTACTGCCATTTCGCACCTCGTGGTTTGAAGTTGATTTGTTTAATCAGCTGAGAACTCAAGAGGGCAGATATCGAGGAGTCTGATTTACTAGAGTGACTTGGGCCACCACATTGACGAAATCTAAACAAACTGAATAAAGTACAGCCATGAGGTAACTAGCTATTGGAACAAGAAAAAAAACCTAAAATCAATTCTTATCAAATATTCTATAATATTCAAATTGCGTATGGCAATATGTTCAGGAGCTAAATGGCAATGAGGCTGCCCTCACACTAATTGTTATTAATCAGGTGCCAAGGCTGGCGATGGGCCACAGGGAGAGGTGGCCTGTCTCTGCCCTCTGCTCCCCCTCCCTCATCCACCTCATCCACCTCGTCGTCGTTTCAGGTGTTCATCTTTATCGGAGAGGTGCTCCTCTTCTTGAACTGGGCCCTCATCGCCGACATTATGCTGGTGAGCACGACGATGATGACGGCGGCACCTCCGCCGTTTCACAGCGCATGTCCGCGATACACGCCGCGTCCGAGGATGACCACGGTGATGACGATGATGATAACCACGACGACGATAACCATGACGACGATAACCACCACGGCGATGACCACGGCGATAACGACGATGATGACAACGACGATGACCACGGCGATGACCACGACGATGACTACGACTATAACCATGACGACGATTACTACGGCGATGACCACTGCGATATGGACGATGATGACCACGAGAATAACCACGACGATGATGACAATGATGACGATAAAGACGATGTAGATTACACTCGCTGCTGCTGCAATGATGATGACGTCGGTTGTGAAGCTTGGTGCTGGTGGTGATGATGACGTTGAGGTTGATGACAAAGATGCTGCAGAGGTTGATTATTGTGCTGCTGCTGCTGCTTATTAATATTGTTGCTGATGATTATTAATGTTGCTGCTGCTGGTTAATGTTGCTAGTGCTGCTGATGGTTATTATCGTTATGAATTTGTTGCAGCTCATGACTGCTGTTGCCTTCCCTTTGTAGTTCGTGGTTGTTCCCACTCGCCGCTCCACCGCCAACTCACTACAGATGCTGCTGTGCCACCTGCTGGGTGATGCGGGCAGCCCGTTCCTCATTGGAAAGGTGCGTCACCAACACGCGCGTACACACACCCACACACATTCCCCTCGCGGCCTTGACCAGACTGCGGGGGAAGCGGCGTTAGCGAGCACCCATTACTGTCGGCACGGCGAAGGTGGTGGGGCAGGGGGGAAGGGCGGACGTTCTGTCAGCAGACAGTGCACCGTGCTATGTATCCGACGACCCGACCTCCATTCGCGGCTCCAGCCGACGTCGGTGACGATTATCCCAACTGATCCCTGGTCGGGGGGGGGGGGGGGCGGCGTGCGCCCTGCGTTCGCGTTTGTCGCCGGCAGATCGCGGACTTGGTGCAGCGCTCGGACTCGTGGCTGGGCCGGCTCGAGGCGTTGCTCACGGCGCAGCTGTGCTGCCCCTTAGTGTGCGTGCTGGGTGCCGCCTGCTTCCTGGCCACGGCGCTGGTCCTCCCGCGCGACTGCAGTGCGCTACCGCGCCGAGATGAGCGGTAACGAGCGCGGGTCCTGCACGCGGCACCACCTGTGCCATTAGTCAGACAGACGGATCGTTGGCTCACTCGCTCGATCGATCGCTCACTCGCTCACCAAGCTAGCTCGCTTATACGATGTTCACTTACTCACCTAGGTCACACGCACGCACGTTCACTCGCTCAACCTTGCCAGATCACGCGGACTCGCAAAGCCATGTCACTTAAGTTGTCACTTACTCGCGAATCTAGTTTAAGCAAAGTCACTCGCTCAACTCATTCAGAGACACGTTTCATTCGCCCACTAAATAGCTGACTCGCTTCACTCAACAATCCAGATCACTCGTACATTGGGAACGTGAGCCGATCACTCATGCACACTCACTCAGCTGTTCACTTAATCACTCAACAATCCAGATCACTCGTACATTGGGAACGTGAGCGGATCACTCGTGCACACTCACTCAGCTGTTCACTTAGTCACTCAACAATCCAGATCACTCGTACATTGGGAACGTGAGCGGATCACTCGTGCACACTCACTCAATCTGTTCACTTAGTCACTCAATAATCCAGATCACTCGTACATTGGGAACGTGAGCCAATCACTCGTGCACACTCACTCAGCTGTTCACTTAGTCACTCAACAATCCAGATCACTCGTACATTGGGAACGTGAGCCGATCACTCGTGCACACTTACTCAGCTGTTCACTTAGTCACTCACTCACACTCAATCTCACTCGCACTCACTTTCCGAACCCTCGCACTCACTCGGCCAACAAGCAATCTCCTCACTCGCACTCACAAGACCACTCACTCAGCCATCCTGTTCACTTTATACACTCACCACTCACTTGGCATGGGTGGAGTTGAGGGTGAGTAGTGGTGGTGGTTGCTTTGGGGGTGAGTGGTGGAGTAGGGGGTGAGTGGTGGTGGTGTTGGGAGTGAGTGATGGAGTTGAGGGTGAGTGGTGGAGTAGGGGGGTGAGTGGTGGTGGAGTTTGGGGTGAGTGGTGGTGGTGGAGTAGGGGGTGAGTGTTGGTGGTGTTGTTGGGGGTGCGGGTGATCTGAGTGGATCGCTGGTTTGGTGTGGTGTGGTGTGTGGTGTGTTGTGTGTTGTGTTGTGGTGTGTTGTGTGGTGTGTTGTGGTGTGGTGTGTGGTGTGGTGTGGTGTGTGGTGTGTGGTTTGATGTGGTGTTTGGTGTGGTGTGTGGTGTGGTTTGGTTTGGTGTGTGGTGTGGTGTTGTTTGGTGTGTGGTGTGGTGTGGTGTGGTGTGTGGTGTGGTGTGTGGTGTGGTGGTATGGTGTTTGATGTGGTGTGGTCTGGTGTGGTGTGCCGTGTGTGGCATGCTGCGTGCAGCTGCTGCTGAAGATCCCGGTCACGACCTCCTCGTGCCGATGCCCGGTGGTCGCGCTGCCACCGTGCGCATTGAAGACGTGCTCTCCTAGAGAAGCATACATCGTCGTCTTTATCATCATCAGCAGCAGCAGCATCACCGTATTCATCATGATCATCACCACCATCTCATTGTCGTTATCATCATCGTCGGCAGTAGCAGAATTAACTGCAATAGCATCACTTATTCTCAGTATTGTCACACTGTATATAAATAAATCATCATCACCACCACAATGTCAACGTCACCATCATCCACGCCGTTAGTATTTAGAGGTTGGGAGGGTCACTCCGTGTCGTCGATGGTGAATGTATTTTACACGGCAGCCAATGCCCAACTTGTGGTTTGTGCCTCCTTGAATTTGGGAATAAAAGCGAATTTTGTGGCTAGTTTGTGGAGTCGTCTGCCTTGCACGGCGCCACCCGCTGCACTCCGTGAGGTCACCGCGCACGCGGGGATGGGTAAGCTGGCACCGCGGCCGAGATTTAAGACCGCTTCGTAAGGATGTGTCGTTTATTGTTGTCCCCTTGCATGGCACCAGAGGCAAAACACTGCCCATATATATACTAATTAATTGTAGCAGACGCTGTTGAAATACTTAAGAATGTTTTAAATTAAAGTTGAAAAGTGTTCTTAACACTGCAACCAACGCTGACGTCAAGTTCTTTTCAGCAGGAAAGCGTCACCGAGTCTCGTGACTCCTTTTCAGGAGAGTCTTGGAATCGAGAACACGGCTGGCACGTGTCGTGGAGCTGAGTGGGACGTGTGTGCAGGCTTGGGGTCTGGCGATCGAGGGGAAGAGAAGACCTAAGGGGCTGTCCATAAATGACGTCACGCACCTGGGGGGGTGGGGTGTTAGACATTTGTGACGATGCGTGACGTCACATCAAAATGCACAACTTTAAATAAATATAGGCAAACGTTCCACTTAATTAAATATACGTTTTAATAAATGTATTCTCCTACAACATCAGCGTGCAGCGCCACATTAAATACGCACTACAATGACAATAGTCTAAAGCGATTTGAAGCATGTTTTATTTGGGGGGGGGGGCAGAGCTTTGTGACGTCGTATTTGAGGGGGCGGTCTGACTTTTTTGTGACGCCGTGACGAGGGGGGGGTCAAAAATCGTCCAAAATCGCGCGACGTCATTTATGGGCGGCCCCATAATACCGTCAGCAAGTTCGGTGATTCCATCGCAGTCCGATTTTATTGTACCACAGCGCCCACTGGTGGCGAAGATTTGAAACTTGAAAAAAATACATTTCGATTTAAAGCTTTCGTGACTGCAGGGATTCATATTCTTGGTTCTTTCGGTTAAGTCACGTAGAAGGGAAATAATAAAATAAAATGAAAATAAATAAAAATAAAACAATAAAATTATCTTCCTTGTTTTATTTTTATTAACAATACAACTATCTTTATTGTTTTATTTTCATTATTTTATTATTTTCCTTCTACGTGACTTTACCGAAAGAACCAAGAATTTGAAAAACATATTTTAAACTTTCCTCCCGATACTCTTTGGTTCTTTTGGTAAATTCTAGATTTGAAGCTTTCGTGACTGCAGGGATTCATACTCTTAGGTTTTTTCAGTAAAGTCACGTAGGTAATAAATAAAATAATGAATCACGACGTTTCGGAGGCAACACAAGTCTCCGTCTTCATGTGGGACCGTCACAGCTAAATTTACTGTAAATTTAGCTGACGATTTATTGATATTTATTTTATTATTTTATTTATATTTTATTATTTTTACCTACGTGACTCTTTCGGTAAAGTGACGTAGGTAGAAAATAGAGACTGGATCATGTGAGCCTTCTTGTCTATTCCTGCAGTCACGAAAGCTTCAAATCAAGATTGAACCACGTCGACGGTGAGGGTTCCCACACATCTGTTAGAGATTTGTGATTTCGAAAAGTTGTTTTGGTTTAGGCCATGTTTGTTTGTTGTAGTACGGAGTTAGAATGATGGCTTTAATCTAAGTTGTCTTGTGGTTGTTGTTGTTGTTTGACTTGCATCCCACTGGGATTTTTGCACAGCGTTGGTGTACGGTGCTTTTTAAAATCCTTTATAAATCCTATATATTAAGTTCGCTTGCTTGCTTTGAACCGTGCAAATCTTTCGGTCGTTTTTTAACCCACTTCCCGTGATCCAATCGAGCTGATATTTTGCACACAGACTCGTTGTGCGTGACAATACATTTTTGAAAAAAAAACTCAAAAATTTTACACTGTTTAGGGGAAAAATGTTAAATATTTAATTACCAATTGTTTAATGCTGCCAGACAATCATCTGACCCATAGGTGGCAGCCATCTCAAGCCAGAGGACGAGAGGACTCTAGCCGCCCCGATGCCACGCATATAAAGGATTTATAGTAAAAAACTTTGTTTTACGGGTTAACTTGTTCTGCAGTTTTTTCCTGGATTTTTCTGTTGGCGCATACTCACTTAGAGATGTTTTCGTGTTCATGTTTTTGTTTTCTGTTCTTAGGTTTTTTCGGTAAAGTCACGTAGGTAAAACATAATTACTTCTATTAATTACTTCTATGAATTAAAAATTACTTACGTGAATTTACCGAAAAAACCTAAGAGTATGAATCCTTGCAGTCACGAAAGCTTCAAATCTAGGATTTGTTTTCTGTTTATTGCGGTTGCACCCAATTCAAGAGCCGAATGGCTCACAGGGCTATACCAAATAAATAAATAAAAAGCAATAGACTACGAGACAAGAAGGCTCACGTGGTCGAGTCTCTAATTCTACCCACGTGACTTCCTCCCGACCTCCCCCACTTATCATCCTTCCCGGTCTTTTCTTGCCCCGTGTCTCTGTGTTGCAGGGTCAATTCTCTTCATATCATGGCACCGTCTCTCCATCTATCTCGGGTTTCTTCTCAACTTTGCAGGTCTTTCCTCTGTCTTCGGTAGGCGCCGTGGCCCCCTTGTCCCGTTCTCCACCTTCGCTCCATCATATCGCATATTCAGAGTTTATCCGTTCATTTGCCGTCGCTGACCGGGAATTCGAACTCTTCCCACCCCACCCCAGCCCACCCCCACCTACCCCACCCCACCCACCCCACCCCAACCACCCCACCTACCTCACCCCACCCACCCCACCCCACCCACCTCACCCCACCCACCCCACCCACCCCACCCCACCTACCCCACCCCACCTACCCCACCCCACCCACCCCTACCCCACCCCACCCACCCCACCTCCACCCACCCCACCCACCTCACCCCACCCACCACCTCACCTACCCCACCCCACCCACCCCACCTACCCCACCCCACCCACCTCACCCATCCCACCCACCCCACCCCACCTACAAACTCCGGGGCCGTCCCTCCTCACGCCGCCAGAAGGGAGGCCGACGCTGCCCGCTGCGCTATGGAAGCGCTGTGAAAGTTGGTGATGGCTCTGCTTTAGGGGCCGTTCCATAAATGACGTCACGCACCTAGGGGGGGGGGGGTCAGACATTTGTGACTATGTGTGACGATGGGGGGGGGGGGGGGGTGAGAAATGTGACGTCACATCAAAATGCACAACTTTAAATATAGGCAAACGTTCCACTTAATTAAATATACGTTTTAATAAATGTTTTCTCCTACAACATCAGAGTGCAGCGCCACATTAAATACGCACTACAATGACAATAGTTTAAAGCGATTTAAATCATGTTTTTGGGGGGGTGGGGGCAGAGCTTTGTGACGTCATATTTGAGGGGGGGGGTCTGACTTTTTGTGACGCCGTGTGACAACGGGGTGGGGGGGGGGGGTCAAAAATCGCGTGACGTCATTTATGGACAGCCCCTTATTAAAATCATCGACGCGAATGACAATTCTTTGTTTGTATTTGTTGTATACAATAAAAGCTTGGAGAGATGAAGAAATAACACAAACTACTCCTTGTCCATGAATGTTTTGCGTTTGATCGTTGTAAATAAAATTACGTTAAAAAATATTAAACGATCGAGCCGTGGGGGGGATTTGAACCCGCGAGCTCGCGACTCGCAGCCCCGCGCACTCCCCACTCGACCACAGAGAAGTTGTTGACCTCGTGTCGCCATGGAGACTCGGGTGGTCGCCACGTGGCAAGAGACCCGGGGGCGAACCTGGGTCACTTGAGGTCAGCGGTACAACCGCTCCCCACGCTCCCCCCTCCCTCACCTCTTATCCCTTGAAACACTCTCCCACAGAAACACTCTCCCACAGAAACACTCTCCTCCTCGCTCGGGGGGTTCTCTGGTGAGTCCCGTGGCCGCGTGAAGTGATGTTGGAAATGGGGTGGTTGTGGTGGTGATTTGATAGAAGTTGTGGTGGTGGTAGTAGAGATTACGGTGATGGTGGTTACGGTGTTGGCGGAGGTGGTTGTGGAGATGGTGACGATGTAGGTCATGTTTGTGAGTTTTAGTGGTGGCGATTGCCCCAACAGTCTAAGGCTATACGGGGGAACGTTGTCTTTGCTTGGTGGTGATTACGGCGGTTTTGGTTGTGGACAGCGGTGGTGTCAATTTGTTTCGTTCACAGCCGTCGATTTGCCATCATTAATCAGCGGCCAATCGGCCATTCCCCTCACTGCAGCTCCTTCCCCTCTTCGTCGCTCCCACTCACCCCGTCCCTCTCGCCCTGACACGCAGACCCCCATGGTAGAGTGGTGGCAGAGAGGAAGGGTGGGAGCAGGGAGAGTGGGAGAGAGGAAGGGTGGGAGCAGGGAAAGTGGAAGAGAGGGAGGGTGGGAGCAGAGAGGGAGAGTGGGAGAGAGGAAGGGTGGGAGCAGGGAGGGAGAGTGGTAGAGAGGAAGGGTGGGAGCAGGGAAATTGGAAGAGAGGGAGGGTGGGGAGCAGGGAGGGTGGAAGCAGGCAGGGAGTGGGAGATAAGAAGGGTGGGAGCAGGCAGGGAGGGTGGGAGCAGAGAGAGGGAGAGTGGGAGCAGAGAGAGGGAGAGTGGGAGCAGGAAGAGTGGGAGAGAGGAAGGGTGGGAGCAGGGAGGGTGGGAGCAGGCAGGGAGAGTGGGAGCAGGCAGGGAGGGTGGGAGCAGAGAGAGGGAGAGTGGGAGCAGAGAGAGGGAGAGTGGGAGCAGGAAGAGTGGGAGAGAGGAAGGGTGGGAGCAGGGAGGGTGGGAGCAGAGAGAGGAAGGGTGGGAGCAGGAAGGGTGGGAGCAGGGAGAGTGGAGAAAGGGAGAGGGTAGAGAAAGAGAGATCAGGCAGCGTGAAAGCGAGGGAGAGGTAAGAGTGGTAGCAAGGGGAGAGAGGGGGGTGGGAGGGTGTGGGTGGCGTCAAAATACAAAACTGCCCGCGTCTCTATTCGGATTCAATCCACTTCGCTGCGTGTGGCGCACTGAGACAGCATCGCTGACTCCAGAGAGAGAGAGGGGGCACACGAGGAGTCGGGAGATCATCCAGAGACGGACAAGAGAGAGACGGCAGAGCAAGAGACACGGAGAGAGAGAGAGAGAGACGGAACGCAAGGGAGAGGAAGAGGCGAGAGAGAGAGAAAGAGGAGAGAGGGAGGAGTGGGAGATGCATATTTTCCAGATCGCCTCGGTGGAAGAGTTGGAGATGAAGACGGAGGATGAGGACGAAGATGTGATCCAGGTGCTGAGCCCCGCCAAAGGGGATGAACTTCAGGGGCCCCCGGGATACCGAGACTCCCTCAAGTCCCTGCTCAGCACCAGCACTTTTCAGGTGAGCTCAGGTGATGATAATGAATGTTGATGACCATATCGATGGAGGCCCAAGGCGATGTGGATGCTGGTTGACACGAGGGCTCTCACCTGGCTGCATGACTCCGCTTTGCTGCAACAATTCCTCTGTAACGTTCACCCTAACCCCTGTAAACATAACCCTAATCCCACCTAAAACCCTCACCCATAACTCTATAACCCTCACCAAACTTAGAGCCCCGAGCCCAAATCCCATCGATAACCATACCTATAATCCTCATGTTAACCCCAAATCATGTAACCTTCACTCTGAAACCCTCACCCGAACCTCTAACCCCGTAACACCAACCCTATCCCTATGAAGCTAAAAACCTCGCCATACCCCTACCTATAACTCGAACACGATCTCTAACCTTGCCACTACCACCTAAACCCTAATTCTGCACCCCTATACAAACCTTCCCCACTTCCGTGCCCCTCCATAGATGCTTCCCGCTCTCCAATGTCCCGTGTCCTGATGCCCTAATCCGCGTGCCCCCCCCCCCCCTCTGTCCCCGTGTCCCCATGTAGGTGCTGGTGGTCATCCTGGTGTTGCTGGAAGCGCTCTTCGTGCTGGCAGAGTTGCTCCTCGACCTCTCCATCATCACCTTCCCGCAGGCCGACGTCGTGCACGAGGTCAGCACACGCGAACATCCTTCATCATCATCATCAGCCACGTCACCACCATCACCACTCATGATTATCACCCACCATCCACACTGCAGCCGATTACATCCATACTCTTTTCTCTATCTACCCCCTCAACCAATAGCCACATCACTCCCTTCAGCCTCATTACTTACACCCCACTCTCCATCAACCTTGCATCACCTCCACGCCATCACACATCATAGCCCACCATCACCTCTGCTGCTCCCTGACAAAATAAGGCACTATCGGTGTGTCAGTGTGACGTGTCAGTGTATGCGATGCGCGTGTGACAGTTGTGTGATGTGTCGGTGTGTCAATGTGGACCGTTTGCGTTCGAGTGTCAGTGTGCACGTGTGATCTCCATCACCTCCACTCCACTCATCACCTATGCTGCACCCATCACATCCCCCCCCCCCCCCCGTTCCCCATGGAGCTCTGCGTCAATGTCTATGCAGAGTACAGGGTTCGATTTTTCCGTTCGCCCACGATTGGGGCACCCTTGCGTGTCCTCGTGTGCGTGTGTCGTTGTGTCGGTGGGTATGTGCCATTTGTGGCAGTGTGCGTCGATGCGTGTCGCTGCGTGCGAGGAGGGTGTTAGTTTATAGTAGTGTGTGCGTCTGTGTGTCATCTTTTCATCGGTTGCGTAACGCTGTGTGGAAGCTACCTGGTCTGTCGCTATGCACGAAGCTTCGGGTCTTCTCGACCACAGTCATTTCCTCCTCCCTTCTCTACACTTGCGAAACGTGGACCCCCCTAATGGAACATCTTCGCCGGTTAGAAACATTTAGGCTGGCCTGCCTACGATCAATCCTGGGTTTAACCAGGCTGGATTGTGTGAGCTCACAAATCCTCGAAAGATCTGGACAAAGTCCCATCGGTGAGCACCTTCGACAGGCAAGGCTGCGTTGCCTGGGCCATGTAGCCCGCATGCCCATTCACTGCATGCCCATTCACCGCATGCCCAAACAGCTTTTGTTCGGCCGAATCGAGGGGGTTAAACGGGCACGGCACAGGCTAGAGAAGAGATTGAGTGATGTGGTACAGGAGGATATGGAGCTGAGTGGACTTGCCGATGACTGGTACCAGCGGTGTCAAGATCGGCCTCTGTGGAGGAGGCTCGTGAAAGATGCTACTGGGCAGTTGGAGGCAGTCGCCCTCCAACAACAGAGGGCGGAGGAGCGATGCTCACAACAATGAGCGGAGCGACGGGTGGCTAAAGCACAGCAAGTTGTCACACTAGGGGACACAGTAATCTCGGTCATCTCAGTCGACCCGTGGCACCTGGGTTTGCCCCGTGACCTCCTGCCAGCGGGCGTTCGAAACTTCACGTGGCCTCAACGTGCACATAGCCTGGCACAAGCGTCGTGGTGACGTCACTGCCACCTAGTGGCGAATGGCGGTTGTTGTGTACGTGTGTGAGAGGGTGAGCGGTGGTGTAGCAGTGAGCGCTACGCTGCGCCACGAACCCAGCAACCCGGGTTCGATTCCAGCTCATGGGCACCACCAGTGATGATTATCTGAAGCGGTCTTGGGCCTCCCCTAGGTCGACTCAGCCTCAAATGAGTACCTGGTGCAATATGTAAACATCGCCACTGGGGAGACAAAGGGGGTCGGGCGTGGTGCTGGCCACCCACCCCCTCGTGTACCGTTCCGGCCTTTACAGGTGCTCGCTA